ATTCCTTCTATGCTCGCTCTCCTGCTCTCTTGATGTTTCCCTTTCGATGTTCTTCCTCCAGGTGTCTTGCTGTTCTTTTCATCCCCCAGGGTTCCCAGTTTATATACCCCACAGACATACCTAACAATTCCCTGGTAAATAACAATGATTCCAAGCATGCATTTCTTAGGGCTAACAGGATGGCTAAAAGACTGACAAGGTATGTCTCAGAAGGGGCGGGGCTGTGAGGCTACCCAGCAGATACCGGGAGGATTAGGATGGAGCTGGGCCCTCTGGGCTAAGCATCAGGGTGCTGTATCCACTGCCACCCAGGTGAGAAGGAATTTCTTTCTCTGGGGCTGGTTTAGTGACCCAAGCTTTTTTCCTGTATATTTTAGGGGTAAAGGTACAAACAGTTAATTTCCTAGACTAAGACCTTGTGTCAAGTGAAAGGTGAAGGTAAGCACAGAATATAAAGAGCTTGTTAGGGAAGAGCAAAGGCCAGTAGGTTATCCTCTCCTAAGTTGGCTGTTGGAGAATTCAGGGCCACCCAGACCTGTTTATCAGTAAGGGCAGACATGCTGTCTCTCCTGCTCAGTGCCTCCTGTTTAGGGCTCCTTTCTCGTCCATAAGGATAACTGTGGGGGACTAGCTTTATGCAGATTTGACTATGAGAGCAAAGGTTTGGCTGAGTGAATGCTTTCACACCAGGGCCCCACCGTGTGGGAGAAGGTATACAGTTGCCAGTACAGGAAAGGTCAGGTTTATACACTGCTGGGATACTTTGGGATGAATCCCATTATGGTAGGAAGAAACGTCATGATCTCACAAGACTTCTACAAAACTGAGAGTGGCTACCCAAAAGACAAGTGTTCCAAAAGCTTTGCAAATCATCCTCATCGGAGTACGTTCCCATGAGCTGTCTAGGGATCTGTCAGCTGTACTTTACTGTATAATACTTGTGGCTCTCATCAAGGGTGGGTCTCCATCTCAAATAATCCAACCAAGGAAAGTCTCACAAGTGTGCCCAGTTGCTTGGGTTTTAGTTAATTCGGTTGTAGTCGTTAACAACCATTATTATCCATTAATTAGTCAATGGCATTATAAAGGCTAAGGTGTAGGTTCACAGTCCGCAGGATGGGCCGCCCAATGCTTTCAGGATCTTAACATGAGAACAGTCCACAGAATGAGGAGCAGAGGGCAGAAGCCCGACAACAGGGCTATCCTACCAAATGAGAGGAGACGAAGTGAAAGCGGAAGTGGGGGTATTAGAGCAAGAAGACATGAGAGGCCACAGCTGAGGAACAACCCTTAGCTTAGCCAGAATGTAGCCCCTGGAAGCCACCTCTGCAATCCCCACATACGTGGAGGGCTCCCCAGGGCTCAGCCCATGGACGAGGCATTATCTACAAGGACCATGCACATCACAAGGGCCTTGAGATCGGAAGGAGTGTATGGGACAAAACCTTGGTTTCTCTCTGGCGCACCCTGGTAAGAGGGCTCAGTCCCCGTCTCTAGCCTCACTCCATGCTCCATCTTGGGTCCCATTAACACCTACAGCCCTATCCACTGGCACAATGGCAAGCGTTCCTGCCTCTATCTCCCACAGATTCACACGGGAGGCAGCACAGGACTGTGAGGTGCTGGGACAGCACATCCCCGCAGGTGCCGTGTTGGAGATAGCCGTGGGTGCCCTACACCATGACCCAGAGCACTGGCCACACCCTGAGACCTTTGACCCTGAAAGGTAAGTGAATTCTGTCTAGAAACGGGTCCTTGAGGGATGTGAGTGTATGGGATAGAATTTGCCTTAGAGACAGCAGCTAGGGAGTCATGGGCAAAGTCGACCCCAAATGAAGATCACAGCCATTCAGACAGACTGGGAGGCACCATTTCCAAAGGAAAAGCTGAATTCATAGATCTAGCATGACAGCAGTAATGCACACAAGAATCAGTATCTTTTATTTGTCCAAGCCAGGACACAGGAGGCAGGGTTGGTTTTTGTTTGTTTTTATTTTTTTAGATTTCATTTCTAATTATGTGTAGTGTATTTATGTGTGTGCACGTGGGCATGCATGCAAGGATGTGCATGTGAGTGTAGGTACCCACGGAGGTCTCACAGAGGAAGCTCTAGGCAAGAGTGAGCTGCCCAACATAATACTGGGAACCAAACTTTGGTCCTCTACAAGAGCGGAACATGATCTTAACGACTGAACCATCTCTCCACCTTGTGGGGTTACATTTTGTGTGTGCACAAAAAAGCAACAAAGCCCATCACTTCCATTCAGGGCAGTCATGGCAGCATAACTGCCCTTCAAGCCTAAATTCATGAGATCCAATCACCTGGATCCGCTTCTTTCTGTGGACATGGATCTAGTCTACTGCCAACTTCATTTCTAGGCTAGGTGGTATTAAGACACCTGGGCATCCCTCACACCCTACCCTGACAAAAGCAGTCACTTCCCTTCTGTGGCTCAACAGGGGAGGCTGGCAAGGAGCCACTGCGCTCCATTTACTGACTCCATCTGAACCCAGGCCACCTCTACAACCTGCTCATGGGTTGTGAGACTCATAACTGACACCCTACAGTTCAGCAAGTCCTGTGAACATGATAAAGAATCGTAACCAGAAGCAGCAGTCGTGGGGGCTCACAGCATGACAAGAAAGCCCAGAAGTGGTAAGAAGCAAGCTGGCCATCACAGATGGGTGACTGTCACCTAGCTCCACAGAGCCAGGGATGAGTTCGGCCCAAATCTGGAGCTCCCAAGGACTCAAGCTTCCCACATTTTGACCAGCAAAGCTAGGTCAATGGAGAGGTAGCTGCCAGTCTTCAATGAGATAGCAGGTTCGGGCCCCTGGGAGGGCTTCAAGGATGTCACTAAAGTGAATGGGAACTTTGCTGAGGAGGAAATGAGAGAGGCTGTGTGGTCCGATGTGACAGGGTCAGGGTGTGCTGGTCAAGCCTTAGGAGTTTGGATTATCTCTGGGCTTCACACATACATGGGTAATAATGACTTCCTAGACAAGGTGACAGGGTGCACTCAGCTAACTGAATGAAGCTGTTTCTGGGACGGGGCAGGACGGTGCTGAGCAGAGGGACCGAAGTATGGCAGTCAGAGGCTACCAGCTATCCAGAACCTTGAGGACAGCCCTGGACACAGGAGCTTCTTGTCCCTGATGGAGGGGGGGGGGACTTCAAAAGAAGGGGGTCACTCAGCCAAAAACGAGACTCAACCTACATATCACACATTTACATTATGATTTATAACAGTAGCAAAATTAGTTATGGAGTAGTAATGAACATAATTTCATGGTTGGGGAGAAGCTGTATTAAGGGTTGCAGCATGAGGAAGGTTGAGAACCACGGCTTTAGATGGAACAGGTGTTTCAGGCCAACGGTAACCTTCCCCTGACCTGTAGGTTCACAGCAGAGGCCCGGCTTCAGCAGAGGCCCTTCACATACCTGCCCTTTGGAGCTGGCCCCAGGAGCTGCCTCGGAGTGCGGCTAGGGCTGCTGGTGGTCAAACTGACACTACTCCAGGTCCTGCACAAGTTCCGCTTTGAAGCCAGCTCTGAGACTCAGGTGAGGGTCTGGTACTCCAGGGTGGCGCCCACCCTGTTTCTCTGCCCCAGAGTAGGTCAGTCTCTGCCTGTGAGCCAGGCTGACCCCTCTCCTCCCAGGGATGCCCCATCTCTTGATCAGAGTGTGATAAAAACTCCAGCTCCATCTCGTCCCACATGTGAGGGGAGTTGAATGCTTGTGCTCAGCTAGGTATCTGCCCATAACTCCGTGATGTTTTCTTATTAGCATCACATAAAGCTGTCATAACTGCCCCTGAAGGGTTTGGGGTACTCAGCTTTTCCTACAGAAGCCAGGAACCCTTCCTCTGGCTTGACTCTTAAGGTCTTGTCTCTCAACCCACAGAAAAATTTTCATGAGCCATGCTTCAGGTTAGGTTCTGACAAATATTTTAATTAACTCTATTTTAGGTTCCACTTCAGCTAGAATCCAAATCTGCCCTAAGTCCCAAAAATGGAGTCTACATTAAGCTTGAGTCACGCTGCTGAGACGACAAAAGGCAGGTGGAAAACAGCACCTGGTGATGATGACATCTGTGAACCACGTTTGAAGGGCACCCAGGATTCAAACAAAGGCCTCATGTGGAGACAGAAATGTTTAATATATGTAGACAATATCTTATCTTAGGGTGATTAAAAGGGTACATGGCATGTGAGCATGTTATTTATGTCATAGTTCCTGGATGTTTAATGTCTGTCATGTTTCATTTTGACAGTGGGGTTCCAAGCATGGTTTTCTTGGGACTGAGGTTAAATAAGAGAAAGGTCATTTTGGTTAAACTGAGTATGGTGTCAAAGGAAGTCCTGGCCTCAGGACAGTGGAGGGAAACAGGGACACTTAGGTGAACAGGTCCTGATGACACTGGTATGGGCTTTTTTAGCTTCTCGTGATGAATAGGTTTCAGAGAATGTGTGCGGACACTCAGCCTCATTATGCTTTGACTAAGCAAGAGCAGAAGAAATTAACTGGAAGCTTCCACAGATGGGATAATCCAGGCTAAAGGATCTTTTTCTTTAAAGAGCATCCTGTTGGCTCTCTTCATACTTGGCCCTGGGGTTCAGACAAAACCAAACATTCCTGGAGACCTGCAGACCTACTTCCCTGACAGCTCTCCAGTTCTCTGAGCACTCATCGGCCACTGCAGGAGGCACAACTGAACATACAGACCCCACGGAAGGAACAGTCCAAAGCCGGTATGGGAGGGTGGGCATCTGATCAAAGGTGTTAGAATGATGCCTGGTGCAAAAAGGGTACAGAATGCAGGGCAAAAACGTAGATGCCACTGATTAGAAGAGTCTTTGGGGACCTAGTTGGGATATAACTGGAGATTTTGTGCATATATATATAATATGCTTTATTAGCCCACAGGACCCAGGAAAGGGCCTGCTGCCTATCCAGTTCTCTTTCTGAACAGACACTGAAGAATGAACGCCAGCCTTCATCTGCTTCAGATAGTCTTTTATTTCCATACTCTTACTTATGTGACATTTGCAGCACAGGTCATTCGATCTCATTGGGATAGAAAACCCACACCTGGAAGGTGTCCGGTACTTATGGGATTCAGGTACAGGCACTTATGGGGGGGAAGCGCACTCATCTACGTCTCCTGTCAGGGGAAACTGTGCTTCACTTACACCAAAAATGCCTGGTTAGTGCCAGAGGGCAGAAATGACAGTGATGCCTGAGGCCTTCCCTGAAGTCTTCTTCCCCAAGGGCTAACTGACAAAAAAAGACCCTCAAAAACAGAATTGTCATACAGACGTAAATTCTTAACAATTAAAATCCATAAAATAGTATGTAGAAATTCTGTGCTTAGCATTAATAAACATCAAAGTCAGCAAAGAGTTAAAAATACAGTGCTTAACATTACTAAAAGACAAACGTGGGCTCATGATCACTACTGATGAGATCATAAGCCAACCTGAAAGGACTTGAAAACTAAAACTGTTATCAGCCAAGGATTAAGACTGTAGCTTCAAGTCAGGCCTGAGAGCATAGGCCTGTAATCCCAGCTGCTCAGGAGACTGAGGAAGAATGTAATTCTGAAAAACTCTGCCTCATAATAAAAACATTTTAAAAGGGCTGGGGGTATAGATCAGTGGTAGAGTGCTTGCCTAGCAAGCACAAGGTCCATCCCCAGCACTAGGGGAGAAAAAAAAAAAAAAAAAGAATGTAACTTCACTGAGAAGCCACATTAAATGAGAGTTCATTAAAAGTTTTGTTAATAAAAGACTTTCCCAACAGCTCCACCAGAAAGGCCTATTGCATCCTGGCCACACTCATTGCCGGCTGGAGAACAAGGAGCCCAGGGTAGCAAAGATAGAGGGGGAAGCCAGGGGCTTGGAGGAAGTGGAGTATTGAATGAGGTACTCAGGGTAGACTTGATGCTTCTCAAAAACTACGAAGATAGTTGGGTCGGACATGCTGTTTACACAGCTGTCATAGAAGGCACTGCTCTGGCCTTCCTTGGCGGGAGGGCGGACGAAAGCAGCATTGCCCCTGATAAAGTCTCCCACCAGCACCCGGGCCAAGAACATGGTGTGGGAACTTGAGTCGGATTTGCTGTAGTGGTGGGAATAGGCAGCATCTCTCGCGAAGTAGCTCCCTGAAATGACACACAGGCTGCCCTAGAAGAGGTGCCAGCAGCCTCTGCTCTTTAAACACCACACCCCTCTTCTACTCCAGTTCTCTACCTTCATCAATCGTGAGGCCATCGACACCTCTTGATGTGGCAGGGCACATGAGGACGTCACCTAACTCAAACCATCCTCAGCTCTGAATCCAGCGAAAACCTAGAGTCTGTGAATACTTTGTTCTAGACTTCGGTTTCTCATCTATAGAATAGGGCTGTCCTACTCAGCCTCAGTGGGTAACATTCCTCTTACTGAACCATTCTACAGACACCAGTAGCCCAACATATAGAACAATGATTCTTCTCAAATGGGAACCTGAACTAAAAGCTGTTCCCTCTACACAGGGATTACAAATCTATTATCAGTCTGTCCATCCCACAAATGTCACGTCAGACTGAAACTGGTAAACAGGCAGTTCATGAACTGAAAGTCAGAAAAACAGATTCTTTTTGGGTTCTGTTTGTTTCTTGAGATAGGGTCTCTCTCTACATAGCCTGGCTCTCCTGGAACTCATGTAGCCCAGAATGGTTCCAAACTCCAAGATTCACCTGCCTCGACTCCTGAGTGTTGGAACTAAAGGTGTGTGCCACCATACCTGGCCAACAAACAGATTCTTGAATTTTCTAAATTTGGTTACCACACGTGAGAAGCCTTCTTCTTAATGAGTGTTGGAGGGTGAAAGGGAATCCAGATGCCAGCTACTTGAAAATATTCCAGAAAAATGAGATGAAAAAGCCAACATGGCAACATGTTAAAATTGGGGGATGTGGAATCAATTTATGCAAGAATCATTATACATACATGTGTATATAAATATATAAACACACAGCTTGCAACTTTACTGTGAGTTTGAAATTACTACCAAATAATATTTTAAAATAACCAAGAGAAGCTGGGCCATAGTCGTGCAAACCTTTAATCCTAGCACTTGGGAGTCAGAGGCAGGTGGATCTCTGTGAGTTTGAGGTCTGTCTGGTCTACAAGAGCTAGTTCCAGGACAGGCCCTAAAGCCACAGAGAAACCCTGTCTCAAAAAAACAAAACGAAACCAAAACTAACCGAGACAAAAATGCCTAGAGAAGTCCTATGTGCGAGATGGAATGACATGCTCTTGGCTTCTATTCTAAGGAAGTCATCAAGGCCCAGTCTAGGGTCCTCAGCAAGGTGGGAAAGGTGCTGCTCTCCTCTTCCAACTCTCACCATCTCTTAGAGCCTCCATTCTACCAGAAACAAGTCCCAGTGAGCAGGACCACCTGCCGTAAGCTGATTGAGCTCTCAATCACGTATAATAGCCTGAGTACTGCAGTTCAGGGTTGAGCTGTCCCCACAGAGGCCAGAAGGCAGTGCATTTGTCACTAGCAGCGTGGACTGGCCAGCAGCTCCTGCAGCCTCTTGAGGCTGTCTTCAAGCAGTTCCCAGCTCCTGGTGGAGGTCACCCTGCCTTACCTTTGCCATAGGATGTGCCATGCAGACCACAGACCCGCCAGTCAAAGTTTTGCTGGCAGATGGCATCCACGAAGCTGGTGTTGGTACCGTGGAACAGTTGCCTCTCATCTACTTCCTTCCCCCCGTTTTGCTTCTGCATCTGCCCTTTTTGCCTAGAATGGTAGAAACACGCATGTTGAGGACGAAGGTGTTGACCAAAGAACAGTCTCCTGAACCCATTTTCTTAAAAATAAAAAAAAAAAATCATGTGACCAGAAGGTGGCTGTGGCTTCCCTGGCCAATCCCTGGCCAATCCCTGGCCAATCCCTGGAGGCTTAAGCCACAGAGCACAGAATGAGCAGAAGATGGGTTGGGGTCTGGTCAAAGAGCAAAAAGAAAGCTTCCCCTCCATAGCAAAAGGTTCTAGGAGCCAAACATCCCTGGCCAATCCCTGGAGGCTTAAGCCACAGAGCACAGAATGAGCAGAAGATGGGTTGGGGTCTGGTCAAAGAGCAAAAAGAAAGCTTCCCCTCCATAGCAAAAGGTTCTAGGAGCCAAACAGCTTAGAGGACGGCATGGGTCCTTCTTCCATCCAGCTCCTGAGTGGAGCTGAACCTGGGAAGCTGGAAAGTAGAGAAAAGTTGTGAGGCTGCTGGTCTGGGGGTGACAGGCATTCACCCTCAGCCCATCCTCCCCTCTCTACTAGGACTCATTCCAGCACTGCAGAATGCTATGATGTTGTCCCAAACCCATGGGAAGCCAAGTCAGCAAGCCCTAGACCGCCATGGAGGGCCATGATGAAGTTCCACCCTGTGTGGAGAAAAGCTGGGTGGCCATGAGCATGCTGGTCCTCATAGGAAGAATAAACAAACAAACAAATGTGGCCACTCCACTCTCTGGCTTAGCTTTAAATTCGCTCTGTCCCACTGATCTTCAGGAAGTCAGAGTAAGAGTGGAGTCTGGCTCTGCTAGTCACAGTGAGAGCAGGACCTGCGCTAGCCAAGCTGCAGTCTCTGCACCTTTACCCAGGGCTGCTACATCACACAGCCTTAGGGTGAGAAAGGAGAGCAGAGACAGTTCATGGCACACAACAGCCCTGGGTGAGCATGCTGCCTGGGACTGTCCTGGAGAGGCAGCGATGTTGGTAAGCAGCTAGCAGGATGTGGAAGATAGTTATCAGTCGCACACACCACTGGTAGACTTCCCACAGGCCCAGGTTCTGGATCCGCTCAATCTTTTCAACAGAGTAATAAGGCAGTGTACGGTTGAAGAGGTTCCACACCTTCTGGTACTCTTCTGAGGAAGAACTGAGAATAATCTTCTACAAAAGGAAAATAATTTCCATATATTATTGTCATATGATGCAAATACATGAACAATTCCTGAGACCCCTGGGAACCTCTATAACTTCAAGATAAAGCCAAAAAGTGATGATTTGGCCCTCTTCCCTAAGATGCAGTCTCTCCAGAGAAGGAATATTTTCAAAGTATAGTAATTTCCCTCTGGTTCACTTTGAAAATGGCTCATAGGCCAGCAGGTGGTGCCTAATACACCCATCTTAAGTGTCTCCAGGATGTCATTTTTTTATATCCCACATAGGCCAAAACCAAAAAAGTAGAGCACATGGCCTGTGAGAATTAGAATTACGAAGGTGTGTGAGCTCCTCGGGCCCTTCCCATGCTGCCTCCTGCTACTCTGTGTGCTTTGTGCTCTGTACGAGACATCCTCCCAGGACAGGCTCCATATTGGAAAAGTCTGTCTTCAGTGTTTGGCATGTTCCCAGCACTGGGAATCAGCCAAAGGGCCTCATACTGATGGAGCAATAAGGACATTCGTTAGCACAGTGTTCTGCTCAGCCCCACTCCCAGAAATTAGGCCTCAAATGAACTACTGAATTGTCCTCCTGTCCACTGCTGTCTAGTATCTTCCCCTCTAAATGTCCCTCATCACACTCAAATATCCCCCTTGTTTCTTTTTATTACTTAGTGAAATAAATTAATTGTCCCAGCCCTGCTTGGAAGCTCTCCATAGCAAAGGTCACAGTTCATCTTTTCCCCTTACACTAACCACCTCCTTTCACGGAGAGCTACAGTCAATCCAGTCACCCAGCCTTAAAATCCCCAAGACCTACAGAAAGCCCACATGCATCTCTACCCTCTGGTGCCATGAGCCATAGTTTTATAAAGTAGTCATTTCACACTCATCTGTCTTTAAAGAACCCCTTCTGTCCAGTTCCAGGATGTGTGACTCCCATACCTTAAATCCTGGGTCCGGCAGAGCTGCAGGGTCCCAGTAGTCTGGGATGTTCTTTGGGCCTTGTAACTTAGTATTGCTACAAAAGGTAAACAAAACCATTTAACTCCTTAGACATATGGAAATCCTTCACGGGTGATCTCTACTCACCAACATCACCAGTCCTAAGTCTTAGCGTAATTTATTTTAAAAGATAAAATATTTTAAAAGATAGCAAAATATCTACAACACAAGAACATTCATCATGCCTTGCCAGCCAAACTAAAAAGCCATCAGTCCTGAGAGATGCACTTTTCACCTGCATCCCGCCAACCACACAGAAGGGACAGAGCACTCAGGAAAGCGGTATACATGGGCCCCAGCCTTTACCCAAGTCTTGAAATTCAAAAACACCAAAGACTTTTTTGAAGCCTTAATGATATACACTTGACATAGAAAAAATATTTTTTAAACTATAAAATTGGCCCCCAAATCCACTTGGTGACAGAAATTTGAGTTAAGCTGATGAAAAGGTACTTGTGGTCTGTTGTTTGTCCTTCTTAAATGTGCATTCTTTTTTACAATACACACACACAGTGTTAAATTAAAAGGTATCATGTAACAGACATATTACATTATGTTCTAAAAATATAAACAAATAAAAGCAGTCGTAAAAACCATGACTCAAAGGGCTTAGGAACATCACTCTGAAAACAATCCAATTGATTGTAGATAAATCAAAACCTCCACTGTCCTTCCTACAGCAGAGCTACCTTCTATTTCTGCTGGCAAGGGACAGCTCTTCATTCCAAGCCTCCAGAAAATCCCACAAATAATTTTCCTGGGAAAATATCACAGTTTAAAAATAACCAAGGAGGATCCATCAGTGAGAACCAGCCACAAGATTCTTAGTTTCACCTATTTTACCTATTAAGATGATAAAATTATCAGATTAGAAATCAGCATTTATTCTTCTTATGATTAAAGAAAACACTTGGAACACACATGTAAGAAAACCATAATAAGATCTTCAAGAACCTAACAAGAACCAAGCAGAACTGCTAGAAAGATAAAGTGAATCCCTGACAATAAAAACTCGATGGTTAGCTCACAGCTTCACCCACCTCAAGAGTGAAGTGCACTGAAAGACACATGGAATGAAAGCATTCAGAAACTGGTCCAGAGAGCAAGGTGGTGGGAAATGTGGGAATCCAATCAGAACCTCAGGAAGCTCTAGACAGAACAGAACTGATGAGACATACCAACCACAGCTTTAAGAAGCCCACAGACTCTCCGCAGAATAAATATAAAAACATGCCTAGACACAGCAGAATGAGGTACAGACTCCGAGACCTTTAAAATTAGCCAAAGGGGGTGGGGAGGAAGTGTGATAACTTCAAAAAGTACTACTTTGACCTACAATGCTACTGCAAAAGCTACTGGGAAAAGCAGAAGACAGCAGAGTGTAGCTTCAGGGCTCTAAGGGACAGTAAAGCAACTACAGCCTAACCGTCTACACCCAGTGAAAGCATCTTTCAGACTAACTACAAACAACCACATCTCTCTTCCCTTTGAAATCTTATCAAAGGAATTTGAAGAAAAGTAAAGATTAAAATGTGAGTAATTTAATGAAGCCCTCACAGTAAAGAACAAGTGTCTCTTAAAGTTAAAACAAAACAAACAAATATCAAGAGGAGAGTATGAAGTCCTTACAGTAGGAAAACAAAGACATCCATCATTCATTTGTGCCTAAGTGAAGAACCCACAGAGTTTCTTACATTGTCTCTAACACAATGAACAACTTCCAAACTAGTAGAGGAAAATAAAATATATTTTTTAAAAAGTCAACATTCTTTATTTTTTATTACATTTGTGTGTATGCATGAGTGCACATATGTGTGCATGCACAAGCACTTGTGCCACAGTATGCATGTCGAAGACACAAGAAAATTTGTTTCTCTCCTACCACCCATGGGTCCAAAGGTTGAACTTGGGTGAGTGTCAAGTTTGGCAGCAAATGCCTTTACCCACTGGGCCATTTTACCAGCCCTGGATTATGTTAACTAAAAATGGAACTAAACTCAATGTATCCAAATGCAGTTTCAAATTTTACATTAATGATGCTCCTACAGATTAAGCTATGTCTCATTCATGCCCAAACAGCCATTGTTGCTATAGTTACTAGGTTACCAGCTACTGTCATAAGGGTTGAGGAAGGAACTAGGCACCTTTTCTGTATGTGCAGGATACAGGACACAGCACTCAGCTCACAGCCCACTGAAGAGTAGGACTTGAATCATTTGTACCTTATTTTGTATTTGATCAAAATAACTACTTTTTTGTGGTGTTAGGAATCAAAACCAGGACCTTGCATTGCACATACTAAGCATAAGTCTGCTTACAGTCCCCTAAAAACTAAACTAGAATGATGACACAAGAAATCCAGAAAAGCTGGGCAGTGGTGGTTCGCGCCTTTAATCCCAGCAGAGGCAGGTGGATCTTTGTGAGTTCAAGGCCAGCCTGGTCTACAAGAGCTAGTCCTGGGCAAAACAAAACAAAAACAAAAACAAAAAAAAAAAAAAAAAAAGAAAAGAAAGAAAGAAAAAAGAAAAAGAAAGAAATCCAGAAAAGAGAAAGAAAAAAAAGACTTCCAAATTTTGCTTAGGGCAAAGAATAAAAAATAAAATATCCCTGCATAGGGAAAGAATTAAAAAAAAAAAACTTCATGTAATGTGATGTAGGACCATCACAATCAATCACAACTAAACCTAGAGGCAATACCAAAGAGATTGGCATTTAACCAAAGCAATAAAATTAGAAAACAAAAAAAAAAACAGTTCTAATGAAAAATACCTTATGAATACCAAGATAATAAAGCAGGTAACAAACCAGAAGATGTATCTGAAGTTTACAGAAGCAGTCAAGGGCTGAAAGGCCCTAACAGATAAAGAAGCTCTTGGTGCTAGAAAGCTGTTTCCTTCAGCAAAGTGCTGGTATGTAAGTGTGAGGACCTGAGTTTGAATCCCAGGCACCCACAATGGAAGGCAGGAACCAGCATTGAAAGTCTGTTTTCACACACATGCATACATGCACACAATCATAATAAATAAAATTTAAATAGTAAAAAAAAAAAAAAAGACCCAGGCAGTGGTGGTGCATGCCTTGAATTCCAGCACTCAGGAGGCGGAGGCAGGTGGATCTCTGTTTGAGGCCAGCCTGATTCAACAGCGAGTTCCAGGGCAGCCAGGGCTACACAGAGAAACCTTGCCTTAAAAATAAATAAATAAATGAATGAATGAATGAATGAATAAATAAAACAAAAAGTCCACAGAGGAAAAAAAAAGGAGTTGGAGAATCACCCCTATGTTTTATAAAAAAAAAAAATATATACTCAATCTCATTCCTAAAAGTAAGCAGACTAAAGAAGACTATGAGAATGGCAGAAACCCAAGGGCTTGATGATTCACTAGAGGCAAGGCCAAAAAAAAAATCAGTAAATTGTGATCTTGCTGGATGGTCATAGTGGTACAAGTTCATGGAAAGGAACTCAGTTTGACTTCTGGCTATGACCTGACAACCAACCTCCAAATACACCATAGGGTTCTCTGTAGCATTGTATTTTGTAATAGCAAAATATTGAAAACACAAACATTCATGAAGGGGAACAAATTAATAAACTATGTTATATACAAACACTGATGGACCACATGAGCAGAAGCAGATTAAAGACTCTTCAGTGCGACACTACATACAACACACAACTCCAGAGAAGTTAGAGCCAGATGCAAAGACCCACAACCAAGCACCAGGTCAAACTCAGGGAATCCAGTCAAAGAAAGGCAAGAAGAGAATACATGAGATCAAGATCATGATGGAGAAATCTACATAGGCAGCTGAATCAAGCTCACAGAAACTCATGAACTCTGGACAAAAAGTTATGTAGCCTCCATTGGGTCCAAACCAGGTTCTCCGTATGTGGGAGTCAGTCGTGAAGCTTGGGCTAGCTATCTGAGCACCCCTGGCAACAGGAGTAGGACCTATCCCTGGTGCAGAAGCTGGCTTGTTAGAGACTATGAGGAGATGCCGTACTCAGACTTAATGCAGAGGAGAGGGGCTTGACCCTGCCCCAAATTAATGTGCCGAACTATGTCAACACCCCATGGGAGCCCTTACCTGTTGGGAGGAGTGAATGGGGATGGGCTGGGGGAGGAAGCGGGAGGAGGGATGGGAGGGTGAACCTTGTTTGGAATGTAAAATGAATTAAAAATAAATGTTTAAAAAAAATTAGGCAAGTTTAATAAAAAAAAAAAAAAGAAAAAAGTCTTCAGTGATTTGAACAGATTTGAACAATTACATAGGAAGTAGGCAGACGTCTTTATGGGCACCTATGTATATATACACACTATTTTATTTTGCAAAGATAAACACAGAAAGGGCGATCAGAAGCAAACAAAAATGGTTACCACAATTGGAGCAGGGCAGTGATAACACAGACACAAACTACTGAGTATACTGTGTTACAGGGCTGGACTTTTAAACACGTACATGTTTTACATTTCATCAAAAGTAAACTTTAATTATAAGAGAAAAAGGAGGGCATGTTCTCAGGAACTTACCTCGTTGTATCTGACTCCCAAGGCATTGCTTCTTGGACTGCTAATGCACATTTCCTCTCACTTACACCAGATCTTTAAATGACCTCTGTTTTACAAACATAATAAACTTTCCCTCTGAAGTCTTCAGAGAACCAACAAAACCAAAGGGACCTGCTTTTGGACTAATAAAGCTTAGGCAGCTAACAGTATTGTTGTCTGAAAGTCCCAGCATGGCCATGGCAAACAGACTCTAAGGGGAATTTGGTACATCTTCACTATCTAGGCCATCTTCTAGTACACAGCTATGTGATTTGGCTAGCTCCAACCCCATCACAACTGTCCAAGACTAAACTACTTTTGTTTTAAAGAAAATTTGATCAGTGCAGAGCAAGAATTTCCCATTAGCTGCAGAAAGTCTCTCTCCCCTATTGAGTGCTGCCTATGGGTTCAATTAGATGCTCTTAGCAGCCATCCTGTGACACAAAGAAACCCACTGTGAAAGCGAAGCTGGTTTGCTAATGGCTATTATACCATAAGTTTCTTTGTTTTGGTTTTCTTTTCAAGACAGTTTCTCTGTGTAGCCCTGAATATCCTGGAACTCACTTTTGTAGACCAAGCTGGCTCTGAACTCACAGAGATCTGCCTGCCTTTGCCTCCTGAGTGCTAGAATTAAAGGTGTGATGGTACATACCCAACAACTTAAACATTTTTTAAAGATTCAGGTCCATAACTCAGTTATCACATTTAAAGACAAACAATAGGCTGGCTTCAAATCTAGCCAGGTTTGCACATCCCAACAGACAGTTTTGTGATTTTTTTTGAGGAAACCCACAAAGCTAATTTCACTATGGCTCACAGACTTTCCCAACTAGTTTGGGTTTTGTTTTGTTTTGTGAGACAGGGTTTCTTTGTATAGATGTGGTTGTCCTGGAACTAGCTCTGTAGACCAGACTGGACTCGAACTCACAGAGATCGCTTGCCTCTGCTTTCCTGGTGCAGGGATTAAAGGTGTGTGCCATAGGTTTAATGACAGTAATATGCTAGCCATGCATGCCAGTCAGTACCCTTTCATGTAATCTGAGAAGCTCTTGTTTCTGGCAGCAAAGCACTCCTCAACTGAAACCTACACCAAGTAAGCTCACAGAAGCTACTTACCAGGACTGCTTCATTTGGACATCCTGGGGAGACACATACTTGGGTCTGCGGCAAACCTTTCTGACAGTGCCATACACAAGGTTTTTCTGCAGAAAGGCTGGAAAACAAACAAAAAACAACCTAATGAAAAAAAACACAAGTGTATGTGTGTGTGTGTGTGTACGTTCGTACGTGTATGCACAGCAGTAATGTTCTGTAAACATAAATTAAATGGGTTGGACAGATAATCCAACATGTAAAACCCAAGATCAGTTTTAAAAATGTGATTTTACACACTTCAAATAGTCATAAATAAAGAAAACCGGTATCCTTAGGAGACTGAGTTTAATGAATAGAGAAATGATTAGTAATTGGTATATCAATTATGCATGAAAGCTTTTGAATTGTTCCTTCCAATAATATTTAAATTATTATTTTGCTTAGCAATTTTTTCCAGCTTAGATGTAAAGTTCCAGCCAAGCCTGAGACCAAATTACCACATCTTGAGTTAATGCAACTTATAGGTAATAATTTTGCCCTTATGACTTTTCTTAAATTTGAATAAGCAGACTCTAGAGCAGTATTTATCAATCTTTTCAAATCCATGTTCTCCTTAATAAACAAAACATTTGACCCACCCTCAATCTCAATCTCAGGTTCATCCCAAGAATAGAGTGTGGATATCCATCCACATTTGCATTGAAAACGACAAATATCTAGAAGTTATATTTCCTATTAAGAAAACCCTATCAAGTGCTACTTTTATATCTAAATACATAAACCAATTTTTATTTTAATTTTAGGAATATTTTAATACTAAACCTTATAGATGTCTGAATTTACCTGCTTTTGAAGATAAACTATGTAATAATTTGAGGACGTGTCCCTTCCATTGCAGCTATCCTCATTGTCTTCTGGAGTCCACTATTCACTTAGCTCCCTTAACCTTTCTGTTGCTCATCATTCAACCGTCCATTGATGCTTTGCTCATGAACACGCTGGCTTAATAACCATATATAATGAATCTTAAATGACCTTTCAACAGTAAAAATGGCTACTTGGCATATATGGAGTGGTTAAGCATATGTTAGACAGCTTCTCTAATCTTTCATTGGGAAAAAAGAACCCCTTTTCCTAATAACTTTGTTGTTTCATTAATTTACACTGGACACATCCCTAAATGAGCTTGCTGTGGGGGATTCTGCTGTTGACAGTCGGGGAACAGGATGTCAATACTCTGCTTCTGGAAACGTAGCTATCACTTTGAGTTATTCTTTCATGATTATTCATAAAACATTATGATCTCTCTTGACATGAAGTATGGCTCTGAGACACAGAGCTCAAAGGTATTTCTCTCCCTTAATCTCTTGTTTCACAGAGGTCAGCAGTCAGACAGGTTTGAAGCTTCTTCTCCCCAAATACCTAAGACAGAAACTCGCATAATTAGAATGCCTGTTCTGAAGACGGATAAGTCTGGGTAAATGAAGGAGTCTCTGCCTAAGACCGGCGCAATCATCTGTCCTGTTGCAGAAGCATGGGCTTTATTAAAATTAACAAAAAGTGGGGAAGTGTGGAGGCTGAATTATGCAAGTCCACATTTCTGGTGGTCAGAGAATCTGAACAACTTAAAGGCGCAATTGGTGCCTTCCACACAAGAGGTGGTCGTCCAGCTCTCTGATGCCATCCTAACCAGTGGTCAGGATGTGCTAATGTTGTTCTGCTCCTTCTACTGTAAACTGGGGAAGAGGTGTTCTCAGTCTACATGACAAAATAGGCATGGACAGGCCATGGCCTACTCATCCCCTGCTACCTAGGAAACAATGCTAAGGAAGTTTGTGTTACCTGCCCCCTCAGTTTACCTCGATATAAAAGATGTTTGGAAAATAAATGCAGATGATCTCAGGATATGAATGATTCCTGAACTTCCTCCAGGAAAAAAAAAAAGTAACTGCCAAAAACTGACAACCAAGGGTTTTTTGGAAAATTTGCCATGGCACCTTGCTACTTTCCACACAGAACAGAGTATACAGAACAGTGAGGATACACTGCACCAAGGCAGGTCCTCTGATTCCCTTTAACATGCTGGACTTGTGAGTGTAAGGTGAGCTGAGCAGAGCTGGATGGAATGTTTGCATGGAGACTGCACAACTAAAACTTGCAGCATTCTCACAAATCAGCCACTGAAGAACTGGCCAACGGGTGACTGCTCTGCTTTTGTCTGTTAAGATACATGGGGAAAAAAATCACCTCAGCTCCAGCTTCTAGACACTAACTAAAAGGACAGAATTTTTAATTAGTGTGTCCTAGAGCATCAAGGCTGAAAGTACCTACAGAAAATGCAGTAGCTTTGGTGCTATGCCAGGAGTAATGAGATGACACCACCTGGTAGAGTCACGTGGGCCTTGGAGAGCCAGAGGTTAACCTTCAGATACAGAACAGCCACACTGTCTTCACTGGCCCGATCCCTCAATGTCCGAAAAGCTCCCTCTCCTGAAACCCTCGAAGCACATCTCCTTGACAGTTCAGGGCAGTAAGTATCATCTGTTGATGGGTCTGGCTGCCTTTTGGGATAGACCTCCTTTCCTTGCTTATACCAGCTAGGCCCCCAAGTTAATATGGGAGGACTCACTCAACAAGAAAAGGGGTACCTTTGAAGTCTAACTCGTAGTTGTGCTTTCCAGCCTGGAACTTCAAGGTAGCTGCCTGGGAATCAGCCCCTGGGACACAGACTGCCAGGTAAGCCTTTTCCACGTCACTGCTGCTGATGGTGGTCACAGGGTGCATTGTGCCCTGTAAGGGGAAATCCAAAGATGTCAGGGAGGCAAGAGGATGTGGTGATGAACAAAAATGCTGGTCAATCCAGCCCCCATTCTGGACAGATGATCTTGTTATAGGGAAAGAGGAGGTGCCATGGAGCAGGGGGACGGGATGGGGGGTATGGAAGGGAAGTTATATGACTCTCTTGAAGCTACTGTAAATAGATAATGGTACATGTAGGTCTTACTAAGTAGGGTAACCAGGATGCAAGCAATAAAAAAGCAAAAGAACACCAACCAAGATGACTTAGCAGGAAAAGGTACTTGCCACTAAGGCAAATAATCTGAGTTCAATCCTTAGAACATGTAAATAGGAGAAAACAAACTGCCACAATTTGACCTTTGACCTCCACATCCATGCAGCGGCATGAGCACACCCATATATATACATACACACAAATACATAGATAAACAAACAAGCCATTTTTAAAATTCTTCAGACTAGATGGTACAGCTATACAAATGATGGCAAACTATCAACGGCTAATTCACCTAAGCCACTTAGATGGTCAGCTCGAGAAACACTACCTCTTCTACAGCTATTCTCATTCCCTTAGTCCTCCAGTCAGGCTTCAGTCCCTTTCTGTGCTGATTTTCTGGTCTCTTGGAGGATCTTTTTTCCGCCAGTTATTTATTTCAATTCTCATTTTCTCTGCAATTACCTACTAGATAATATTTGGGACTGGATGGACTAAATTTGAATTCTGCGGCTTTGCTATGGTTTAGATATGGTTTGTCTCTCAAGGATTTATGCTCTGAAAGCATAGTCTCTGATGTGAGGTAGAGCTTTAAGAAGTAGGACCTGAGGCTCTGCAGGCACCATATGCATATGATGGACAGGCAAACATGCAGACAAAACATCCACATATGTAAGATAAAAATAAATGTACTCTTCACTAAGTCACAAGTTCTACAATTTAGGGACAAAACATAAATAAAACAAAATCTGTCCCTGCCTTTGAGAAACAGTACAGCAAAAAAGGAGGGAAACTAAAAAGCAAGTAGTTAACTCAATACATCATGCTCAAATATCCCACGGGTCTACGTGGGTGATACAGAAGCTACAGGCACTTGCTGAGAGTGACCTTTTCTGAGGCACAATCCAGCAAAGTTTCCTGAAGGAAAACAAGCATGAGTCAAGGCCAACCCCGAAGAATGGCTTGGCTCTATGAAGGGGGTCAGAGAAGGGGTAGTAGGCATATATGGTTTTGGAAAGAAGTATTTTATGGTCCTATAGTAGTGCTTAGTTTCTCCTTTTAAACTCTATCATCCTTCGAAACTAAATTATTAGGTTAAAACTTGGAAGAATGAGGAGGTGGTATAAAAATCACTTCCAGACAGTGAAGGGAAAAAGAAGATAAAACAGGAAATGAAGGAAAGAATCAGCAGAGAGGAAACAGAGTCAGACATATAACTCAAATCCCATCCCCAAACCTTAAGGTGAAAAGCCCCTTAACACAAGTTATCACAGGGAAGAGAATGAAGGCAGCCAAACAGAAAGCAAAAGCGAGGGACTTTGGCTATATCTGGAGAAACCAGTGGTTAAGCTGAGGAAGCCCAAGATTAGCAGCACTTGGAAAGTGACTAGTAAGATTTGAAGGAATGAAAAATTCCCATGTGTTCTAACGCAGGTCTGGTTGATTCTGACATTAAATTTTGGGGTACATTCTAAACTCAGAAACAAACTTAGCTTTTCTGAAAATCAAGAGAAAACTAGTCTGAAACTGGAAATTAGAAAAACAAAAAACCAAACAAACCTAAAGAAAAAAAAAAACAATTATATGAAGGGAGAATGACCCCAAGGCTATACAGCTAACACTATAAAAGGAAACCCCCAAGAACTCAAGTCCACCTATGTCTCCATATCCTTGCAGCATGTGGGCACACCAATGGCATCCACATGAAGTTCACATCCAGAGATTCCCAAACTGTCCTAAACAAGTTTACAGACTGTAAACAAAAACACGCACGAGCAAAGTGTTGGAGGTTGGAGGAGAAAAGTCTCCACCCCTGAACTTGACGGTGCAGTCTGGGAAGCTGCTCAGAGACTACTTTTGCATGAGTGCCATCAGAGCTCTTTGTGTTACATCAACAGGGCTGCCTCTGTCTCCCCCACCCAGAGCCAGAGGGATCATCAAATAAAAAATGACTGTTGCCTTTGGTAGCCATCTATTTCTGAAGAGCCACAATATATCATTCTAAGCATGGAAGATGCACCCATGGTAAAAGAGAAATATCCTGTCCTTGTGGAGCTTACATAAAAATGGGATCAGAGAAGGGCATTCTACATATGGTTAAGAGCAAGAAACCCAAGCCTCAACACAACCTCCAACAGGTCAGGGAATGCAAGTACCATCAGGTCCCCAAGATAATTTTCACTGTGGAAAAGATCTCTACATAAGTGACTCTTTCCACATAACTTCATTTCTGTAAAGTCCCCAGATCTTTTGATCCCAGCCTTTGTTGACATCTTCATATAATTGACAGTGAGTTACCTGATTTGGGTTCCAAGTCAATTGCTGATATAAATTATATTCTCATACACTGCTATTCTCTGAAATTGCAGAAACAGGCAAGAAAAGCAATTTGAAAGCCTTCAACTTTATACTACAGTTTAGGCACTAGCTCCAGAGTTTTCTGTTAACTAACAAAAATCAATGAAGAAAGCTGACATCATGACAGTTATTTAACATTCAATGCTCATGAGCTAAGATATCCAATCATTCAAGACAGGACTGTAAAGATGCACTGTCATCCAGGTCTACCAAGTACACTCCCTGGCATCTTTGTGCTTCTGTTTAGAATGGATGTTTCATCTTATACAAAATTGCCATCCTTTTTATTATCACACTTACTTGTCTTCCATATTCCTGCCAAGAACCAAACTCATCCATCCAGTACCAAACCCAGTCAGTAGTGAGGATGAAATGCGGGGGTTTGGTGACTGAAGAAGCGGTGGAGAGCCTGCGAGCCACAGTACTACCAAACTTCATGGAATCAAAGTCTAAGTTAACCAAGTGTAAGCCAGCAGCTGACTCTGTGTACACTATCCTGGAAAAGAAAATGAAGAGCAGATTAAAATTTCACCAATTAAACAACACAGGTGATTCTGCTTCCACCTATGAGAATATAGGATGTGCGAATAGTAAATATGTCATACAGTTTTAGAAATGTTTCCAGCGGCAGGGAAACCTGCTTTACAAGATTGTCACCTCTGCTCTGTGAAAATCAGGATGATACAGAAGATGGGTTATCATGAAATTCCTTTCACTGTAAAATTCAGAAAATGCTGACTCTTCTTCAAAATAACTAAGACTGGAGATGTGGCTAGGGCAGAGCATTGGCCTAGCATGAACCAGTTTGATCTCCAAGACTACAAAAATAAAATGTGTTACTAAGCTGTTAAAAAAAAAAAGAGAAATCCTTAGAAAACAAAGGCAACAATAGTTAGCATATACTGAGCATTTGCCAGCCCATGCATAAAATAATTTATGTATAGCATAGTCAATCTTTACAACCCTATGGGATGAGGCTAGTATCTCCATGCAACAAATGGAAAAACAAAAGCCCATGAGAGCTAAGAAACACATCTGAGCAACAACAGCCAGCAGACACGGGATAAAAGAGATAGTCTGGCTGCACAGCCTACATGACTAGCCACCAGTCCAGGCTCCTTTCTAAACGTGATACTGCTCCAAGACCAAGGGGAGTGAGGACAGGGTCAATGACTAATGACATATTTTTAGCAGCTAAGGCAAGGAAGTGGGGGACACATGCGAATGCAAAATCTGGGGAAGAAAGGAGGCCACATCTAAGGAGAGATTTTTTTCCCCCTTTAGATACTGAACCGGGTATTTCACAGTATTCCTCAATTGAGCTATACCCCAGGTCTCTCTTCATTTTGAAGCAGTCATTAAGTTGCCCAGGCAGGTCCTGAACTTATGATCCTCCTGCCTCACCTTCCCAACTAGATGGGATTACAGATCTATACCATAGACTCAACTCAGAAGAGATACTTCTAGCCAGACCTGGTAGCATACACCTGTAATCCCAGGACTTGGGAGGTCTAGACAGGATCAGAGGTTCAAGGTCATTCTCAGCTACACAATGAGTTTGAGGTCAGCCTGGGTTACTTGAGAGTCCATCTGGACAAAAGAAAGATGGGGTGTGCTAGAAGGAAACGACAGAGAAGAGAGAAGATAGACAGATTTCTGTATAGCTAGGTCCCAGGAACATGCCATGCTAAGGCAGTCAGGAAGGACATTCACCTGTACGCACACTGGCTTTGGAGAGAAGAGGAAAACTCCCTCAGGACTCTCAGCCAGTCAAGCCTCACACAAGTTTTAGACTGTTGCATACTTCTTTGTCGGAATTAGCTGTAAAGTATTGGTTTCCAGAAAAGCAAACATCAATTTCTTGGAGGAACTCACCTCACAAAAATTGCCACAAATAAAGTTTCATCAAACATATCTCAAAATCAAATCAAACAACACATGTGGGAAAGGACTCCATGAGAAAATGTAGCTGACAACAAATAGAATCAGACTACTGAGGCTATCAACTAGCATTCTAAGATACAAATACGTGTAAAGTGGTTCTTTTTAGCTAGTTATCAAAAGCCTAAGTTAGGATTATAAGACTAAAAAAATTGATCAGGTAATCTTGATGAAAAACAAAGACATTTGAATAAGTAATATAATATCATAGATTTTAAAGTCACAGACGGACTCACTGGATCTCATATGAGGCTGAACTAGTAGCCTGGGACTCTGAGAAGAATTCCCCTAAATGCAGCAAAGAAATGAAAAGTAAATGAAAGAGAAGGTAGGAGAATAAAGGATAAAGTAAAGAACTTTATCAGTCTACCACTTCATCAGGATCCCAGCAGCAATTCTAGAAGAAACCAAGGCTCAGAAAGTGGGCATGTGTCTGCATAAAAATTATAAAGACATAATTCTCCCCAAACACAACAGTCATGGAATTTCAAATTAAAAATACAGCAGAATTAACTGATGAAAATTTTAAATTCCTAAAGACCAAAATAGTAAGAACCAGAATCAGAAGCAGCAGCAAGAGGAAGAGGATGAGGAGAGTAGCGAGGAGAAGAGGAGGAGGAAGAGGAGCCTTTGTCTTCCCAGATACCAGAACTTAGGATTACGCTCCAATAGGTAAAAGAGATAGTGTGGGACTGATTCAGACAGGCACTGACCAGAGGCCGGAAATAGACGAACACAGTGACCACCACAGGAGGCACTGAAGACGAATGTAGAAAAGATGATATTTGACAACAAATATCAAAATGAGCTGAAATGAGCTAAGGTGTGTTAACATTTTACCAAATTTGGCTCTCTTCTGGTGGTTTCAAAAATGAACTTCCAGAAATAAGTAGTCATGAGCTTGTATAATAAGCATATTCAGTAGTTTTAATTTTATGGCAAGTATTTTAATCACGAAAAAAATAAATTAAAACTTTTCAAAATAGGTATTAAAAAAACTGGTGATTCACGTAAGAATGAAACTGAATTCAAATTTAATCACATAAAAAAGAATTTAAATATAGTGTTATACTTAAAATGTTCACTTTTAGAAGAAAACTCAGGAGAATTTCTTTTTGTTTTTAGAATGAAGGATTTCTTAAGATACATAAAGTACAAAACCATAAAGGGAAAGGTGGATAAATATTTCTCTGCATTAAAGGCACTATCAGCTGAGTAAAAGAGCTAATTTTTTTAACTCACATTTAATATGCAGAAATGTAAAGACTGCTTCAAAAATAAATGGATAGGTAAAAACATGGCTCTCTTTATTCGCAAATGCAATTAAGGATGGACACTGTACAGCAAATGAACCCTAATAGCCAATGGACACGTGGAAATCATGGTTATACAAACTGAGAAAACATTTTACACTCTTGACTGGTTAGTATGTAAATGGTCAACAGTACCAGTATCAGGGGGACACATCATTAAATACTGCTAAGGGACTGGGAAGTACTATGATCACCTGGAAGACAATCTGTTATCATCTGACAAAGCCAAGGACAAACACAGCCTATCTCCCGGAAGACCCCTTTGGAAATTCTCCCAATAGAAACACACATATGGTGCACAGAAGATTGGCCCATACCAGAAGTATTGAACTGGTATGGAAGTACAACCCTGTAATACCAGCCCTTGGGAGGTGTTGGCCACATTGACAGTTTATGGGCAGCCTGTGCTGAAAAATGAGACCCTGCCTCAAAAAGGAAAAGAAAAGAAACCACAATGCTGTTAGACTCCAGGCATTTCAGCACACAGCAAACCGTTCAACGTTTAGGTCGAAGAACTAACAAAACTAATCTATGGTGAAAGAAGTCAGTGAAGACAGCTTGGGAAAGTGAGCTGAATGAAGAACCTTCTAGAGTGATGAGATACTGTATCTCAATCAGACTACTGGCTACAAAAGCAAATATATTTGTCAAAAGTCATTGAGATGTATACTTAAAATATTCTTCAAGTAGAAAGATTATGGGTGGTATGTGAGCTTTTTAATCTTCCTAAGGAGAATAATTTGCTTCACAATTTTAGTCAATAGCAATTTGCACATATGCACTCTAAGTTCAAAATCGTTTTAGACATTCAAATCCTCCTTTTAGTAGGCTCAGCAGTTAAAAGCACTTACTGCTTTAACAGAGGATGAGGATTTGGCTCCCAGTACCCACAGTGGGTAGCTCACAACTGCCTGTAACTCTAGTGCCAGGGGAGTCAATAATACTCTTTTGTGACATCTGCAGGCACTCACATGCACATACATACACACAGACAACATAGATATAAACAATAATGAAATAAATTCCAAACCCTTTTTTTCCCTTTTAATAAAGGTTTATTTATTTTTATTTCTTGGGTGCAGTATTTTGTCTACATGTATTCACCACATAGTGCAGTGTCTGAGGAGACCAGAAGAGGGCATCGGACCCTCTGCAAGACAGTTCTTAGTCACCAAGTGGGTTCAGGAACCAAGGCAGTCTGCCAGAGCAACATATGCTTGCTTACCTACTCGGCCACCTCCCCAGCCCACAATAAGATTTTTTAAATTATCTTTTTAGCAACATATTGCAGCACGTTCTAACACAAGCTAAGGTTAAATATTTAAAAGAAAGCTATCTGAGACTTCCGTTTTCACTATGAATTGGCTGAGTGAAATGCTAAAAAAAAAAAAAAAAAAAATGCTAAAAAAAAAAAAAAAAAAACCAACCTTAAAACATTCAGGTTAAACAGTTTTGCTGTGACTTTCCAGAAAAGATTTTATCATCTGGATTATCTGCAATAATAAGTAACTGTTTCTGTAATCAATCCTAGCAGCAAGTAAGTGAAGTTACCTGGTCTTGGTACCACCTTCTTTTCTCATGGCTCCTTCCTGAATGGAGGAAAGTAGGCGAATAGACAAGCCAGTATAAACACCACAGGCTTCCATCTCCAGATCAAACTTACGTGATTGTGCATGTGTGTCTGCGTGCACACATACGCATGCATGTTCATACTATTGTTTAAACTAAATCCCTTATGCTGAGAACACAGGCTGGGCACAAAGTCTGGATGAGGGTAACGTTTTCATTCTCCTACCTCTCTTTACTGGGATTACTATATGCCTCTTCAATAAGCTCCATTTTGTCCAAATCCTTCCATTTGCCTCCATCCAAGAACTGCCACCGATACGGCAAATGAAAATGAACTCGATAGCACTTATCTAAAACAGAAACAAAGTAGTAAGATACCCTAATAAACACTGTGTCCCCACCCTTCAATTGTCAATGGGAGTGGTCCTGATCACTGACCTGAGAACATTCTGGGAAGTTATGAGGAAGTTGGGTTTTGTTAGTGCAGTTCTACCTGGACATTTACATACTATGGTTCTTACTACGTGTGTCTTTCCTTTAAATGGAACATTACAATGATGTTTTAAATAAAAAATGTGTTAGTCTAGAATGTCAGATTCTAGATTTTACTCCAACAGGAATCCATCCCAGAATCTAGCTTGATGGCTGAGGCCTATAATCTTAGCTACTTGGGAGGCTGAGGCAGGAGGATCACAAGTTCAAAGTAAAAATGGGGTTGGAAATACAGTTCAGTGACAAAGAACTGTATTAGACAAAAACCTTAGGTTCAATTCCTAAGAGGAAGGAAGAGAAGGAGGAAAGGAGGGAAGGAGGGGAAAGAGATGAATCCATTCAACCTCACACATCCCACTGAAGGTGGTGGTTTGGCTGCTGAGATATCCTCTGGGTATCTGCTAAGAGACTCACCTCATCTTCAACATACCCTACCCGTGTCTTCACATGTGTTACTCTGTCCAACAGTATCCATGTCCTCCCCTCTATTTTCCTGTCTTCTAAGTGCCACAGGGCTCACTGCCCTCCATTTCAAGCCCTTGCATCTTGGCTTATGCTGGCTGGCTCTGACACTTCCTTTCAAAAGCTCTGTGAGTTTCTGATACATCTGTACAGAGATGGTGTGTGTGTGTGGGGGGGGGGGAACTGGAAAGGAAAAAGGCCTAGGCAGTTCACTGCATTCTGACATGGAGATATAGCCAAGAAGTAAACTATTAGAAAGATCCTCATCCAGGTGCAGAATGTTTCTATATACAAATTAGGAGACAGAGAGATTAGTAGTATTCTAACTATACATATGCAGTATTTCTTGTAGAGGAATGAGAAAAGTCTTCCAACATTTTGCATGCTTCTAATTGAGTATTAGGCATGTATTTATTATATAGTCTTCAAAAGTAAGCAGCGGGGTAAGTGAAACAAGGAAAGTCCAAGTGTGCTAGTGCTATGTAAGAACAAACCGAATATACACATGCACTTAGTATAGAGACACGCACACCAGTACATGTGTAACATCTTTCTAGACAGACACCCAAGCACCAGGAAACCATCATTTGTTCTTAGAGGACCTACCTGGCTGCTAAGGAAAAGGTGATTAAGATTCATTTCTTATTAACTGCAGCTAATCCATTTTAATTTGTAGTTTAAAATAATGAATTTAAGCTAATTTAACACTTAAATTAAAATTTCCTAAAATCTATACATTCTTTCTCAATGTCAGATCTTTCCAAGATTCTATAAAAAGTGGTGGAGTGCCACAGAGGAACATGTTGACATTGCTAGAGCTTGTCAAAGAACAGGCCAGTAGTTTTTGCACAGCAAAAAGGAGCACTAGGTCAAGAGGCCTCAGAAAACAAGCTGGGGGTGTCCAGGCAAGGAAATCTCGTAAATTCAACAAGGCAGGGCATGGACATCTTGGGGCCTTGCAGCTCCCTGACTTGTACAGAGTCTGGCCTTATATGACTCATACTAGGCTCAGAGATCTACTGCATTCTTATAATGAAGCACTGGGCCAGGCTGAAGTTATGGTACAGAGGTTGCGGCCAAATCAGAGTTCCTATTCCTTCCTTGAAGGGCACTAAAGGAAATGATAAGAAGTTAGCAGAAAGCACCCAAGTGTTGAAATGTTATTTTGATAAGCTCCAAGTACAGGCAAATCTTGGGTGGCCCAAAGAAAAACTCCCTGAAGAAAACACTTCCTAGGGAACAGTAGCTCCCTCATGCCCACCAAACTGAGGTCTCAGAAAGGATCCAGGAACCCAGGGCTGTGGCTAACAGCAAGCTTGGAACTGGATGGACAGGCCAGGATTCTCACAGGTGGATGGAGAGGCCACCTCGACCACAGCAGCTGGCGAGAATTTTGTCACAGCAGTAGGAGCAGAAAGCAACCCTTCCATGGCTATCTTCCCTAGTCCACCCTATTTATCAGCTTTCTTGTTTCTCTTCTAATGTTCTCCAACTCACGGCAATCCAGGCTCTAGGCTTCTCAGGTGTTGCATAAATGGAATCAATTTGGAAAGCACATTCACCTCCCCTCCCTCCCTATATCTCTTGGTACAACAGGAGAAAGGTAAAGGTAAAAAGTACTTGGACACAATGAAAAGTACTACAAATAAAACAGGATCATTTAAGAACCCTTAAAGTACAAAGCAAGCAGAATAAAATCTAAAGAAAGAGAGAGGAAAGCTAAAAATAAATAAATCTTTTAAAAACAAGAATGAAGGGGCTATAGAGATGGTTCAGTGGTTGCTCTTCTAGAGGACCCAGGTTTAATTCCCAGCACTGATATGGTGGCTCAAAACCTTCTGTAACTCCAGTTCTAAGGGATCAGATGTCCTCTTCTGGCCTCCTTGGGCACCAGGCAAAAACTAGGTGCAAAGACGTACATGCAAGCAAACCACCCCATCCACATAAAATAAATAAATAAAATTCAATTTGAAATAAAGTATGTAAAACAAGTGGCACAACATCCAGCAAGTGTTGACCATGAGGAAAGGATGAAGGGATGGAGGGCTTTCTGCTCTGCCTGTATTCTCTAACCCCTTCACAAAGTGAAAATATTTATGAACTGCTTGTGTGACATCTAAAGACTAAAAATGGAACAAAACATTTTGGTGGCTGCAGTCACAGAAGCTGAGAAAGAATCTTCAGTCAAAGGCTAAGCTGTCAGTGAATACAAAGCTTTTGTGGAAACACTGACCCACATAAGAATTACTGTTTGTGCCGGGCGGTGGTGGCGCACGCCTTTAATCCCAGCACTCGGGAGGCAGAGGCAGGCGGATCTCTGTGAGTTCGAGACCAGCCTGGTCTACAAAGAGCTAGTTCCAGGACAGGCTCCAAAACCACAGAGAAACCCTGTCTCGAAAAAACAAAAAAAAAGAAAAAAGAAAAAAAGAATTACTGTTTGTGCTAAAGGGTAGGCAAAGGTCCCAAGCAGGGACCACTGGCCTGATATGAAGCCCTGAGCAATCCTCCAAGTGCTAACACAAGTACTTCCTCCTTCTCACTGGGGTCTTCCGAGTTTCTGAGACTCCCCTAGGCCTACTGTCACCCTTGAGAAGTAGTAATTATTTTAGCCTCCACTAGATTAGTAGCCCTATTTCTGGAAGTTCTATGGTCACTTGACACTCACCTGGTTCAGACCCAGAATGCTATATTTCCAAAAGCTTATCTACAGCTTCATTTTCAGAAATTCAAATAATTCCTTCCATTCTCAACAGGACAGATTCAGAACTAGTTTGGCAAGACCCCTCCTCTCTTTAGGGGTGCCTCAAAGCAGTTCCAGAATGAGAAGCAGTCTCCCTCCCATGAGAGGGGAGAACAGCCTCTAACTTACCTTGAAAGCTACAACTCTTCCGAATGTGGTACAAGCAAATCTGATCACTCTCCTCCTGACTAGGAGCGCCTGGTGACACAGAACCTGAACTTTCTTTTTTTTCTACAAAGAAAAAATACAAAATAGGTCAGCGTCCATTGATGCTTTTCATGTAGGATTACAGTACTGCATGGGAAAAAGAAAGAATCTGTTCATCTCTCCACACACTACCGAAGTGGTCTAGGCAAACTGACAGAACCTACCCTTAAAGGATAAAAGTACCCTGACCACACAGGTAGGCACCTGACTGTTACGGTGAATCCCAGAACACTCCGTCATACAGCTTTTTACTAAACCCAGAACATCACAGAGGGGTATTCTTTTTTTTTGCAACTATCCATCCAAGTCACTAAGAAAGGAAAAATGGAAGGGCATTTTAAAAATTATATTTAGTTTCTATAGTAAATACTTGTCAATGAAGTCTTTAGAACTGGGTAGTAACAATAAAAAAGGTAATATATGGAAAGTTTTCATCTTCAAATACAATATTCTTAATTTTAGTTTACTTATAAGCTCTTTAAGACAGGCATGCTAAGTTCTTTCAAAGTGTACATTTCTCATTACCACACCAAAGGGTCTTTACCTATTACATTTATCCCATCCACTTAACACAAATAATAATAGAAAACTCCTTGACAGCTTTTCCTCATTTACTATCCTATCACCTGTCGCTCTGTTATCGGCATCTTTCCTTTTCATTTTGTAAACTCCCAAATATTCCACAGGCTGGGCCTCAAAACCCACACCTAAGAGGCTCTGAAGTTCTTCTCTCTCCAAAGAAGTAACTGTTTGTAAGACCTAGGTCACTGAGAAGTGGGTCCTTCCCTCATTTTTAATAGTTATAATCCAGATGATGCTCTAAACATTAGCTACAGTGAAACCTCTGTATATCCGAGTATTAAAAAAAAAAAAAAAACTGAAGAGACTGGTATGACAGTAAGTGCTTGCCCTGCAGGCTTGAGGACCACAGATCTGTCACCCAAAACCCACATTTTTAAAAATCTGAGTGGGTCTGGAGAGATGGCTCAGCAGTTAAGGGCACTGGCTGTTCTTCCAGATGTCCCATATTCACTTTCCAGTATTCACATGGTCTCCCATAATTGTCTGTGACTCCAGTTCAAGAGATCTGACATCATCTTTTGGTCTGTGGGAACCAAGCACTCAAGTGGTGCACAGATATAGCGATACATGCTTTTAGTCAAAGCATTTGGGAGGGGAAGGCAGGTGGATCTCTGTTGAGTTCAAGACTAGCCTGGTCTACATAGAGACTTGCCTCAAGAGAACACACACACACACACACACACACACACACACACACGTTGAAGCTGGGCATGTTGAGCGTGCCTACAGTCCCAGGGGAGGTAGAGATAGACAAAGAGATCCCTTGGGGCTCACTGGCCAGCCAGCCTAGTCTATCTGGTGAGGGCTAGGACAATGAGAGATTCTGTCTCAAAAAAACTAAGATGGGCAGCACCTGAGGAGTATCAACTGAGGTTGACACACAAATGCATGCGCACGCTCACAAACAGAAGAAAATGCAAAGGAAAGCTAGAGGCAGCAAGAATAATTTTTAAGGGGTTGGAGAGATGGCTCAGTTGTTTAAGAGCATTGCCTGCTCTTCCAAAGGTCCTGAGTTCAATTCCCGGCAACCACATGGTGGCTCACAACCATCTGTAATGAGGTCTGGTGCCCTCTTCTGGCCTGTAGACATACACACAGACAGAATATTGTATACATAATAAATGAATAAATACTTTTAAAAAAAGAATAATTTTTAACTATGACAATCAGATAAGATTACAGTGGCCAGTATGTTTGCTGGCACTGTTGGAAAAGTTCTATTAAAACACGGTTTCTCTCTCAACCTCTAAATGAGTGGGTGGATAAAAGGAGTGCTCTGTGGAGGAAGCCTATTCTCATGTTTATAAAAGGCTAACTCAGGCCCAGGACAGAGACCAGCACATAGCAAATTCCCAAAGTTACCGAAAGAGCAGAGAACCAGAGTGGCCAGCCAACAGCATCTATAATGAAATCCAAATGAACCAAGTTTTCATAAGCTCCCTCAAGGGCCACATTATTCATCCACATACAGCAGGTAGTTAAGAAATGCTTATTAAGTAAAAACCTTTGGCCAGGAACAAAGGTAGATACTTAAAGCCCCAGCTACCAGGGAGACTGAAGCAAGACAACTGTGCCAAATTTGAGGCCATTTTGGAGAAAGAGGAAGATGTCACCTCACAAAGAAAAAAAAAAAAAGTAAAATCTACTGAAAAAGGCTTATAGAAACACACTGCTTTATAAAGTAATTTTAATTAAATATGTAATTTTTTAAAAAGGAATTTGAATAGAGGTCCACTGCATGAATGGACAAGTCTTTTCCCCCAGAACATCTGAGTTACAAAATAAAAATCTTAGTCCCAGGCATGGGATACCTGTCTAAGAGTCATCATTGGTCAGGAAGGCCCCAGAGGAACCCCCTAACAACACAGGTTATTGCTCTTGGCTGCTCAGCATTAAGTAGACAGTGAAGACACAACATACTTTGGAAAACAGAAATCAAACTGAAACTAACCCAAAAACATCCTCCCTGCTGGCTAACTTTCACAGTGGTAGAAGGCACAAGGCAGGCCAATGGAGGAGAAAAGTCATCAGTAGAATACCCAGTAGTGAGTGGATTTTGCAGGCTACATTCTGCCAGGCAAGATATAACTACTGGTATAGACATATCAGGGGCAACCAACTGCTTCTGGTTGGATTTTAGCCTGCTCTATAGGAGGAAATTCATACTTGGTACTATAAACCAACCAAAAGTCCATGGCTAGAAAGGTCACAGGCATTAGACAACCTACTACTGTTGTTCTGGTCAATGAACATTGTTGTCAAACCACCTTTTAAATATTTATTTTATACCCATATATTAGTGCTGCTTTCAACCTTGGTTATAGAAGATTCTTTTTGCAGTGAGCAGCAACCAATATAGAATTATAACTGGTCAAAGTGCCAAAAATAAGTGACTATTAAAGTGTTTAGCCTTATATAAAACATTTGTATCAACGCCCCTCAAGTACAAGGGAACAAATCAAAAGGAGGGACAGAAAGAAGAGAGCTGGAGGATGGGAAAGTACTATGAAACACTGTCTTCTAGACAAAGGATGGCCACTGCATGCAGGCATTCACAGCAGCTATGGTTTACCAGCACAAGATTAAGCCAGTCAACATTCCATTATGAATGTGAGAGGGGCTTATGAGGCTCCACTCCTAGTCATGAGCTACTGGCAACTAACTACTGCTTTGGAAAGGGAAAGTCATCTTTCTTTGGTGGTACAGCCAGAGGTAGGTAGTTCATTCAGATGGATGACCCCATGTCAACAAGCATGCAGGTTGCACTAATGAAATTCAGTGGTAAGACAACTTGCTGCCAAGTTTGATCCCTGGGACCCACAAGGAGAGAAAGATTTCTACAAACTGTCTTCTGACCACATGTGCTATAGCACAAACTTGTATGCACACACACACACACACACACACACACACACACACACACACACACAAATAAATGTTAACAAGTAACTTTTAAGATAATAGCATGAGGGATCTAAAGAAATGGGTCCGTAGTTAGGAATGTTTGCTGCTCTTCCAGAGGACCTGAATTCAGTTCAGAGCACCCACATGGAGGCTCAAAACCATCTACAAATTCAGTTTCAGAGGATCTGATGCCCTCTTCTGACTCCTACAGGCACTTACACATCCACATAAATAAAAGTGAAATAAAAACCTTTTTAAAAATCACATAAATTTGGAGAAAATATTGGAAAGAGTAGGAAGGGGATTTGGGTTGGATATGATTAAGAAAAGTGTATACATTTACAAAATTAGCAAAGAATAACTAAAAATTATTTTTTAAAAAATTCTACTAGAGGCTAAAGATTGCTGAGCAGTTGAGAGCATCGGTTTCTCTTCCAGAGGACCTGGGTACAATTCCCAGCATCTACATAGCAGCTCACAACCATCTGCCAATTCAGCTCCAAGGACTCTAATACATTATCCTGACCTGTGACCTCTGCAGGCACCAGAAGTGCATGGTGCACAGACACACATAGGAGAAAACACCTATGAATGCAAAATATTATAAAAATATCAACTGAGAAGTCATCTACTTGTCACTAAGCCTGACAGACACTTAAAAAAAAAATCTCCTGCCTACTCACTCATGTTGACAGGCCAAGCACTGTCTAGATGTCAAAGAGTTAGGGAATAAGGCCAATAAATAAATAAATAAAAATTAACAAGGAGAGAACATCTGCTTACTCATGACAGGAAGATGGTCAAGGCCAGTTTTACAAATGCCTTCTTGAATTCTTCTGCTATATAAAGAATACCACCCTAATGGTTGGCCCTAGAGCTGTATAATCAGCATCCCAACTCTAGGTCCCTCACTAAAAGGAAAAATTCTCCAGAGAGTGGGAAGGCAATTGCACAGAGGGGAGCTGACCTCACTTCAGTGCAGACCCAAAGCCTCTAGGGTACCCACCACAGTTCACATCACCTAAAATGCCTTGTTTGACTAAGCCTAGACCTCAACTCATCTTCGGAACCTGAGCTAGGAAAGATGAATAACTGTTACTAAACTTCACAATTGCACAAAGCCATATTGTATTTACTAACCAACAAAAACCCAGGTCATAAGCCCAGGGCCCACAGCACTTTCCAGCAGCCTTACCAGAAGTTCCCGGTGAACCTACAGAAGAGGGCACTTTGCTGAGGGTGGAGCCCATATTCTTGATGTCATATGCATTCCGGTAAGTAGAGAGCAGCCTGCTCATCATGTCAGAACTTATACCCAGCTTCTCCAATTTCTGCAGATTTTCAGAGTTAGTGATCTCGTGGGACCTCTTACAGCCAGTGCCAAACTTGCAATCTCCCTGTAAGTAGTACTGGCAGATGTGGAGTTTAATGCATTGCTTTTGAAATGAGCAAGAGCCGAAGGGTCCATCTCCTTTGTTGTAATGTAGGCAGATCTGTTGACAAAGAGCATAAAAGACATCATCCCATGAACACTTTACACAGCACATCTCCTCAATAGCCATACCACGGGGAGAAGGGGCCTCAGAGCCAATGTACTATTTCACCATTCACATGGGCCAGAGAGGTCACCTTTCACTTAAGACATGGATACCAAAATGCTCCCTAAAATAAAATACCCTCCGAACAAAACCCTCCCCTAGAAAGACCCATGCAACTTCAAAGGAACAGGAGCAGGGGCAGTCTTCTACCCACCCTTACCCCCCAACAGCCTCACCACACCAAGTATCTCTTACTAGTTCATTTCTCCCACTTTTCCTTTCTAAGTTCAAAGTCAGAGAGGTTATAAGGGCTAATGTATCTCAGAAAAGGCCAAATACCACTGCCTCATTGTTGTGGAAAATTATTTAAAGGTGTGTTGCATTTGCTTAACTCTGTGAAGCTGTGTTGCTGTGCCTGCCTAAAACAGCTGACAATCTAATAAAAAGCTGAACAGCCAATAGCGAGGCAGGAGAAAAGGATAGGCAGGGGCTGGCAGGCGGAGAGAATAAATAGGAGGAGAAATCTGAGAAATGGAGGAAGAAGGAGCAAGAGAGAACAAGGAAGATTCTAGGGGCCAGCCACCCAGCCAGTCACAGAATAAGATATACAGAAGTAAGAAAAGAAAAAAATCCCAGAGACAAAAGGTAATTGGGATAATTTAAATTAAGGAAAGCTGGATAAAACAAGCCAAGCTGAGGTTAGGCATTCATAATTAAGATTAACCCTCCAGGTGTGATTTATTTGGGAGCTGAGTGGCAGGCCCCCCAAAAGCAAAAGAGTTTAAAAAAAAAAAAAAAACTTCATTTTTCAATGGAACTTGCAAACTCCAAAGCTCAACAGCCAGGTCCAACAGGTACAAGCACCAGCTGCTCAGGCCTGAGGTCCTGACTCAAACACCAGAGTCAACGTTAAGGTAAGAAGGAAGAACAACTCCATAGAGTTGTCCTCTGACCTTTGCACTGTGGCACACTCATACGCACCCTTGTACACATGTGTGTTTATGCCCCACTCCTAACAAATTTAATAAATTTTATTAAAATTTCATCAGCTATCCCCAGTCACACAACTAGTCCCTGTATCTGTTGTGTGTTCAGCTGGGGTGCTGGCAAACCTCAGCCAGCCTTTTTCTGGTTTATTGATACAAGGTCGCCCATACCCAGACTGGCCTCATGCTACATGAGTCCCAGTCCTCCGCCTTCACCAACCAAGATCACAAAACACGCACCACAATGCAAAACTGCAGACTTGCAGCTTGCCCCCAATCCGCTGCTCCTTTTCTACATTTCAAGTACTTCAACATGGAAACTGGCCCCCACTTGACTCCTAGGCACTAAGTTTCACAAGCTGTAGAAAATCCCTTGAGGGCTTCAGAAGCAGGACTCAGTTTTCCTTCAAGGATTCCACCCACGGGAAAAGCTAGACATCAATTCTGACAGCTGCCGTGTACAAGCCACTCATCAGCTTTGAGACTCCAAAGTTTAAATCTCTAAAACGGGTAGGATTTCAATGTGGCAGAGTTGTTGTGATTACTAGACAGGAAAACAAGGAAGCGTCCAGCAATGCCAGCACATCAGGGGTGCTAGACTGCCCTCATCCTCACTCATTTATCTTCCAGCACTCAGGGCAGGACTCATCAACCTGAAAACACCTTTGCCCAGAACGCGAACTCTCACAATCACAAACATCACCCTGAAATCATTCTGTGACCTTCTTATCCTACAATTTGATTTGCTTCCTTTAAGGACAAAGCAGGATCTTTTATCTCCTGATCACAGTGCCAAACCAAAATGGATATTCCCGAAAGCTTAGCTGAATAAAATCAATATGAATTTTCAAAAAGCAAATATAAAAAGTCAACATTTATTATGTGCCACTCACGATGATATGCTACCATTTCTCAAATGGGTGACATTGTCTAATACGGAAATATCTGCATTAAAATATGCCAATCTAATTTGTTAGATCAAACCAATAACCGTGTCCAAACATCCCATCTAACCTGCCCCGTCCATGGAAAATACCCTACCCAGATCTGCCAGAGGCGCCCTTTAAAGCCAGTGTCCTATTCACACTGAGGCACAGCAGATCCAAAGGCAGGTCTCATCTGGTGAGTCACAGCAACCCTCTAGCAGCCCCTGGGAGCCTGGCAGAACTGCTGTCAGACACAGGCTATAGTCAGTCAGTCTCCCACTCAGCACCTTCCTTCCTCACCTGCCATGAATGTCATTCCTACCTTGCCACAGTCTAAAAGTTCTCTATACGTTCCCCTGCGCCTTACCCAATAAATCTTCTATGCTGCTAGTCCTCACCCACCAAATGATACAGAGATAATGCAATAAGTTTACACCATCTGAGAATGCATGTCAGCTAATGTTCAAATTCTCCCGGGTAAAAGGAGTGAGTAGAGAGAGTACTGAGTGACTGTCAAGAAGCTCTGGAAGACGTCACCATAGACCAATACCCAAATTTACAGTTCCAATTCCCGCAATTCAGGGACAAGCCAACTGGGGCCATTCATTCTGCTCAGTGCTAAATAACACTTGCTTCAGGCTTTGGCCAACCTCACTGTCAACTGATAGGGAAGGAAAAGTTTCAAGAGATGCCAAGGCTGGTCCAAACTCAGCAGAGCTACATATTAAATCCAGTATATTTAATTAGCAGAGCTGGATATTAAATCTAAGTCTCCTCCATGCAATGGCTCTTGATAAAAATGGTGTCCTCAGCTCTCTCCTGCACTGAGTTATCTATCTTTCAACCATCTGGCTTCTCCACTGTTATTTGCAAAGAAGACCTCAACCCCACCATCCCTCTGGCACTCACTTCTGGTAAAAGCCAGGGGTCATTTTGAACCAAGAGTTGGCAAAGCTCATTATAGTTGAGGTGGTCAACACCATGAGTTCTCAGCACACTCAGGTTGTGATCAGTCTTCAAGTTGTGACCATTCCTACAGTTCTTCCTGCAAAGAAGCAGAGATGGTGTTATGGGCTAAATTTGATCTCCCCCAAACTCCCCTATTAGAGCTCCAACTTCTGGATCCTTAGAATGTCAAACTGCTTTTGGAGATAGGGTCATCAGAGGGGTAAGTAAGTTAAAATAAGGTCATTAGAGTGGTTCCAATCCAACATGACTGATGTACTTTAATAAGAAGGAGGCTAGAACAAAGATCCACATAGAGGAAAGGCTTATGAGAACCCCAGGAAGAAGGTGGCCATCTGAAAGCCAAGAAAATTAATCTCAGAAGAAACCAACCTGCCAAACACCTCATCTCAAAATTCCATCCTCCAGAACTGTAAGAAATAATAATTGTTGCTGTTCAAGCCTCCTGGTCTGTCGGGTATTATGACAGACATTTGTAATCCCAACACTCAGAAGCTGAGGGAGTGGGATCACAAGTTCTAGACTAGCTGGACAACATCACAAGCCCCTGTGAAGGAGGGGGAGACAGGAAAGGGAAGGAGTGTAAGAGAGGAAGGGAGGAATGGGAGGACAGAAGAAAGGTCAGGCCATCCAATCTATGATACTTATGGCAGACTTACAGACTGGTAAAATCATTCCTCAAGGCAAGTTTTCACAAATACTTCCTGACCCTACTTATAAGCAGCAGAAAAAAATAGCTATGCATGAAAACATGACTGGGAAGAGAAGGCACTGGGCAATGTATAGAGCCCAGACAACCCTTCTCAGCAAGTATGTAATGACACATCAGGGCCATCATGCAAAAGGTCTCAGCAGACTGGCCACTCAGTAAGCACTTACACTTGTATTAAAAACCTGAGTAAGGCAGAAAGACAATTATCACATGTACTCACTCATAGGTGGTTTTTAAACATAAAGCAAAGAAAACTAGCCTACAAACCACAAGCACAGAGAACCTAGACAACAATGAGGACACTAAGAGAGACTTACATAGATCTAGTCTACATGAGAAGAATAAAAAGATCTCCTGAGTAAACTGGGAGCATGGGGACCTTGGGGGAGGGTTGAAAGGGGGGAGGGGGGAGGATGAGAGTGGAGCAGAGAAAAATGTAGAGTTCAATAAAAAAAAAACCTGAGTAAGGGTAGGGCATGATAGATATTAAAGGGTAGGGCCTTTAATCCCAATACTCAGGAGGCAGAGTCAAGGCCAGCCTAGGCTACGCAGTGAGTCCCAGGATAGTCAGGGAGAGACCCTGTCTCTGTCTCTGTCTCTGTCTCTCTCTCTCACACACACACACACACACACACACACGAGAAAAAACAAACAAAAGACAAAACTGAGCAGGGGGTAGAGTGATGGCTCAGTAGTTAAGAACACCACAGAGGTCCCAGCACCCATGATTGGTGTCTCACTGACACTCTCCTCTGGCCTTCGAAGGCACCTGCTCTTATGTACACAACTCCCTCCACTCTACCCCCACACAGACACATAATTAAAAATAATAAAAGTAGATCTTTCTTTAAAAACTAAGCAGTGTGACTCATGCTTTCAGGTATGTGTACACGTAGACACACACTCCTGGGCCCAGTCCTCTTGCAACTCCCCTCCTCCATACTGATCAATCAGGCACTGGTACACCACCCTAAGAACTCAGGGACAAATCTCCAAATGACTGACTGGGTCACCTGAAAAGCCAAGCAAAGCAGCATCTCCTATACCTTATTTTACGTCTGTAATAAACATCTTGAGAGAATGCCAAACTGCTGATCCATTCCCAAACCCTTTTTTTCCTACAAGCTCCCCTGAAGATCAAAAACCATAAAGTCATCCTTGACGCCTATCCCCCACCTAGTGAATGCAATAAAAAAGAACTCAAATATGGAGTGCGAAGTCCGAGATCAGCTGTAGTAGGAAAACAGTGGCCCAAAAGGAAAAGGACACTGCAGAGTCTGGAGTGGGGAGAGAACTGAGGAGTAACCAGGAGAGGCCCTTGAAAGGTACAAAACAAACAAAACTCAGAGGGTTAGGAAAAAGCTGACAAGAGGAGAGAAGGGAAAATAAATTGGTAATGCCAATGCCAAATATACCAAATAACTGCAATAATGACAATTAAAGCTTGCTGAGCATTTTCTATGCAACAGGGGCTGCCTAACTGTCTCATGAGTTAACTCATTCAGTCCTCAATGAGCCTGTGAGGTAATAATCGCAGCACCGTTGAGGAAACAGACTTAGCCATAAAGCCACTTGCCAAATACTGGCCAGCAAAGAGCAGAGCTGGGTTCAAACAAGGTGACTAGCTCTCGATCATCAGGCAAACAGCCTCCTGGGCACAGGTCTGAAGTCAAAGACAGTGTGGTGACTTTTTGTTTGTTTCAACAAATAAAGCTTGCCTGAAGATCAGAGTGCAGAGCTCAGCCGCTGCAGGCCAGGGAGTGGTGGCACACACCTTTAAACCCCCTTTAATCTCTGTTAGTTCAAGGCTACCCTGAACCAAACAAGGTCGAAAGTCTCTAAAGAGAAACAGCTCAGACAAAGGTGGTCCCAGCACTAGGGAGGTGGAGACGGAAGTGCTAAGGCTAGGTGGAGAGAGGAATGTAAGGCAGGAGACAGAAACTCACTGAAACTCCCAGAGATAACCCTGCCATCAAGAAGTCAAAAGTCACAAAAAAGTACAGTTAGTGACACTCACTTTCTATTTCCCATGGGAAAAAACGTTTGGGGTAGTTTAGGAAACTACCTAGTATAAAATCATGGGAGTAGACAAAGGTGAAAAATGAGGAAGAACCTCAGTCATGTCGGCCAGTAAATATCACATGTCCAGATTTCTAGTACAAAATTTGAACCTAAATTTTGGGAATTTGCATAAGAAGAGATCTTCCTTCCATGATTATCTTACCAATTAAGCACATTATAAAGGTTCACCTGGCAGGTACAGTGGTGCATGGCTTCAATCCCAGAAGCAGGAAGATCTTCGTGAGTTGGAGGCCAGCTTGGTCTACATAGTAAGCTTCATGCCAGTCAGGCCAACATAGCAAGGCCGTCTCAAATTCATGCACTCACAGCCACTGCTAGTTACACACCCTCTTTCTCTGGGCTTGCAGCTCCTCTTTCACCCTAGAGATCTCATTCCTGCCTGGCAGATTATTCCTAAAACTCCCCTAACTCTGTAGGCTCACCTTCTCGGATCTGGTCTGCTCCTGTGACTGGGGTCACAGGATTTACCACCTAGCAGCTTCCAAATCAGCATCTAAGGGTTCAGTCTGCCTTTTAGATAATAGAACAGAGGCCCTCTCCTGCCTTCAGTACCCAGTGGGAGCAGTAATCATTTCTCCACAGCCTCTCTCCACAGTCACCCTCTCCTTCAACTTCCCCAAATTTCTCTCACACATTCTTTGTGAAGTTCTAACCAAGATTATTTCTGAAGGGCTGAGCCCTAGAGACCACGTTACCCAGGCCATACCCCTTAGGGTCAGGAGACAACTTAGCTTCTGGTAGGGGGTATATTTACCACTTCTAGACCTGGTCCACACAAACCTCCCACCAGATCCTCTACTGTTCAGATTTTCCTTCAACTTTTAGAACTTGATGCTTCAAAAGTGTTGAGGGTACAGCTAGCTGTATTTGTCAGTCTGGATCCCTGAATGACTGCAAGGCTACTAACCCAAGGTGACTAATAACCTGACCTCATCATCATCATAATTATAATAATGTCTTCTGTGTTACAGAAGAAGGAAGCAGGAGTTTGAAGATACTAATTCTAGATAACTGGACTCTCTTCGAAGCAGGCATTCTCAGCATCCTCTGCTAACTCAGCATCTACACCATTACCCAATCATCTTAAAATGCAAACCCGATAGCTGCCATCCAACAGGCCTGATCACCGTCAAGGCGAGGCCCAAATCCTTCAGTATAAACGAATTTCACTAATCAACTATATGCAGATGCAAAGGAGCCAGCCCAGACTAACAAGGGCAGCTGCGGTAAACAGTGTGATGTGGAAGGGTCAAGAGGAAGCGCTCACAAAGAACATAATCTTCCGGTTGCTGCCACCGACACTACAGAGCAAATCAGGAAGGGCATTCCAGAAAGAGCAACGCCACCAAATGAACCACAGCTGGGGGTGGGATGTGTCGAAGGGCACCCAGGAGAACTAGGAGATGGCAGGAATCAGTTCCCCAAGTGTTCTGGTAGAAGCTTTACCTCAGCCCCGGGCATCCATTTACCCTAAGAGTCAGCAATGTTCTGTTGGAAGTTCAGCCCCAGGACCCCTCCCCCATCTCTCTCCAAACCCTGCCACAGCTCAGAAAGCTCGCAAATGATGACCCTTCCCCAGAGATGTTCACAGGGTACTTAAACTGTCCCCCAGGAAACAGACAGACAGACGGTGTTAGGTTGGGAGCCTAGGCCCCAGTCCCTGGCATCTATCTCAGCCACCAGGCCTGGTCTGGACTTCAAATCCCAGCAGGCCAGGTAGGAGGAGTCGGGACCCCTCCCCAGGGTACTTAAGTGATCCCCCCCCCCCAAAGAAAAACACGTGGTCCCCCTTTCTTCCTCCTGGAGTTGTGTTCCTGCGGGTTCCCGGTTTCCCCCTCGGGGCCACCCGAGAGCGCAGATCTCCCGTTAAACCTGGATATTTCTTAATTTGGCTTGTTTTGATTTGGCTTGATTGGGAATTTTTGCGTAGTCAGAGAGCTCGCTTAGGAAATATTCCTAACAGACAGACATGGGGTTTTTCAGTCTCTCTCCCGTCTTCCCTGGGGTGGGGATGGGGGTGGAGATGGGGGGGGCTGGGCGGGGCTGCAAAAATCATCTGGGAGCGTTGTAGCCATTAAACCTGGGCCTTTTCTAATTCGGTTTGATTAGGTCTGATGTGTATTGCTGCATCAGCGGAGAGGCTCCTCGGGGTGCAGAAACTTTTCACTAAGGATCTTGAAAATCTTGAGTTTCGGCTTCTCAGAGAGCAGGCAAACAGGAGTTGAATGGAGCTTTCCCAGCTTCCTTACAGCTCATTTGCGAGCCTTGCTACCTGCCCCTCAACTTCCCTCCGGGAGCCATAATGCCATGCTCAGGTGTCCCTCCTGGTACCACATCCTATCTAAGCCACTCCATCACAGGGCCAGCCACTAAGCAGGTGATCAGTGACCGCTCATTGAGTGAGGGACAGGCGAGGCTGTGGAGCAGTCCCCTAGCTCGGGACGGGGATGGAGGCCCGGGAGCGGAGGGGCAGGGGCCTCCGCCCGTCGCCGGCGTCCTTACCCGGTCTTCGGGAACTTGCAGGAGCCGTAGATGAGGAACTTGCAGAGGTGCAGTTGCGCGCAGAGCCCGGTGCAACCCGGCTTGGGGCCCTGGTGCGCGCGGCACAGACGAAGCGACGACACGGCCAGCACCACGCGCTCCGAGGCCGCCGCCGCCGCCCGGCCCGCCCGCGAGGCCACCACGAAGCGCCCGCGGTCCCGCAGCAGCCGCTCCAGAGCGTCGGCGCCCGGGCTCGTTCGCAAGCGGCGCCGCAGCTCGCCGAACTCCAAGGCACCGCCGGCGGCGCACAGCACCTGGGTCACCTCTGCCACCGCCACCGCGGCCTGAGCCATGGTCGTCGGACCGAGGCTAGCACGGACGACGGCGGCGGCCGTCACGAGTCACGACTCCTCGGGGATGGAGACGCCGAGAGGAAACGAAACCGAAAGCGGGCCCCGGCAGGGAAAACAGGAGTCGCGGGGCCTTGCCACGCCCCCGGGCCGCAGCTGAGGTGCCGGCGCCCTCGCCTGAGGGCCCGCAGCTGGGGACCGCGCGGCTCGACGGCCGCCCGCGCGCACCCCGTGCGGGGCGCGGGCGCGCGCACTGAGCGACCCGGCGCGCCTTCGAGGCGTCGCGCGGGCCGGATCCGCGGGTCCTCACGGGGCCGGGGCCGGGGCCGGGGCCGCGTCCGAGGGAGAAGGGGCGGCTTCCTTCGAGGCAGCGCTCTGCGAGGCGAGACGCGCCCTCAGCTAGGCCGGGCTTCAGTCAGCGACCTCGGTCTCGGTCGAGCGGCTGAGAGAAGTTTCCAGACGACTCCGGCCCGTTGCGGCCCGTTGGCGGAGGCGCGTTCGCGGGGCTCACAAGTCACCCAGGCAATCGCGGGCTTCGCAGGCGGACCACGGAAGCGGGACGACGGACCTGGTCCCACCTCACCCCGGAACAAATGGAAACAGTCGCTCGGAATTGAGAGACCGGCCCGCATGTTACTGGGGCGTCAGCCCTTGTGGCGGATCCCGTCTTTCCCTCAAGAAAGGGTAGGTATGTCCGTGAAAAGGGCAGGTCCGGCTTCCCTCGTCCCTTCTGAATAAAGATTGTGCAGATATTTCAAGATTCTTCGCCGGAAAGGACTTTCCTGTATGTGTCCCTGCCAGTTAAACGTCCTTGGAGTAAGTAAATGGGAAATACCTGTTAAAATAAGGATGACCTTTGGCAGCCCCGTTTCTTCCTCCACGAATCTTCCCAGAAATAAAAGCATCAGTAAATCGCGTTCACAAGATAGGGCAGAGTACTGAGGACAATATACCTTGTTTTCAGACCATACAGCTTTAGCAAGCATGTTTTAAATTCTCTCTTTGTCCTAGAAGGTCATCCCTATGTTGTGAGAAAAGATCGCCAAATCCCAGGGGCGTGGATCCCAGCACCCACATGGCAGCTCACAACTGACAACTGCCTGTAACTCTAGTTCTGGCGGGGATCCAATACCCTCTTCTGGACTCTTGGGACACCAGGCACACATGACATACATACAGGCAAAACATTATACACCTGAGAATAAAATTAAACCAGGTGTGAAGAGGGGCACCTTTAATCCCAGCACTTGGGAGGCCGAGGCAGGTGATCTCCAGTTCAAGGCCAGCCCACGTTTGAGAATGTACCAGTAGGGTGTTTTTGAATGAACTTGGTTCAACACTTTGGTTACAGCAGAGTGTAAGAGGAAAGTGGGAAAAGTAGAGTTGAAGGAGGTGAGTACTTATAAAATTAACTTAAAATGAATATAAGATTCTAAGTATGCCAGGCAGTAATGAAGCACACCTTTAATCCCAGCACTCGGTGGACAGTGCCATCTCAGGAATTCAAGTGTTGTAGACAGACCCGGCGCAGCCCTGAGAACCTCACAGAGACCATCAAGACCTGAAAAGCCCTGCTAGCTATCTCCTGAGGCACTAACGCTCATCTAAGCTCCTCTGGAGGCCAGCCTGGTCTACAGAGTGAGTTCCAGGACAGGCTCTAAAAGCTACAGAGAAACCCTGTCTTGAAAAAACAACAAACAAAAAACCCTAAGTATAAAATACTACAGAAAATGGTGAACTGAGGGTATAGCCCCTGAGTTGAATCTTCAGGAAGGTCAGGGAATATTACTACAAAAATGTAAGAATAAAAGGAAGTGGGGTTAGACCAATTGGCAAGCCCCAGGTTCCAGAGATCCTGTCTCAAAATAAGATGGGAACTGGAAAGATGGCTTAGCAGAGAAAGGTACTTGTTGTACAAGCCTACAAAACACATGCATCATATATATACATACACACCATAAACTAAAATAATAAGGCGGATAGCTCCTGAGGAATGACACCCAGACTTGACCTCTGGCATCCCACTCCTAACATACATGTATACAACATAATTAATAAAAAGGGCATGCTGGGGCTGTAACTCAGTGGTAGGCTATATAAATCTTGCAACATTAGGCTCAATGCCCTCCCCCCCCCAATAAAAAAGTAAAAAGAATAAGAAAGACTAGATAGTAACAAGAACAAATGAAAATGGATTAGGGACCAGGGTGAAGGGTAGTTTTTTTCTTGGACTAGTTTTGGTATGATATTTCAATTGTTAAATTTTTTTGGCTTTTCGAGACAGTTTTTTGTGTGTGTGACAGCCCTGACTGTCCTGGAACTAGCACTTGTAGACCAGGCTGGCCTCAAACTCAGAGATCTCTGTCTCCCAAGTACTAGAATTAAAGGCCTATACCGCCACCACTCAGCTCGATTGTTAAATATTTTTATTTGGTTTAAACATTTAACTTTTTTTTACCTCGAGACAGGGTTTCTCTGTGTAACAGCCTTGGCAGTCCTGGAACTCGCCCTGTAGACCAGGCTGCTTCTGCTTCCCGAGTGCTGGCATTAAAGACGTGCTCCACCACCCAGTGTTTACCTGTACTTTTGACATTGCTTTGCAATAATGTCTTATTATTTTCAATCTGCATGTCAAGCAAGTGTGCTTCCATAAAAGTTTCCCCATTTTAATATCATGACTGGGAAAATGCAGTGAAGGTATAAACAGTGAGTCCTTCCATAGAAGCAGTGAAGAAGCTGGGAAATGCTGTTAGTTTTTCAGAACTACAGAAATTAACTAGAAGCTTGCAGCAACTCCTCCAGAGTAAAAGCAGCCAAATCCCAGCTACCTTTGTACATTTCTCTGACTCCTATATTTTCCCCTGAAGCTCTTTTATACCTTTGAGAAATGACAACCACATTCCTAGTATCTGTGCCAAGAGAGCAGGCAGGACTGGAGCTCTTTCAATGGCTCATCTTTATGTGATCTCATTGAATGCCCACATCCTCCCAAGAGTATACAAATATCAAATATTTTAATATCATGGCTGAAGCAATGGATAACTGTTGTAGAATGGGTGTGGGTCCACAAGGGTCCATGGAAGACAACACAGGGCACTTAAGGAAGATTTTAACCTTTCCAGCTGCGGGGGGGGGGGGGGGGGGGTTCAGCCTCTCCAATGGACTGAGCCACCTTCCCTTAGCCAAGGGCCTTTTTTATTGTTCTCCAATTTACACCTTTTCAAATTGATTTCCATATCCCCAAAACATCCTAACTAAGCTTCCAAAGGGACAATGCCAAATGCAAATTCTCAGTTTAAGAAATACCAATGTGCTGAATTTTTCCCAGTCAAATTTTGCATAGACTTTGTACCCCGGGGTAACTCTTAGACAGGATTCACATTATGTTAAACGGAAGATGCTGAAGACAAAGGGCAGGTAAAGGCTACACGCCCAGTGCCCGAGTGCCCACATTCGGCCCCACCTGCCTCTGGCAGTTCTCCCTACTGGTAACAGTTGAGGAAAGCAGCAGACAGACTAACCAAAGAAATGAACAAGTAAGGGCTTTGAAAAGTGTCAGCATACTGTAGGAACTCACACAGGCACACACATAGGACCGCACATGCTCAGAAAGTTCTGCCTGACACTCAGGCTCCGTGCAAGCAGGAAGCAAAAGCGATACATACTTGGAAACTGCCTGACTGATGAAGGCATATACCAACATAGTCATAGAGCTCCTTGACAAAGGCTAAAGTGCATACTGGCTCCTGGTGCTTAAGGTAATCTCCTTCGAGTCACTAGCTGAGAGGTCAGGTAACCAAGGAGAGACTTTAGTCACACACAGTGCTGATGCACACTACACAAAATTAAATCGTAAGTCACTAGACAAACACAGCAACTAGTTCAACAAGCAACAACAACCCCACGAAGAAAAGAAAATACGACTTTGGCAAGTAAATTGTGAAGAAAGTAAAGAAACAAAGTATGACCCATACAAAGGAAGTAAAAGCTAGTGATACAAACAGCTCTTAGGTGCTAGAAAGAAGACTCAGCAGTTAAAGCACTGACTACTCTTCCACATGGCATCTAATAACTCTAGTACCAGGGAATCAAATGCCCTCTTCTAGCCTCCTTGGGTACTAGGCTTGCACATAGTACACAGATGTACATACAGGCAAAACACACATAAAAGAAACAGCTTCTGACAAAGCCAGATTGGACTTTAAGCTTTCAGAGAAATGTTCAAAGAGTTCAAACTCTGTAAAATATGAATGCATGAGAATAGTGTCTCATCAAACAGAGAATATCAGTCAAGAAACAAATTATAGCCTGCAGTAGACTTCAGGCAGGTCCAGCCTGCAGCCCACAGTCCTTCCTGTGTCCCAGGAGAGCTGTGGATGTAGCCCAGTGCTTTGGTGAATAAGGCATGTTGCAATGTCCAGAGATTGGGCATCTTTCCTGTTGATCTTTTAGCAAAAGTTATGTGAAGTATGTAAGTATTGATAACGTATTGCTTGATCCCAGCTCTATTACTGTTCAAGAACAAATGTTTGAACCACTAAGATGATTCCGTCTGTAAAGGAACTTTTGCCAATAAAAGCTCAGCACAGAATTGAAAAAAAAAAAAAAGAAGAAACAAAATTTTAAAAAACTGAATAACAATTTTGTACAATAACTGAATGAATGGAGAAGCTCATTGGTATTTAGCAGTAGATCTGAACAGAGCAAAGAAAGGATCAGAATATCTGAAGATAGGTCAATTAATTTAAAAGGAACAAAAATATTTAAAGAATGAGAAAAAAAAGAACACCACCAGCTGTAGGAACATATGCATAATGGGCACCCTAGAAGAAAGGGGGAAGAAGGCTATTTGAAGAAATGGCTAGAACCCTTTAAACTTGATAGAAGTCAATACATATATCTAAAGTCTATGTGCTCAGGATAATCAGACTGTTGAAAGAAAAACCTCAAAGTAGTAAAGGAGAGGCAACTGATTCACTGTGTGCAGGGAGGCCCAACAGCTGATTTCTCATCAGGATCCATGCATATTCACAGGTAATGGGATGGCATGTTCAGAGTGCCAAGAGAAGGGGAAAACAGTTCTGTATTCAGTAAAACTATCTTTCAAACATGAGTCAAACATCAAGGCATTATCAGATAAAATCTGAGTGGGCTGGAGATGGCTCAGTAGTTAAGAGCACTGACTGCTATTGCTAAGGACCTATGTTTGGTTCCCAGCACTCACATGGCACAGCCACTTGTAACTGCAGCTTCAAGGGATCTGATAACCATACACACACACACACACACACACACACACACACACACACACACACTAAAAATAATCTTTTTCTAAAAGGCTGACTTAGTTGCTACTCTTCCTATACTAAAGGAAGTCTGAGCTGAAAAGGCATTAAGCAATACCTTAGATTCTCAGGAAGAAATAAAAAGCATCAGCAAAGGTAGTTATGAATAAATGAAAAGTTTGTCCCTCTTCCTTTCATCTAATTATAGAGACAATAATCACAAATATTGCAAATTATAAGTGCAGGGCTGGAAAGATGGCTCACGGATTAAGCTGGTCTTCCAGGTGACCTGGGATTCAATTCCTAGCACCTACATGATGGCTCACAATCATTTGTAACTTCAGTCCCAAGCATTCTGATGCCCTCTTCCTGCCTCATCACTCATACGTAAAATAAAGGCTAAAGGGTTTACAAATTATAACAATGTACATATCATGAAAAGAATGTTCTCTAGCTTTAATGAAATGAAATTAGAAATGAGCATCAGATACAAATGTGGAACTTACACAGCATGCTCTTAATAAGTTAAAGGAGAACTAACAAAGGATGGGGGCCACAGATGTGAGCCTGTTCCACCCTGACTAAAGGTCAGAGAGTCTGAGCTTGTTTTTACTTTCAAAGTTATTGACAACAGGTGTGGCTACACAAGATACCCTGACCTAGGTTGTGGTTACTTGGTGTTTTGACATTTACCTAGCCCACTGAGGTGGATCCCTTCCACCCTGACCAAAGGTCAGAGAATTCAAGCCCATTCCTGCTCCTTTGTTTTAAAACAGGTACTTTGACATAGGGAGTGGCTGCCTACAGGATACTTGATACTTTGTCTAAGGTATATTTGCTGCACACCCTGCCCAAAACATCAGGATCCTTAACTCAGGAAATAGTGGCTTGTCTCAAGTATTGAAGCAAGTAACTGCTCTGGTTGTCCTTTGTGTCATATTAAATCAGTCTTTTGCCCTCTCCCTCCCCCTCCCCCCTGCTTTTTGTATTGGGGTATATAAGCATATGGAAAATAAGCAAGGCAGATTCAGTATTCACTGAGTTGCTCTCCTGATACTATGTCTCTGTATTTCTTTTGTATCTGTCTATTCTGCCTAACATTTCTAATCCACACGCGCCTACTCTGGAACATATGAACCCAAACAAATGCCACCTCAATGTGTGACCATGACAAAAGGAAGTTAGAAAATACGTTAAGATAAATACAAAAAGGGTTGTAGAGACAGCTCAGACATTAAGAGTATTACTGCTCTGGGGCTGGAGAGATAGATGGCTTAGCGGTTAAGAGCCCTTCCAGAGGTCCTGAGTTCAATTCCCAGCAACCACATGGTGGCTCACAACCATCTGTAATAAGGTCCGGTGTCATCTTCTGGCCTGCAGGGACACATGCAGGCAGAACACTATATACATAATAAATATAAATCTTTAAAAAAAAAAAAAGCTGGGCGGTGGTGGTGCTCACCTTTAATCCCAGCACTCAGGAGGCAGAGGCAGGCAGGTCTCTGTGAGTTCAAGGCCAGCCTGGTCTACAAGAGCTAGCTCCAGAATAGGCTCCAAAGCTACAGAGAAACCCTGTCTCGAAAAACCAAAAAAAAAAAAAAAAATCAAAATTCAGTTTTTTAGCATCCACATTGTGGCTCACAGCTATCAATGACTCCAGTTTCAAGGGATCCAATGCCTTCTGGCCTCTGAGGACACTGAAGACACATGGTGAACAGACATACATGCAAGCAAAACACCCGTACATACAAAATCACATAAATACTTGAAAATAATTAAAAAACTTTGTGAGGTGTAGCAAAAACAATGTTTAGGGGAAATGAATAGCTGTCAATGTCTACACTGAAAAGATCTCAAATCAGTAGCCTAATATCCTACCTTAGAAACTAGAAACTAATAGCCAAAAAAGGAAATAATACAGATTAGAGTAGAAATACAACAAAGACTAGAAAAATAATATACTGAGTCATTAAAACTTAGTTCTTTGAAATTAAAAAAAATTACTGTCTTTACCTAGAATGACAAAAAAGACCAAAATTATTAGTAACGAAGAATGAAAGAGATCACTCTTACTGAACTCACAGAAATACTAACTTATGTTTTATAGTAGTTGTATTTTTTTATTTGTTGCTTTGACCACTGACTGTGGACAGACAGCTCATGGTGGGCTGCCTTCCACTCACAAAGCACTGATGTGAGCTAACTCCTGCAACCACCCCTTTTCTCTCACTACCGGGGCAGTTATTTCCCTTCCTTAATTGCCCCGGGTCCAGGTTTCAGACATTGAGAGAGCCAGCTCTTGTATTCCTCACAGGCTGGTGAAATTAGTCAAATTAGCTATACTAACTTCCCCTTCCTCTTCCCCTGCTCTCTGCCTCCTGCCTTACATTGGCATTTACCTGTGTGTCCCTGAATGGCACAATGTGCTTCTTATAGAGCTCTCTCAGTATAAAAACATCATTCATGACAGTCCTGTTTTATCATGCCAAACAAAATGAGTCCTGAGTAGTCTTTTCAAAATTTTAATTACATTTATTTAGTGTGAATGTATAAGGGCGCACACATGTCATGGCACATGTGGAGGTCAGAGGACAGCTTACAAGAGAGTAAATTCACTCCTTTCACCAGGTAGGTCCCACGGATTAAACTCAAGTTGTGAGGCTTGGCAGCAAGCACTTTTACAAAGTGAGCTGTCTTTGTCTCCATGAGTAGTCATTTAACAGCTTATTTTTGGGTTGTTTATTTTTTTATTTTTTTGGTTTTTCGAGACAGGGTTTCTCTGTAGCTTTGGAGCATGTCACAGAACTAGCTCTTGTAGACCAGGCTGGCCTCAAACTCCCAGAGATCCACCTGCCTCTGCCTCCCGAGTGCTGGGATTAAAGGCGTGCGCCACCACCACCCAGCTTTTGGATTGTTTTATTTATTTATTTATTTTTTAAAGATTTATTATTTATTTATTATGTATACAACATTCTGCCTCCATGTATGCCCGCACGCCAGAAGAGGGCGCCAGATCTCATTACAGATGGTTGTGAGCCACCATGTGGTTGCTGGGAATTGAACTCAGGACCTCTGGAAGAGCAGGCAGTGCTCTTAACCACTGAGCCATCTCTCCATCCCCCGGGTTGTTTTAAAAGAATTTTTAAAATTATATCATTTGCCCCTCTCCCACTTTCTCTCAAATTCATAGCCTCTATTTGTGTGAGTGTGTGTGTGTGTGTGTGTGTGTGTGTGTGTGTGTGTATTTGCAATAGCACCAAAACTGGGTCAAGGGTATAATTTTTTTTTTAATTTTTTTTGGTTTTTGGAGACAGGGTTTCTCTGTGGCTTTGGAGCCTGTCCTAGCACTAGCTCTGTAGACCAGGCTGGTCTCGAACTCACAGAGATCCGCCTGCCTCTGCCTCCCGAGTGCTGGGATTAAAGGCATGCGTCACCATCGCCGGGCCTTATAATATGTCTTTTTATATATTCATATATTCCTAAATATATAAATACAGCCTGCTCTGTCTATATAGTGTCACTTAGATGTCTATAATTTTAGGACTGACCGCTTTGCATTGGATAACTGATGGTAGGGGGTGTTCTTCCCTGGGGAAGACCATTTCTCCTGCTCACAGAATTTCTTAGTTGACTAGTGGCTATGCAAAGTTTTAAGATAGAACAAAAGAAAACCATAAAAAGTCCAAGTGGAAATGTCCAATAGACACTTGGATCTGTGAGTCTAGCATTTAGAGAAGAGGTCAATACTATAATTTTGAAAATACAGATGACATACGAATCTTCGGGACTGGATGAGGTCATCCCAGAAAAGAAAAAAAGAATTACAAGAAGCTGCCCCTTTAATGGAGAAAGAAGAGACTGATAGAACTACGAAGGTTTAGGAGAAGCCAATGGGATGAGAGAATAATGGAGAATATGGGGTCATGAGACCCAACTGTCTAAACATTTTAACAAAGGATAATCAGATACATTGAATAATATCAAGAGATTAAAAGAGGATAGAAATATATATTGCTGCACAACAGTCACCCATAAGCTTTGGAATTAAGACCAAGGATTCATTTTTTCTTCAGAGATCTGAGCTGAGAGGGCTCTCTTGGGTAGTTCTTCCCTGACACATTTAGAACACTGACTGCATTCAGCTGGAACCTTAGCTAGGATTAGATGATCCACAGTTTCCCCTCTTCCTTCAGCATCAATCTCTCCCCTCTTCTCTCTTACCACTTAGAAGCCTAGCCTGAACTTCTTTAGAGTTTGCTGGTGGCTGACAAGAGAAGAAGCCTCATGTGCACGTATTTGTTAAGTTTCTGGGTTTTTTTTTTGTTTGTTTGTTTTTTTGTTTTGGCTCTCAGCCATCCTTTACCAGAAATGGCTCACGAGGGTTGGGCTAAAGAGATGACTCAGGCTCCATTCCCACCTGTAACTCCAGGTATGAACATGCTAGCCTGCATGTGCATGCATGCACACACACAATTTAAAAATAGCCATAATAAAAACAAATCTAAAATATGGCTCATATTAGCACCTGAGCAAGTTTCTCAGTCCACTTTCCATAAGACATTGAGAGCCGAGGAGACTAAATTCTAGCACTCTTATCTTTTTCTGAGCTGGTACAGTTTAGGTTTTCTATGTATTGAGTCATAATCTACTCCACTAGACAAAAGCCACACCCATGGCACTTTCTGAAAAAACTCTTTCTTTACTTTGACCTTTATGTCAAAATACCCTTCAGATTCTACACCACTAGCTACTCTGATTTCAAACGTGAGGCTACATTTCACCAACAGGCCTTGTGTATTAGCTAAGGCCTGAGGGGAAGGGGTACAGAGACAAGAGTAAGGTCCCCAACCCTTCTTGCTCACTTTACCAACAAATGGGTAAAGTATCTGCAGAGGGATAAGGGCAGCCCTCTAAAGAGCTCTGATGCAGGCCTTTGAGGCAAGGCTCCCAGACTGTTAAAGAGACAGGATTAAAAGGACCCAAGTGGCAGTCAGGTAGAACAAGAAGTATCTACTTTGTGCCCCGTCTTTCATCATGGGAACATTAGTGACAGTTCCCATGATGAAGCTTCTCACCAGAGCTTCATACCAGGCAGAAGAGCATATTATCCCCTTGACCCAGCTTTGGTACTATTGCAAAATACATTGTGTAATTCCTTAGCTCTTCCGGGAGAGAACCTACCTGGTGCCTTCCTGTTACCCCACCCAGAGCCTTCGTAGCACAGTACTCAATATTCAGTAAATATTTGAGGAAAGAATAAAGGCAACATGTCACTCATAGTATCACCACCCAGGTAAAGCTCAGAGTATTAACCCCTGGATATTTTCTCTGGAAATGAGCGGACTAGAAGCTCTTCATCCAAATTTCACTTTGTTTAAGGGAAAGTGTTCGTCCTAAGAACCATGGACAGGCCGTGAATCTGTAAATTGTCCCATCCTTCGGTATTCACCACTACTGTGGCCAGTGGAATCAATACTGGCAGTAAACTGGTAAGAAAAACATTTTTATATGGATTTATAAACTATACTAAGAATTGTCTGAGGGGTATGTATGTAAGGGTGTGTTGTATAGGTATCCTTAGAAGAGAACTTTGGACACAGGCATGAACAGAGGAAAGATGATTTGAAGATACACACAGAAGATGGCCATCTACAAACAAAGCAGAGAGGTTGGGAATAAATATTCACCTTAAGGTTATCCAAGCCAACAGTCTTGCTATGATGGCTAATTTTTTTGTCAACTTGATGGGATTTAGAATCACCATGGAGACAAACCTCTAGGCATGTCTGTGAGAGACTTTCCATATTAGGTTAACTAAAAATAAAGACCCACCCTAGATGTGATCAGTATTGTCTTATGGGCTGGGGTCCTAGACTGAATAAAAAGAAAGCAAGCTATGCAGCTCTTCATTTACTCACTGCAGGTGCAATGTAACAAGTGCATCAAGATACTGCGTGATGATTTCCCCACCATGATTAACTGTAACCTCAAATGGTAAGCCAAAAGAAACCCTTCAAATTGTTTGTCAGGTATTTTGTTGCAGCAACAAATAACTAATACATCTTTAGATACTTTGATCTTATACTTTTGATCTTCAAAACTGTTGCAAATAAATTTCTTTTGTGGAAACCATTGCAATCCCCAGCCTAGACAAACTCATCCAAGCAGTGAACATCTCATATCATCATTTATGCCCCAGCAATGCTTAAGCATGCATGGGCAGCCTGTTTATGGCGGTTCTCCAGTGGTTCCTATCCAGGACAGTCCTAGATGCTTGTGTTATTGTCATACCACAGTCTTCCTTCATGCTGTCTATCCAGCATTTTGAGGGAGCCTTCCTCTTCTCCTTATCCCAGTGCACTCCTCCAAGCAGTGCTATCTTCGGGTATCTCTAATGAGTGTACACCCCCCTCCAAAAAAAAAAAAAAGAACCCAACAGAATAGTCACATTCTCATGTTGGCCTCACATTGACAAGAGCTGAGAAAAAGCCAGTTTTTGGAGTGTCGACCCCTCCTGTTTACAGGTTAAAAAAAAAAAATACCTGTACCCTTTAACCCACACCCCCAGTGTTGCTGTGCTTTACTAAATGGTTCAGATTTAGGAATTGCTGCAACTATTGAAGAATGGACATTGGGGTGAAGTTGTCTCTGTACAAGAGCTGGTTTTCCAAAAGGGGGTCATCAGGGGGATTTTTTAAATATATTTTTTATTTTTTTTGTTTTTCGAGACAGGGTTTCTCTGTAGCTTTGGTGCCTGTCCCGGAACTAGCTCTTGTAGACCAGGCTGGCCTCCAACTCCCAGAGATCTGCCTGCCTCTGCCTCCCAAGTGCTGGGATTAAAGGCATGTGCCACCACCGCCCGGCATGGGGATTTTTTTTTAAAGTAGGGAGTTTGTACTGAATAGTTTGTTCGGCTCCATTGGTCATTTTCTCTTCGCTTGAAGCCTGTTCTGTGCTTTTAAGGACTGATATTCATGGTTGTAGATGGAAATTTCTGTCCTGCCTGTTCCTGCAACTGTTCAGTCCTAAAGAAACACACAGAGAGGCTTATATTAATTATAAATCGTTTGGTCTATTAGCTCAAACTTATTAACTTGCTCTTACAACTTAAATTTACCCATAATTCTTGTCTATGTTTAGCCATGTGCCTTGGTACTTTTTCTCAGTGAGGCATTCTCATCTTGCTTCCTCTGCGTCTGGATGGTGACTGACTCTGACTCTCTACCTTTCTTCTTCCCAGAATTCTTAGTCTGGTCACCTACCTATACTTCCTGTCTGGCTACTGGCCAGTCAGAATTTTATAAAACTAATACGAGTGACAAATCTTTATAGTGTACAAAAGCATTATCTCACAGTACCTGGTTCCCAAATGTCCAGTTTCCAGAGAGTATGCCTGGAAAAGTACTAGGAGAGGTTCAGAGAGCCAGAAGGGGCAAGCTACTGTAGCATTCCCTGAGTGGTTACACTGTACTTGAAGCTAAAGTCCTATGCACTCTGGTAATTCCTTCCTTCTCTAGCAGTAATGGCCCCTCTTCTTTTACTAACCCCAGGATGCCTTAGCACCCCTTTTTTGATAGAGTAAATAGTTACTTTATTAATTTGGTAACTACTCGATTTGAAAAGTGCCAAGTGCATCTTCAAGGAACCTCTACAGATGCTAGGCTGGAGAAAAATATCAGTAAAGGGGTCCTAAAGTAGAAGCAAGAACTGGAAATGGAAAATTTCTGAAAATCGTTTATTTTCCTTTGGTCTATGAGGAATCATCATATTGAATAGAGAAATTAAACAGTTTCTCTCACTACTTTCAGTGCCTAAACACTGGGTTAATACCTGTTGGTATGCTTAGCTTTTTGTGTGGTGTGTGGGAGCTTAAGTGATAAATAAAAGGACATAAAAAGTGTGGCCTTTCTTACTTCATCACTATGCTGTGGTAAAACCATTTCCAGGGCAAGGCACAGAGGCTTCATACTGATCTAGATGAAGATCTGATGTATGTTTAAGTGGGTACCACTCAGAGATAACTAGACATTGTTAACTGGTATGCTTCATTTCAAGCATTGAAGCAACTGCCAAAGGCTGGGTCAACTCAGGAGAAGATATAAGGCAGACATCAGCACCCCAAATAAAACACAGCCCAATGAGGTGTTAGCAAAAGTTGATTCTGTAGTGATATAAACATTTGCATATGTTTGAGACAAAGACTCGTGTCATAATCTTTAAATTCAAGTAGCTGAGGATGATCCTTCTGCTGGGCTTCATGCAAGTACTCTACCAAGTAAACTACATCCCCAGCCCTGTAGTAACAACTAATATAGCAGTGGCAATTTTGTTCCCAGTTCTCATGGTTACTCTCATGTAACTAAGAAGAAGGTAACAAACTTGGAGGGAAGTTATTTCTACATTTATTGAATATATATGCGCCAGCCAGGACATGTTTTATATGGATTACCTTAGGAAAGACAGACAGAATTGGGGAGGAGGGAAGAATTGTAGCTTCATCCTTGCTCCTACTGGGTGAAGATATGAGTCACCATCTTGGGTCATAAGGTGGGAACCATATATTGATAGGTCAGCCAGACAGATGTAGGTCCTTGACTACATGAAGTAGCCAGACTTCCAGGCCTGCAGGGCCTTATTTCCAGTGTTCTAAGGCACTCCTGTTTTGGATTTTCTCTGTCTGTAGCTGAATGTGAGGGTTTTGGTCATGGTGCTAAGAGCTTCCATGGGAGCTGAAGTGTGAGAATGGTTGGTGGTAGCAACAATAGGTAAAAAGGGAAGCTTGTCTAACTAACAAGAAATATGTTCGCTCTTCTGTTTATTCAGATCTTTAGTAAGACTTAGTATCTACAAGTTCTACAAGAGCTGGTCCTAAAGTAGCTTAACAGGATGGACACAGATAAACATAGAAAATCAAATGAGCAGTGCAGCAGGGGAAACCAAAGTGAGAGAACTTCTCTGTAAAGCCTTAGAATGTTCTGCCCACCCATTCCACAGATGACCTGCGGAGGAGCAAGAGTGGGACTTCCCATGAGTTGTGCATAGGTATGAGCAGCATGTGCTGAAGCAACCAATCCGCTACTCCATAGAGCAGTGGTTCTCAACCTTCTCTTTAATAAAGTGCTTCATGTTGTGGTGACCACCAACCATAAAATTATTTTCACTCCTACATCTTAACTGTAATTTTGCTATTGTTATGAACCATAAATATCTGATATACAGGATATCTGATATGCAACTCAAAGAGGTTGAAAACCACTACCATAGAGCATGCTTGTCAGATTCCAAAATTGCTATGTGGGCTTGAAAACAAAAATCAGTTTATACATATATGTGTGTGTGTGTGTGTGTGTACGTGTGTGTACCAAAGGCTCCAACCTTGGTGACATTTCCTTCTTCCCATCCTACCCACAGCTAACTAGCCACTATGCAGTCTTGGGTGCACTGCTCCAAATGCTGAAACAAACCTCAGGATTCTCAGTCCAGATCTCAGGGCCTTCCTATATTCCCAAGGTCGGTTTTAGCTTTGGCTGCCTGCCCCAATGAGACCCTTGAACTCCTTAAGCAGCTAGCTTTTCTTTGTCCTTCGTATGCCTAGTTTTGCTCATGCTACTCAGATAAGCATTAGATGGCACCATGTCAGTCTTGGGTTGAATCTAAGAGAAGTAGTTTTTTTTAAGTGTATTATGAATATACATGTGTATATATGCTTATGTTGCATGTACACAGTGGCAGTGCTGAAGCCTGGGCCTTACACATGCCAGGCAAGTATCATATCTCTGAGTTACACTCCCAACTCAGAGACTCCTCTGATAGTTTAACAACCTGTCTTGTGTCAAGCACTGTCCTAATTGCACTATATGTTTTTTTTTGTCTATTTAATACCTTCTATAATCTAAGTGAGATTGAGAGTATGTTATTAAAGAGGAAACTGAGACCCAAGAATATATAACTTATCCAAGACCACTTAGAAAGTAACAGAGCTAGTATTTAACTCTGGCAATAATCTGTGTTCTTAGCCCTGGAGCTTATAGTTAGAATAAAGTCTTACAAGGTCAAAGGATCGTCTCCAAAATTGGTCCTGTTCTTTTTTCACCTGACCCCAGTGTTCAGAGTATGCAAAGGCACAAGGCCTGGGAGGTTTGGGATAATTCAAAGTACCCAGTAAGTAAGAGCAGGTTTTCTGTTCTGACTCTCCACAGATCTGAAGGAACTTGGCCAGCCATATGCAGTCTCCTTTTCCTAGTAGAAGTTGGTCTCAGGGGCTGTGCAGAGCAAAGGCCAAGGTTGGATTGATGCAAAAGGGATAACAGTAAAATTTTGCATATTTGCAATTGGCTAGGAAAACTCAAACTGGAGGTCTAAGTGTCTGGGCCAGTGGATTCCAAAGGATTTCATGTGTGACAGATGGTACAGTACAGAGTGTGCAAAGAACAGCTTACTCAACTCGAGTAAATCAGTTAACACTAGGTTTTTACTATTAAGAATCATTTTCCCAGGTTAAAATTGCTTTCAAAACTACCCCCCCCCCAACACACTCAAAAACCCTTTTGGAATATATATCTATATTACTATTCATAGAAAAAAGTTCTTTAATCCCACCACTCAGGAGGCAGAGACAGATCTGAGTTTGAGACCAGCTGGTAAATTCTAGGGCTACACAGGGAAACCCTGTCTCAAAAATGAAATTAAAAAAAAAAAACTTTTCCAAAGTATAAAATGAGCTTGAAGTTATAACAGAATTAGCACTTTTTAAAAGCTGAAGCTTTTTAAAAGATGAAGCTGGAGAGGTATCTCCATGGTGAAGTGTGCTGTTCTTGAAGGGGACTGGAGTTTGATTCTTATCCATCTGTTCAGGCATTTCACAACTGTAATGCCAGCTTACATGGGATCTGATGTTGTTTTACCCTCCACGCACTACAACTGCCCTCACATGCACAAGTTCCCCCACCCAACACTATCACATAATTAAAATATTTTTTTAAAAATCATGTACAAGGGCTGGAGAGATGGCTCAGCAGTTAAGAGCACTGGCTGTTCTTCCAGAGGACCTGAGTTCAATTCCCAGGAACCACATGGTGGCTCACAAACATCTGTAATGAGATCTGGTGCCCTCTGGCCTGCAGGCATACATGGAGGCAGACTGTTGTATACATAATAAATAAATAAATCTTTAAAAAAAGACCATTTAAAAAAATCATGTACAAGATTTGTATAAGATTTGGGGGAGACAAACTGGGAATAGTCTGCACAGGGGGAGCTCAGGGGTTACAGAAGGGGAGGTGACAAGGCTCTGGATGGTGGAGCCTGGACATTAAGAGAGGTCTTTGCTGTTTCCTTCCTGATGTGTGCTGACCCACTTCTGGAGCTGAGAAACAGAAAGTGATAGAGGAGTAGACGTCCATGCAGAAGGAGCTGCCAAACCAGCCATTAGCGCTCTGGGCTGTCTGGTGGACAGATGCAGCAGGCATCCTGTTCATCCTCTAGTTTTCAACTTACTGGGCTCATGTTTTACAACAATGCCACTCGTCCATTGCCTGTTTTCAGCCCACCTTCTGCACCAGGTGAGATCAGTCGTGAGCACCAGTGCTTGCAAGTGTGTAGAAGACACTATGAAATCAGGTGGGGCTGGGGAGGTGGCTCAGCAGTTAAGAGCATTGCCTGTTCTTCCAAAGGTCCTGAGTTCAATTCCCTGCAACCACATGGTGGCTCACAACCATCTGTAATGAGGTCTGGTGCCCTCTTCTGGCCTGCAGGCATACATGTAGAAAGAATATTGTATATATAATAAATAAATATTTTTTAAAAAAAGAAATCAGGTGAAAAAACATCTAAAGAAACTCACTCTACACAAAAGTGTTTGGAATAAAACCATTCCTACATCAAAGACCATGTAATTCCTCCTTCATAATTCAAAATACAGAATAAAAGCAACTCAGAAGCAAGACTTAGTTGGACAGACCTTCAGTTAAAATCTTAAGCCTGCCCCAAGTTTTGGTATTACAGATGGTTCGCCCCATCTGCCTAGTACTAATATGGATACAAAGGATCCTAACTCAGTTCCTCCCACTGAGCCATCTCACCAGCTCCAATGGTAGGTGACCTTGAACACAATACTTACCTTCTCCATCTCTTAGTTTCACTGTACAGGGGATAGGGGTTCCTATCTCACTGGGATACTATGAGAAAGAATAACAACATCATCCCCTGTACATAGTGAGCATTCATGATGAAGTAATGCAGACTTGTGATCCAAATCCTGTCTGCAGCAAAGCACCTAGTTCTTCCCTCTTAATCCAAAGGAGTGCAAAACACCAATAGCCCCTGGGATTTATTTCCTAGTCCCACAAAATCAGGATGAGTTTGTGAAAATGAGGTATACTCATTATTTCATTGTAGCATGTGACCATTAGAAAGAGCATCTTCTAGATCTACAGTTTCCAAAGAGCAAGTTCCTGTACTTGAGGTTTCCATCATCTGTCTGAAAAGAGACTAGTCATTACACTGGAAGTGCCCAAAGCACTGGGAACCACAGTAAACGAAGCTGCAGTGCTCCTGCCCCTTCTCTTCTGGAGGTGAGAGGAGGTGCCAAGGATCCCAGGTCTTCTGCTGCCTTGGTTTCCATGAGCTGCACTCATCTTGCTTCTTTGGGAGGCTTCCCTGCTGCCCATGAAAACAGTCTGCAGTGTTCCTTCTTGATTACGCTCCCTCCCTCCAATGCAAGAACTTACCCTCCCCTTTTTTAATTTATTGGTATTTATTGAGCTCTACATTTTTCTCTGCTCCCCTCCCTGCCTCTTGCCTCCCCCCCCTTCAGCCCTCCCCCAAGGTCCCCATGCTCCCAATTTACTCAGGAGATCTTGTCTTTTTCTACTTTCTACTTCCCATGAAGATTATATCTGTGTAAGTCTCTCTTAGTGTCCGCATTGTTGTCTAAGTTCTCTGGGAAATTTATCCTTTTTTATGTCACCCCTGAACCACACCCACCTTCCCTCCCAGTATCTGCACTTAGATGTGTTTCTTACTATGAAGTTGAGCCTTGCTGCCCTTACCTTTTTTTGTCTGCGGAAGCCCAGAGGCCTAGGCTTAGTTTTCCAACCCGGTAATACTGCGGCTACAACAGTGCCTGGCACACTGTAGGTGCCTATTGAACACTTGTAATGTGCCCAGATGGGAACAGTGTTCTTAAGAATTTATCCATTAAAGAGTTAAACTATTTTTTAAAAACTAGAGAAGCACCCATGTAGTGGCATTTCATTTGTATTTTAATAAATAAATCTTGCCCAAGGATCAGAAAAGTAAAACAGCCACACTGGACTGCCTTCACCAGGCTGCAATGACACACGCCTTTAATCCTAGTTTGCCACAGAAAGCAGGCAGTAGTGGTGCACGCCCTTAATCCCAGAGCTACAAAGAATTATAAAAGAGGGATGAGACAGCTCCCAACACAGTCTCATTCTGAGATTCCTAGAGGCAGGATCGCCATTTTGGACTGAGGTAGGGTAAGAGCCAGTGTCTGGCTGCTGCTTTTCTGACCTTCAGGTTGAACCCCAATTTCTGTCTGAGTTTTTATGGACCGTGCTTCCCACTCACATCTGTCTCCACCCCGCCGTCTCATCTTAACAACCACTCGAGTCTTTCTTCACTCTTGCCCAGCAATACCTCTGTTAAGACATGAGTTTCCACAAGAACATAACAGTTTTCCACATTCTAGTACTTGAGATTCAGAAAAAGGAACAGAAAGTCAGAATTGGATATAGAATTCAGATTTTTTCTTTCAGAGACACATTTTATACAACTTTCAACATTTATACTTTTAAACAAAATGAGCAAAAAATATACTGAGTGCTAAAAAAAAATCAAAACAGAAGTAATACAATTTTAATTTCAATATTTAAAAATACACAAATTAGGAAGTAAGAATTCTAAGTACAACTTTAAGCAAGTCACTTGTCTTCCCCTATAATAATAATATAAGCTACTTAAAGACTTACAAATTCAGAGTAAAACAGAAACAAAATAAATACTGTACACTTTCCCTGCCTGCAGGCAAAAGATGGGAAATACTGTTCTGAATAAAAACAAATGCTCTTAAAGCTTCGGCATCCCACTCCCAGCCACACCCCATTCCATTGCCACACAGTGTGTTTCTGTAGCCAAAGGACACACGCACACACTGACTGCCTACACATAAACGAGACACTACTCTGCACACAGCCCAAACAAGAAGACTAACAGTCACCAGGGACCATGGACATAAAAACCAATAAGGAAAGTCAGGCTAGCAAAACATTACTACAAAACTAGTAAGTACCATAGCCAACAATTGTCCTGTTTTCAAATTTCACAGAGTTAAAACCCCTAAAACCAATACTACCCCTCCCCATTGCCACCCTCCAACACCCTAAAAGAAAACTTGCTGAAACACTGGTAAAGTTAGATGCTTCACAATAAATGTGAAAGTTCATACTATATAATCTCTTAAAATGAACCTTTTCATCCTTTCCACAGCGTGAAACTGTTATGGCTTAATTATATTAAAAGTAGAAAAGTCTTTCCCAGAGGAAATACAGTCTGCAAAGATGCACATGCATTTCCTATCAGTGCTATGTCATAATTAACAACTGCATGACTCGCCTGTGCAGTCAAGAGCTGTTTGTGGAAAAACTGAGGTTACAGCATTTGATTCAGTCTAACCATAAACTGTAAGGCCCTTAGTTTGGTTTAGGATTCTTTTGCAAGATAAAATAACCTTGGGGTTCACTTAGCAAGTTACACCTCAGGTCCCTGACTATATTGTGTAAGTATATGCATGCTTTGTGAAAATGTTACTTATGAATCTTAAGAGGAAAAAAAATTATAGGCAAGGAATCAACTCTACAGTTAATGCTGGCATTTCTTATCAAACAAAATCCAAAGAAATATAAGCATATGTCTTGGTTATTTTATTCCTGCAAAATAGTGTATTTTCTAGCACTTATGATAATTGTTTTGGTAAAAAATATGGAGGGAAAATAGCTGATTATTGTGAATAGAAACAAAAAAATACTATTGAAGACAAACCTATTCTGATTAAGTTACACTTATGACTGCTTTCTGTAATGAAAAAAAAAGTGAATCTAGAGTATCTTGCATAGGTAAACTACTTGGAGGTCAAGGGCTACGTGGTAGCCAGGGTTTCATTAATGAATAGTGCAGAGCAGGTAAAGTTGTTGGAAGAATCATTGGATAAATCTTTAAACAAAAAGTCTAATGTCACAGTTAAGACAAAGCCTTAAGAAACTAGAAGGGCACCAAGGGTGACGGGGGAATCTAAGGGCTTCCTTCTCCTGTGAGTGTTGTTTGCTTCTCCCCAGTAAAGAGGGGGACTTACTACAGAAGAATAAAACCGTGGTAGTGAAGATATGCCAGCTGCTTTGGAAATACACATTTGCTGTTTAAAAATCTTTTAAAAATGTTTATATAAAGGGTATCAAATATTTGTTTCACTTATGGCATGAAAGCAAAATAAGGGAAGGGTTAGCAATAAGGCTACAGAATGAAGGTCAATTATGCTGAACAGCAATTTAGGGAGTATACTAATTATTGTTTCTGTCTAGCTCCAAGAACACATATGGACAGCTGCTACAAAACAACCAAAAAACTAGGGTCTGTGTAAAGTATCAGAAATCCCAAAGCCACTGTGTGTCCGTAGGCAAATCTCTGTCCTATCTCAGTTATATTGGTCACCATTAATGACTAGCTTTCCCTAGACAAAAGATACTATGCTTTTTTTTTTTTTTGGTTTTTCGAGACAGGGTTTCTCTGTAGCTTTGGAGCCTGTCCAGGAACTAGCTCTTGTAGACCAGGCTGGCCTCGAACTCACAGAGATCCGCCTGCCTCTGCCTCCCTAGTGCTGGGATTAAAGGCGTGCGCCACCACCGCCCGGCAATGCTTAATTTTTTGAGATTGCATTAAATAAAAGTCTAGGGTACCAGTAACAGTCTGAAGGCTGTAGCTACTCTTGTTCTCTTTGTGGTGCTAGGGATAAAACCCAGGGCCTTTTACATATGAAAGGCAAGACCTTCTCTCTTACATAGGAAGCAATTAGTATAATACATAATGGGAAACGAGAATTTTTGAGACAGATTTGCATTTCTTATTTCTCCATGTGAAAACTGAAAATGCGCACTTGCTATGATCCTTCTTTCTAACAGCAGTATACTAGGCCATGATTCCTACCAGCTCTTGGGAAGTGTCTCACCATTGCAGAGCATCTTCTGAAGCAAGCCAACACTCATTGTTGTTGAACACATCCAGCAGAGCCACCTTTCTACACTACTCTCTAGGCTATTAGTACCTAACCCAGAGTTGTCTTGGAAGAGTTCTTTTTCCTAGTCACCTTATGTTTTCCCTAGTCCCATGGGTAGCTGCTAACTCATTTTAAATTCATCACCTTTTTTATCATTTGTACCTGAAGGGTTTGCCAAATCTGGAGAACAGTACCGTACTAATTCCTCTTTGAGAAAACCCTAAAGCTAGCTTTTCTGTTGTGCTAGGTAATCATCACTGACTTTGATGAAAGCGCTCACTTCAAGCGTAAAATCTGATTCTAATTCAGCACCTTGTTAGGAATTTTTCAGGTTTTTAGGTAGCATGCTCTGGGCATATATTAGATATCAAGTAAATATAATGAACAGAAGCAGTTTTCATTTACAGATTTCTCTAAAGATGCACCCATCAGCAGTTGTAACTCATTAACAAACTGATGTAATAGCTGAAGAATGTTGGTCTTCACTGAATATCATTAAGCATTTTTATCCAAACTTACAAATAAGAAAACTAGGACTTAGAAATAAAATTCAGGGTTGCTCAGTTGAAATAAATGGCAGAATACAAACCAAAATGCAGGTCTTTTGATTCCTTCCAAGCTCTACCATACCCTTATATGACTAACTTGTTCAATTTCTCTTAAATGTTAAAGAACAGAGACCATTTTTTAAAAACACTTCCACTTCTACAGTGGAACATCTCAGTTGAAACTAATGAAGTTAAACTGTTTTGCTCTGTTCTCCTTACAAATGGGTCATCTTCTGCTTAGGTCTGCTTAGAAGTGAAAACTGCTGCTAACATGCTGGAGAAGACACACCTTTACAGGCAGACAAAAACTGAAACTGATTCCTCTACAGTGCTAACTAGGTCTGGGCACACAGTAGAAGTCTCATAAATACCTACTGATCTCATTTGAATAAATACATTTAAAAAGGAATTAACTAGGATTAGTAACACAGAGAATAGTATTTAACTAGTATTTAAGTATTAAGCTAAGTATTTGACTAGCCATATAGATGAACTTATCTCCTCTGAGTTTGTGGTTTCAGTAGATGGTTCAATTTTATGTGCTTCAAAAATGAACTATATTTATGAATTTCAATGTATTCCAAAGATCCTGAACTACTAAGCTGCCAGTTTTGTATTCTTAATCATTTACCAGTATTGGAGAGCATAATATTATATAATATTGTGAATTACAGTACAGTAGATTCCAGGTTAAGGGTCACTTAGTTGAATTAAAACAGGATCACTACTGCTATTAAAGCTGCACATGTTAGATCATTAGTTCTCAATTTTACACACTTATAAGTAACTAAATGCTATCACTGCTGTCTTCTTACGTAAGCTGTGATATACTGCTCATAGATGAGACTACCTATTACTATAGAGCCCAGATCCCAGCAGTAATCACACTTCAAAGTCCTGCCATTTCTATGAGATAAAAGGACACATCACAGTTGGGGAACTATAGAAGAGGTTTCACTAGAAAAGTCACTGGCTGTGTGGCTGAAATTTTTCAACTCAGAAAAAGATATATGGATTCTTTATTAGAGATTTGCTAAAAGTTTTGTAATTTATTCAGTTATGGGTTTTAAATGATCAAAAATGAATTCACAGTACTGTTATTTAAAAATTTGAAATAGTGGCAACTCAAAATTAGTGTTTTATTAGCCTAAATTCACAGGGTGGATACTGGCCACAATTTTAATTCATAAAAATAAATTGTTTTAATTTTTATGATCAAAAAATAGTTAAAATACTTAAGAGTTGTAAAAAAAATTCCAACCCATTATAACTGGAAAAAGAAATCATCCTTTTTATTTCTTACCCCAAATAAAAAATGTGTGCCCTAACAATAAAACAGAAAACGAAGACATTACAGTGATATACTGTGAGAAGGCAAGGGACCAGTCAATCCAGAGTTTGGTATCTTGAGAACAACCTCAGCTGGACTGCATTCTCCTCTCTACTAGTTATGGCATAGTGCAGGCAGGGGCTAGGGAGGCTCCTACAGATACTAACAATTTCGTAAAAATCCTTCTACCTGACACCCAAAATAAGAGCGAAACTTTTGTCCAGACAATCTGGAACAAAAAGATCAACTCATAACTTCTTTATCCCATGAAATATTGTAAAAGACAGAGTAAGAAATATTTCTCTTTGGAAATATATGCTTTGAATGCAACTATGAAAGATAATGGTACATAATTCTTTCCTTACAACTTAATGCTTAGTGCAGAAGGAAACGTCTAGCTACCTTGCTGAGTGAAAAAGACAAATCCATTATACAGCCATACTTCTCCATAAAAATAAATCTCACATTATTTGCCTATATTGTCTTTTAGGAATTTGTAAAATACGATACTATCAGACCCCCAGTATTAATTTATTTTTATGCCATGAGGGAAAATAGGGAAACTAAAAACTATTACAAGCAACTGAGAACTTGCACTTAGTAAAAGTTGTACATAAAAGAGATAAATGAATATTTTAACTAAAATTCAACCAAACACTTAAACCTCCATATGCTACTAGCCAAGACAGATGGAAGAAACTGCAAAAAGCACCCATTTTACTCCAAATCTGTATTGAAATAATTCTTCAGAAAATTAAAAAGTAAAACGCACATACACACACACCCCATTCCAACATGCTTGCTTCTATACAACTTAATATAGTATAATCTTATTGTATTACGGCTTTTATGCAGATTTGAACATCCTAAATCAAATTGTATTTCTAAAAAATTATGTCTAGTTAATAAAAGCATGGGAAGATATAACCTGTGTTAGATGTTGGCTCTTCCAACACCAGCAGTATGAAGAAGGCCCTCTGTAATTATAAAGGTTTTTGGAAAAACTACGAACATGACATTTTAACCAAACTTATATACTTTCCCCATAGGAAAAAGATATTAAAGCTGTTCTCTTTGGGACCCAGATATCATCAGGAGAAATGAAAATGAAACAAGCCTGTTTTTTTACATGTAGAAGAAAACCACAATGTCAAAAGAAACGAGAAATGAGGACTCTTTTATGTGGTTCTTAAACATTGGCTATGAAGGTGTTTCCCTGCAAAGAGAAGAGTCTTGGGTCATCTCAATATGTTGCGGGGGAGGGTGCAGTGGGAAGGTGGGGATTGTAAGGGAATCAACCTGGATAACAGTATGCACCTTGGATGTTAGCAAAAGCGAAGCTAATAGCTTATAAAAAACACATGAAATATATAAAATAAAATGATTTCATATACATCTTAATTTAAAATAATTAATGCATCAAATCCCTGTTTAAGACTTTAACCTGAATATCAAATTTAAGAGTCCAGACTAGCTACTGTTACTGTGGCTCTTCCCACACATAACACACACACTATCAAAAATAATTTAAAAACCTTCACATTCTTAAATCTAAATTAGTGAGATATTTCTCCAGAAATCTTCCAAATAAATAGCTTTAAAAAAGAAAGAATTTAAAAGCTGTTAACTTTAAAAAAAAAATCTGTTAAATAAATTATTGATAATTCTTTATCCTACTACTGCAAATAAATCAAGACACTACCAACAACAAACTTAAATTCAAGCCCTGACAAGAGACCCCTTTCCAGTTCAAGGCCTCTTTTTAAGGTTCTACCCTCCTTCTTCCTCTCCCGACCAGGTCCAAAGGGTTATTGCTGAGTGGGTGTGGCACAGTGAAGATGCAGCATCAGGTCCATTCTGTTCTTCAGGCAGTATTCTTACTGTACACACAAGCTGCTCCAGGCAGGGGACGGTGGACGGTGGAAACGCCAGGCTTCCACATCCCAAGACTGGCCTCCAGAAGGAAGGCTTTTGCAAGAGCAGCTTTGTCACACAAAGAAACGTGCATGGCCATTTCTGTTCAATTTAAGGATTTTCCCAAGACGTTGTTTGGCTGTTGCCATTCCTTTTTTTGGACGTTTACCTATAAAACACCAACAACAATGTTAATACTCTCAAAAAGTATGTTTGGCATATAACACCTAGAAGACTTAAAAGGGAGAGCTTCACAGAAGTTTTGTTGCGTGTTCCAAAAGTAGTCACATCTCTGGACTTCATATCTTAAAAATCTTTCCATGCTGGGTGGTGGCGGTGTACACCTTTCTTGGGAGGCAGAGGCCAGTGGACTCTGTTTGTTTTTGGACTTTTTGCGAGATAGGGTTTCTTTGAACTCACAAACAAAACCTTCCACATTATCACACAAAATAGAAAGGCATTGTCCTCCTAAACTATGCTTCAGCAACAAAGTACACCACAACTTAATGCCTTCCCCAGGAACCACTGCTCTTCTGTGCCTCAGGTCATGCTCTCTTCTGTTTTCATTGCTATTTCTTCTGTCACTTGTCTCTTAACTCAGCCTAGTAAACCCATTCTTTTTAAGGCCCTACTTCCTCCTGAGCCTCAGAAAGCTTAAGTACCCTCTCATTGTTACTATAGTAGCTCATGCCCACTGCTATTACGCTGCTGTTCATAATGGAAGAGATGATGAGTACACAGCAGCAATTCTCAACCCTTGGGTCACAACCCTTTTGGGAGTCAAACGGCCCTTTCACCTTTATACACAGTCACAAAGATACCTAACCTGCTAATGTACAAAAGTTACCTTTTGTTGCCTGGTTGCTGATAGGTGGTGGGTTTGATGCAGGTCTCTTGGTGGGGTGAAGGGGCACTGAAAAAGAAGTTTCACCAATAGGCCTTTCTGGACTTAGACTGCCATTAGCTATTTGGCATGGCCCTGAAACCAAGCTGGGATTCAGCATGCACTTTCCATTTTGAATGCTTGAGTTACTGCTGTCCACACAATGCCTGCTTTGTGCCTTCTGACTGATTTCTGAAGAGATTTCCTTTTTGATGTATTTCTGGCTTCTACTTAAGTCCTAAAGAAGGAGAGAAAGGAATGTAGTTACATTTTTCAAGTTTCAGATAAATGAGGTATTTTGCTCTTTGTATTAGCAAGATCAACAAAGATGAGGAAATGAACTACTAAATTTTGTTTTTTTTTCCTTCTATATTATGTTTCATAGATGTAAAGAGTGTGTGTGAGTGTGTGCACACATGTGCAATGCCTGTCCATACATCAGGATGCTTGTGTGGGGGCCAGAGGACAACTTATGGGAATTGTTTCTCTCCTTCCATCATTGTGGGTACCAGGTATCAAGGTCAGACCATCAGTCTTAGTGGCAAGTGCTCTTAATCAGTGCTTGACAGTACCTACCCTTCATGATGGTCAGTTCAGTCCATAAGAGACTTAAAGGTTTGGAAGATTAGTTCTTACTTATTACTTGAGTTTTGAAGTTCATTAGGTCAAGATCAAACAAGAAGTGCTGCCTTCTATCCCAGAATTGGGAGGAAAACTGAAACAGAAGCAATGAACCCACAGTTTCCTTGGCTCATCATGGTTCTCAATGCAATGTGCTATCTTTTAGAGTTCTCTTTCCACTATGTAGGTTCCAGGAATACACAAGCCATTAGGCCTAGTAGCAGGCACCTTGAGCAGCTGAACCTTCTTGCTGGCTCCCATTATTACCCTTTTTCAAACACAGCTAGTATAGGTTCATCTCTACTATCTTTGTTTGCTAGAAAAATTCCAATATTCAGGCCTAAACCAGATTTTTCTTTTAACTAGAAGTACTCTTTGAGTACTTAAATAATACTTAAAATAATTAGGTCAATTTGTAAAGATTTCCTTAAGTCCTGAAATTAACTGAGGTCATGAGTGACATCAAAAGAGAAAGGAACTGAATAGACACATGAAGTTTTACACAAAAAGCAAAAACAATATTGAACATCTTAAATCTCTTCTTTATATTCCCATTTGAAAAATACCTGAGGATTAAATCTGGAAGTCCTATCAAACTGTTTAGTCCAGGAAGAAGTCCTCAAATCTTGATCTGCAGTCTTGTCATGGTATCCTAGAAAGTGGTTTGGATTAAGTTATCTTTGCACAAACTTATCTTAAAACTAACCCAGTACTCACAACTGAAAGCAAATGTATGCTGACATTTCATTTATATATTAACTATTTATTCACATACCTTTTCTTTTACTAGACTCCTTAAAACAAACAAAAATCCCACAGTTAGCAACTTTCAACCAAACTTGCTATTTCTTTCAGTTTTCTTCAAACTGTCTTTATATGATAGGCTTTGTGCTAGTGCTAGATGCTAGAAGACCTATAGTCAAGCACTATGGCCATATATTGTTGATGCAATACACGTCTCTAAAATGACATTTTCCATCAGGACAAAGGTATATATTTCCCTGTATTAAGGGACCAAACAGATTATAGGAAGGCAAAATGGAGCAGAGAATGGCAGGCAAACACAGATTTAAATTTGAGTTCTTCCAAATACCAATGCAACTTTAGACAAGCTATTAAAGCATTCCAAAGTTCAGTTTGCTCTTATACACTATGCAAAGATTTGGGGATCAAGTGATCCTGGGTTCAAATTTCAACAGGTTTGAGTAATACCTGTGTGAAGTGTGTAAAATTAAATTAACCATATCAAATCATATTTCCTTTTCATATAAAATGGAGGTCAAGGTCCTGGTGCAGAGATGACCCTATTTATTTGGGACTGAACACACTGCTACATGCCCTTTTCTCAATCCTAAGATTCTGGGGAAATAATGTTTTTCTCTCTGAAAGCACAGGGGAGAAACACTAGGTGGCATTACTGACACGCTGTTTCTGTTACTTCCTTTTCAAAGAGTTTGAGAAAGCAGTCTCAGCCAGAAAGAAACTATGCAAAACTCATTTCTCCTCTCCTAAAAGGAAAATGGACTGATTCTGCAGACCAATTACAACATTTCCATTCTGGGAGCTCTTACAGATGGTGACAGGAAAACAAGACTATCTTTGCAAGACGACAGCAGTACGCCCGTGGACACAATTCTCAGCCCCGTGTCGTTTACATTTTGAGTTTTAACATTGAATTACATTTTAATTAATTGTTGTGTGGGGGTCAGGCAACAACTTGTAGGAACTGTTTCTCTCTTTCGACTATGTGGGTCCTGGGGATTGGCAGCAAGCCCACTGAGGCACCTTGCTGACCCACATTTTGAGTGCTTATGCTTGCATCTTACATGACTATATAAAAAAGCATTTCTTAATGGTAAACAGCCCTTATTCATATAATCTCTAACCTCAACTAGGATCACAGCACTATTAAACTGGGAGTCATATATTACTTTTTAGAGACTGATATTTGTGTTTCTTACCAAATTCCACCGGTTTATCACAGCGATACAACTGCCTAAGCTCAGGGTTACTGCTGTGGCAGCTGCTGGGATCCTGGAGAGAGTTCTTCTCACCGCTGCAGTCTGTGCTTTGTATCTGCCTCTGTAAACACGTGGAGTAGTGCAACCCTGCCATAGACAGCATGCCCTGAATAGCTTCTTCCTCTGTGCTCGTCGAGGTAGGACATTCCCTAAGGAGCAGGTGATCCAAAACATAACAGTGTATTTCTTCTGATTAAATATTCAGTAAAACATAAAACTAAAGGTGTTTTCACAGCATTTACATCACAATACAAAACAATTACTACCATCCACAAGCCTACCTTTTAAATGGAATTTCATTTCTAGATGGCTTCTGGCCCTTTTGAAGGAGGTTCCTCACTATATTGGATTCCTCCTTAAAGTTTGATGTTATTTCATGTTTCTTTTCATCACCTGAACTTTCAGAATCTTCAGTGGCAAAATTAATTTTCTGAAATAATAAATCATTAAATGGAAACAAAGCTAAAAAGAAATTGACCAAGACTGTACAAACTAATTGAAATTTATGTTTAGAAGTTAGAATATGAATTATAAAATTACTTCTTTGTTTCACATCAAGACCTAAAACTTTCTAGTAACTATAGTAACCTACTAATGGAATACAAAATACACAGTTACACATTTTAAGGTAAAATAAAATATAACCTATGAGAACATAAACCACACAAGAGCTCAGTGTAAGCAGATGAATCTCTGCCTCCACCCTTACCAGAACCCAACAAAAATTGCTTATGAATGTGACCGGGCACATGATGGTGTATACACACAGTAACACTATGGGAGACTATGTGCTGCATAGCCCAGAGATAAGCTTTGGGAAATCTGTTATCAACCTTCTCCTACATGGGTGTTCAACAACCCACCAAATGACACATAAAGCTTGGGGTTCTGAGCATACCAGTGCAGTGCAATCAGGTCCAGAGTCTTCTGAATCAGAAACATCAGAATATTCTGATGTTCTATTCCTGAGTTCTGATTTCACACTTGTAAAACTTCCTGAAGAAGAATTTGTAAAGAAAAGAAAGGACAAGAATCAGTCATTCAAACTTTGGGGCAAGGAGAAAAGATGATCTCTAATGTCCACCCAGTTTCAAGATGTCTTTCCATCTCCCACAGTATCTCCCCTTTCTCACTGCTTTTCCTCTCTAACTGACCAAGATGTACACTGACTGAAGTATATCCTTAAAATATCTGTGATATTTCTTTCCAGGAAAAACAAAACAAAGCATTAAAACTAAAATGAACTACAAGCTGCTTCTGACTTTCCCTTGGTTTTCTTTAGAGAACACAAAGGCTCACTGCATTCATGGACTGTGGGTTCAAGTAGTTTATAATCTGGGCCTTTCTCTTCCACAAGTACTGCTGCATAGCAACTGTCCCATCAGTTCTCAGTGATACACTGTCTTGCCCTGACATGTGAACAAAGACAGTTACCAACCACAGAGGACCAGACTTACTGGGAACTAGTGGAAACAGATATTCAAAATGAATCCAATAGTATTCATTATGCAGAACACTCGTCCAAAAATACTGTTTTTAATTACTTTTTAAAAGAAAAGGTATATGCTGTTCTTGAAAACTGTCTGGGAATTAAGATTTACTCAAAGAAAAACTTCAAGGAGAAGATGATATTACTACAGTGTCTGATATTCCTATTATCACTTCACTTGATGATAACCAATTAACATACCAGAAGGAGCTGCCTGTCAAGAGTCAATCAAATAGCACCACACTACTTGGATTCCCACTAGCTGCAGATCACCCAACCAAATGTCTCTTAATTATGAGAACCAAAGACGTGTTAGCAAAAGCCGTATGTGAAATGAAGTTAAACTTGAAACTCACTTTGGGGAGTAGAAGCCATAAAGTATATGAGCTTTTTAAAGACAGGGAAGCTATCTGGGTCTTGCTGACCATCACATACTCCTTCACTGGTAATCTGCCCCTGGCTACCGCACCTTATTTGGCATTCATATTCAGCACTTTGATGATCGATGACCTATTTAAAAATACTTCAGATTTTCCAACAGTGTTATAAATGCAAATGTTTTCAATCCTACAACAATTCAAACACCAGTGAGTTGCCCATTACCACATTAGTGGGAGAATGAAAAACATACTGTTTAGTGGTTTTGGAGATCCTTCACTTTCTGCCCCCTCTCTTCCTGAGCTCTCTGTCTTTACGTTTGCCTTCTTTGTTGGTTTCTTGTCTTCTTCATTTTCACTATCTGCTGTATAAAGACTCCGATCTGCAAACAGCTGTCTCTCATCTCTATACAATAGAAGGAAAAATTGCATCAGAAATAGCATAAGGCTCTGTGTTCCCTTCCCCTCCATTCATTCAGACACAGTAGAGAATTGAGACCCTTTCACCTAATACAATTGGCTGTCCAATAATGTAGAGTGATTAAGTGAGATTCACTAAAAATTCATCTGGTAGTTTGATCTACTTTACGTACTTAATTATTCTTCCATTTGTAAGCAGTAATCGTAGATCATTCTCTTTTGCTCTCCATTCAGGTACTGTAGAAGATGGCTGGAGATGTTTGTTGAATTTTCCATTCAGTATGTCCTTAAAAGTACAAAGCAAAACTGATTTACTCTCCACCTTCAGAAAGTCCTGATCAACTGAAAAGACTGCATACTGCTCCTCCTTCCATGGTCTTGCCTTGTAGAGGGATGGGCAGCCGTCTAGACTTGGAGAGATCTCAATGACCCAGAATCTAGAGTTCCTCATTCCAACACATACAAATTGCTTATCTTTCAGTAGAGCCATTAGCAATAAAATAATTTTCTAATATAAGATGTAAAATCTGCATAAAGAAAATCCAAACACAGGCCTTTCTTACTGGAGTCAAATGGCTTTAGGCTAAGTATCACTTTTTTCTTGATGAAGCCCAGCTGTGTGGCTCTCTCACTCACCCTAACCTGGACCTCATTCCTTCCCAAGACTGTCTACCTCCACAAGGCACAAGAGCCATCATTTATTAAAAGACATGATAGGAGCTGTTTTCTTTTTAACATATAAAAGATTCTCTTTGAGATCTTCTTCTCCTTATTAATAGAACTTATTATAAGCTTTTCAAAATAACTATGGGTTAAGTAGGTTCAGTATCTCAAAACAGCATAATAGTACATATAAAATAGAACATATAAAATTATAATGACTATGTAACTTCTTTTAGTATTTTAAAGTCAGCAATACCTCTATCTTACTTTATATTACCTATGTCAATCCTTAAGATATAAAATTAAGGGTGATGCAGATTTTATCACAAACTTAGTAGCATGATTTATTGAGGTGCCACTACCCCAAACTCTTCCTGATTCTGTCCAGTACACCAGGACTTCAACTTAAATAGATTTATTCTTTGTTTTTTTATACTGCACTATACATTTTTCTCTGCTCCCCTACCTTCCCCCCTCTCCCCTTCTACCCTTTCCTGTGACCCCCACGCCAATTTTGATAGTTGGACTGGTTCTATCGGTTCTGTGTTTGTCCAACTTACTGTACTGCCTGGCAATACTAATTCAAAGCTGTGTTTTCATTTGATTTCTTTTTTGTTTTTCTTTTTTTGAGACACGGTTTCTCTGTAGCTTTGGAGCCTGACCTGGAACTAGCTCTTGTAGACCAGGCTGGCCTCGAACTTGAGTGCTGGGATTAAAGGAGTGTGCCACCACTGCCAGGCCTTCATTTGACTTCTTTTGTTAGTTAAGTATAAATTCAAACATCAACACCTGTAAGGCACTAAGCAAAGTAGCCAGCCTCTACTTCCTTGCTACCCTTGTTCTGGGTCCCCTCAAAATACTTAGCACTGGAAACATGTATTTTGTTGCTGCAGTTTGTTTGAGAAAGGGTTTCACTGCGTAGCCTTAACTTGCAGTAATCCCCTTGCCTCAGACTCCCAAATGCTAGGATTATAGGAATGGGCCATCATGCCCAGCCTTAAATTATATCATTTTAATCTATGTCTCCGTCTTCCAACTTAAATTTTGATAAAACCTACATGGGGGTAGGGACTCAAGTTTGTTTGCTCTGGCATCTTTTTCAGAAACCAGAAAAATTTAATTTTATTTATTGAATAATGAACATGTCAGCAAATGAATGAACTCTAGGTATCTTAACACCACACCACTGACTAGGAAAACGAGACTCATGGCCTCCCACAGACAAATATTAGTCTCTATAAATGCACAGTAGAAACTAGCCGAATTGTTGTATGTACAATCCAAACACTTTTTGGATCCTGATATATACTTGCCTCCTCCCACGGACACATCTCTAATCTTCTGAGGACTTCCCTTGTATGGAGCTCAAGGATATCTAGGTTAGAAGGAGTTCTGACATGATGATCTCGAAGTTTCCTCATCTTTCGCCGGGAATGATATGGTGAAGATGCTTCATTTGAAGGCCGTGAAACTGGACACACAGTAGGAATTCCCTGAGATTTAATTGGTTTGCCATTTTCTTCCTATAAAAATCAAATTCAGAGTATGTTTTATGGCAAGGCTCCTGTACATATACCTAACTAAGCAATTAACCATAAAAATACTTTAACAAACAAACACATCCTATTCAATCATTTAAGAGGAAGTTAAATCAAGTCCTCAGCTTTCCTGAGCTTTTTATTCCCTTCTCCTTCATATACTTTGTGAACAATGCATTTCCTAATTTTATCTGAAGAAGATTTGGGGTGAGGGGAGCTGATTCAGCTTCCCAAGTGCTAAGATTACAAGCATGTACCACCACACCAAACTTTCATCTTAAATTTGTAATATTAAATTGGAGTTGACATTTTCAGAAATGATACTTGTGTTACTAAACTATCAATTTGGTTTTACTGTGCATGAAACACATATATGCACATATGTCACAGATAATAGGTCATATATTTTATATATTTGATAAGACTTTTGATAGAAAACTCATTTACATGCCATTACTATCACTCTTTATTAAATTTTTGTTACATCTGAAAATACATGAAATAGTCTATCCATTGACAGTAAACCCAGCATAGTGCTCTTCCTTAGAGGTTTAGAGATTTTAGTTCAGTAGTAGAGGTAACTTGCCTAACAAGCACAAGACCCTGGTTCAGTTCCCGGTACCAAGAACAAAAAGACATGATTGATATTTCTTAGATGTATACTACTTTCCATTCTTGACATCCTGGTTGTGCACCTAGCCTGTTACTGCTGAATCATGTCTCCAGCTCCTCTTCCCTTTCTACAGTCCTAATGTAAGATTAGGACTTACGTAAATTAATAAGTGTAAATGTAAATTACCTAATGTAATCTACGAGGTGGCCTCCATTCCACCGGTAAATTTCCTCTTATTTCAAACTAAACACTAAACAAGCAAGTTAGTTTCCAGAAGAACTATTTTAATGAAAACCCCCGTTTTTCTATACTGACATCAGCTCTTAAAAATGAAAACATTTCACCTCATATATGGGCTTTTATCAAAGGCACTGACTTCTCAAAATGCTCCAGTATTTTTTGGTCAAGGGAGTCCCTGATATTCTTTCGAACCCAGCCACACTCCCCTTATTGTTTTATCCCTTCCTCTAACTACTTCACTTACATTCATCTCTAGGTAATTGAAACTAAATAGATCTAAACATCATACTGTGACTTTTGCTTTAATTTTTGGATGAACTTAAGGAATTTACAGTAACTGGAACTACTGCTTTGATATTTTATTATGCAACACTTTATATTTTTTTGTAAGACATTAGAAGCCTATAATCTGAAACGCTAACTCAGCTCACTGTATTCTTTCACCAGTGTGAAAGTGCTTTCAATATTTACAGCATGGTGACAGATCCATGTGCTTCTCAAAGCAGATAGCAAGCAGACACATTTAATGATAACTTCTTACCTCTATTGCTCGAATTACTTTAGAAAGTTCCTTAATAAGATGTCCAGGTCTAACATTGTCTGGAATTTCAAAGGCATGTTCAGATACAAGCTGTATTCGGAGTAATAAAAATAAGAAAACCAAAGTCACTTAAAATTTAAAGCCCAACTTATTTCATAAAGTTCTCTATATTTTAAAGACCTGCTGATAATATTAAGCCATTATCAAGAGTTTATGTACTTGGTAGATAGTCACCTAAGAAGATCCACATATCAAATAAAATCCTCTTATTTGTCTCACAGTGAATCTTATTTTATAATGCATTCTACACCTCAAATCCCACTGTGATCCTAAGTACAACTATTAATAAAGAAATTAAGCCTAACATTTAATTCAAAATGCATAAGGATTTTTGTAGGGAACATTGGCATTAAGTAATCCCTGTTTTTCATGGAACGTATACTTTGAATAAATTTGAGTTAAAAGTTCGATAGTCAAAAGCAAGTGAAGAAAATGCCACTAACAGAAACAAGAAATAAATTAGTAAGTGAGCATATCTACTAACTACAAACTAGTACCATTATTTTTATGTCTATTTACAAATTATTTCTCTCTGTATCTAAGGACATTTGATTTTTGGACACAAACTAGTTTCATTTTTGCTTTATTACTGAATTATTATTTTGTTTTCGGTACTGAATTGTTTTTAGTATAACTTGCAGAAACTAGTTAGCAACAATAACGTGCAATAGTGTTAATTCTGTATCCTGATACTGTTAAGTGCACTTGGTAAGCATGAACTCACCCTCATTATCAGGGTGACATGGATACTTCAAGCTGGATATTCCTCATCTGAGATACTTAGGATTAGTCATGTTTTAGATTTGGGGGCACTTCAGATTTCAGATTGGAGATGCTCAACCTTTTACAGGTTATGATGAGTATTGCCATCATAACTGAGACACTGACCTTATGTAATATATCCACAATGAAACAGCTTACTACTAGCAGAGATGAGATTTGATTCTGAATATCTGACTCCAGAACCCAAAATTTTAACCAGTATACTGAACTGCCTCTTATCTTTGAACAAAGTTACTAAAAATGTAGAAATGTTTTGAAACACACTTTACTTAATAATACTTGTAATAAAAACTAACTATGTACAGAAATCATGTAAGATGTTTTTAGGATCAATTCTAATCAAGGGCTATTAAAACCAAAATCCCAAGCAAGATACAGGGATTTTATTTTCAAAACGTTCTCAAGGCAATGCTAACACACATATGAAGCACCCATCTACAGCCTCTACCAGGAGACAAAGGGACAAAGGCACACAATTTCTACAGTTTACATTTCATCATGCCACACAGCTGTTAACTTATGCTTTTCCACCTCACACACATGATAAAATCTGACAGTGGAAGGCATGTTTTTAACTTTCCTTTATGTTTCTATGGCACCTTGCCCTAATGGATTTGTAGCACTAATCCTAAATTAAAATCCTTAAATGAAATTTCCTGGAGTATAGGCTAGTACTTATTGTTTCCCAGTATTTCCTTTTAAAATTTATATTATTATTATTATTAGGAAGAGAGAAAGAGACAGACAGACAGACAGACAGACAGACAGACAGAGACAGGCACATGAACTTTGTGGAGTTTCCTTTGACCTTTACATTGGTCCCCTGTTCTCAGGCTTATACAGAAGGTGCTTTATAGACATTAAGTTTCTCATTGGCTCTCCTCATTTCCCTTAATAGCAAGAATTTTATTTTAAATGGATAGCAAGCAAATCTGGAAATCATCAGCACTTATATTTATCAATCATATTATTTAAGATCATGTGTGAAGCTCCATGGAGTTGAAATAAGAGTTCAAAAGCTTAGTGAAGAAAACATACATTCATTATACACATTAGTTTTAAGCCTAAGTACGTAAGAACATGCTACAGAAGCAGAAGGGAAGTAAAAGTAAACACTTAACTCCAAATGCAGATTTGGATGAACTCTCAGAAAAAGCCTGGGATAACTGAAAACTATTCTTGCCCCTTCCTTTCTTTCATTTTCTTATAAACCTACTAGTGGCAAAGAGCAGGACTTTTTATCCTAGCCTCACAAGTTCTTACTGTGCAACAATCCTTTTCTACACTATGGATATGAATATGTCAGCTAATAAAAAGCTGACAGGACAGTAATTGGGCAGGAAGTGAGGCAGGAAAGTCAAACTGAGAAAGATGGGAAGAAGAAGGGCAGTCAGGAGAGACGCCAGCTAGCCGCTGAGCAAGCAGGACATGTAAAAATGTGGTAACAAACCATGATAACCCTAACCATGAGTCACGTGGCAAAGCACAGATAGAAATATGGGTTAACTTTTAAAGTTACATTTAATGTAACAGTTAGTTAGCCTGAGCTATCAGCCAAATATTTATGATTCATATTCAGCCTCTGAGTCAGTTATTTGGGACTGGGTGGTCAGGACAGGAAACGCCAGTCTCCAAGTTCTCTTGGGAAAGTTACTTAAATGGGGACACCTCAGCACCCAGACCCCACACAGCAACTGTAAAAGACTAAATGAGGTCACACATGTAAAGACAAAGCACAGTGCTTGACATGCTAAGAGCTCAACATGGCTTGTTGTTACTCTATCAGCCTGCTTGTTTCTTAGAATCATAAATATACTTGCATTTTGCTTTTTCAAAAATAAAGAAAACCAAAGCTTTTTATTCTCTAACCAGAATCAATACATCTGTGTATAGTATGACAGAGAGTACAAACTGTATATAAAATACAATTTCATTCCTTTTACAACTAGCATGTGAATGCTGCCCACAATAAAAGGACCATTTTCATGACTTGCCACAAAAAAAAAAAAAAAAAAAAAACAAACCAACAAACAAACCCAGCAAAAACAACTTACTTCTTTTTTCATCCATACTTTTAAAGCAGTATGCAGTGCTTTCACTCCCTGTACTAAGTAGGTTTGAGGCTGGAACCCATCTTCTTTCAGTTCTGTTGGGATGAAGTAAGGGAGGGAAGGAAATGTCCTAAAGTTTATAAAAGGATATTTTGAGTATCAAACTTAACAGTACCCAAAACAGGACAGGAAATAATCAATTCAAAAGGCAAGAAAGAAAAAGAAATTGAACTACATTAAATGTAATGACACTAAATGCTTTTTTAAACAAATAAAAATACAGAAAAGTTTAAAATAAAACAGTATGAAAACGATGTTAAGTTTTGAAAATAAAGTTGAGATAGCTGTAGTAATATGGTCATCATTAATAAAGCATCATTTCAACATGTTCAAAAACTCAATTCACTAGGAAAACATTTAAAATTTCAAGCCTGAAATATAAAAAAAAGAAAAAACAAAATACAATAAGCAATTTCACAATTACAGTGGGATATTTCTAACAAAAATAGTAAACATAGAGTAGACTGAAAAAATAGGTAGATAATTCAATTCAAGCAATATAAAATTTGGTTCAATAGTCATAAATAGGATACTGCACCTAGAAATTGCAAAGTGCACTTTTTTTCAGACATAGTCATTACATTTACAAAAAGCATCTGCACTGCAGGGACCATAACGAGGCCTCAACAAATCCCAATGATCTTAATCACTTAGATGCTCAAAAGCGCAATTAAGCTAGAAATCAACACCATAGATAACAGCAACAGATAAAAAATGATTAGAAATTTTAAATTACAGGCGCTAAGCAACATATAAACTAAAAGATTTTTTAAAAATCGTTGGGGCCAGAGAGATAGCCTAGCAGTTAAGCGCACTTGTTACTCTTACAGGACTGGGTTCAATTCTCAGTACTACATCAGATGACTCAGAACTACCTCTAACTCCAGCAACAAGGGATCTGATGCCCTTTTCTGGCTTCTGAAGACACATGTGTGCATATACAAACATTCAGACATAAAGACACACATGTATGGCAGACCCACACCCTTCCCACACCAAAATAAGTAGATAAAACAATTTTAAAGGCCATAGTATCAGTTTGAAATTATATGAAATTTACAAATAGAAAATATTACTGCCATTCAAAACATGGGTGATGAAACTAAAGAAAAGGATTATTGCAGAAGTGAAGACAGTAGTTAACTACAGAAGAGGAGGCAGATGGAACTTAATTATACTCTAGGGGTGGTACCAAGATTTTCTTGGATGAATGCCTATGATGATGGCCAACATATATACATCTATGTACCTAGTTTAAAGAAGGCTGTTACTCAGGTAATTGCTACTCAAGTTAAAAAAAACAACTTAATTGATGCTTTGAAAAATGCCTGCTTAGCTGGACAGTGGTGGCGCATGCCTTTAATCCCAGCACTTGGGAGACAAGAGTCAGACAGATCTCTCTGAATTTAAGGACAGTCTGGTTTATAGAGCTAATTCCAGGACAGTTACAGTGACACAGAGAAATCCTGCATCAAAAATCAAAACAATCCAACAACAACAACAAAAAATCCTGTTTCAGGACTGAGATTGTAGCTTAGTGGTAGAACATTTGCCTCGTACACAAGGTCCTGGGTTTGTCCCTACCACTACTATTAGGCTGAGCCATATGGAGTTGCCATTGCCAGTATTTGACCATATTGAAATATGGAAACAACTTTACATGACTCCACCATGGGAATAATATTATAAAATAGTATGCTATATTTATAAAAGCACTAAAATACAAAGTACCTAGGAATAAATCTATCAAGATACACAAGTGCAAAGTTTACAAAACTTCAAAAGACATTAAAGAAGACAAGACTCAGACGCTCCATGATCATTCTTCAGCAAACTCAGTGGTGACCAGGTGTGGTGATACATGCTTTTAATTCCAGCACTGGGAAGGCAGAGTCAAGCTAATCTCTTAAGTTTGAGCCAGCCTAGTCTACATAGTGAGTTTTGGGTCAGACTCACCCTGTCTAAAAAAGTAAGAAAAGGGAAAGGAAAAAAAAAAAACCTCAGAGGCAGGCGATCTCTGTGAGTTCGAAACCAGCCTGGTCTACGAGAGCTAGTTCCAGGACAGGCTCCAAAACCACAGAGAAACCCTGTCTCGAAAAACAAAAAAAAAAAAAAAAAAAAAAAACAAAAAAAAAACCACTCAATAATGAATGCCATAGACCTCAGTATTTCTGAACCTTTTTTTACATGATGTGATAAAATACTAGTTATTTCTAAGAGTAAATTGGTGCTACAACTTAATGAGCAACAGTATTTTCTATTTCAGATAAACTTCTATTTTGTTCTAAAAGGCTTCTAGACTTCTGAGTAGAAAGGAAGTGTGGGGATGGGAGAAGACAGAAACAGAATGAATATGAAGTAGTAGAGCTTCATCTAGCTAACCAGATGATATAAACTTTATGTCCTTGAGTCAGAGTTAGAGAAAAGTGGCAAGAAAAAGAACTACCAACCAAATGTAGAACTTCAGTTCTTAACTGGAGAGTTCAGGAATTAAATTTTATTTCTAAAACAAAGACACTTACAGCTACTTTTACAAGTGTATAATACATGTTCCTGCTGTTCTAGACTTGAACTTGGAGACTATGTTCAAGGGAAAAATCAACAACAACAACAACCTGGTCACTGAGAAATGGGCGCAATTCACAGCCATCCCTTTAGCCAAGAATAATACTCCATAAAGTCAGAGATTCACACTAAAGACTCATTTCTAGAGCACAGGTTATTCCTGTACGGTCTTCCTCATCTGAGAGACCCTAACCTATTACACACATACTCCTAAAACTGCCACAGCCTCTCTCCTGACACAAGGACTCACTGTTCTCACCTTTCCATCTGAAGTAAGGTGGTGTCTTTATAATGGTTTCATTCTTTTTCATCATTTTGTATGTGTGCAAGCTGAGAGGACAAACACAGAATTGGTTCCCTCCTTTCAACTCCTATGTGGTTCAGTGTTCAAATTTAGGTGGTCAAGCTTAGAGCAAGCACCTTAACACTGAGCTATCTTGCTGCCCCCCCCCCTTTAAATTTGGAAGGAAATGACCCCAGACTTTTACTGCACGTGTGTGTGTGTACACATACACTATACTACAAATTACCTTTAGTTTGTTACTTTTTTCATTCCAACTTTTCTTCTTATATAACTGTTAAATATATAAAGAAATAAATGTCTAGATTTTAGACCACTGTACATCTATCTGAGAGTTAACTGTAACAGTATTATCATTTGGGACTAGAGATGGTAAAACAGTTTAATAGCACTTGCTGTTGTTGCAGAGGACCCAGATTTATTTCCTATTACCCACAGGGAGGCTGTGGTGGTGTGAATGAAAGTGACTCCCATAGGCTGCTGATAGGGAGTGATACTATTAGGAGGTGTGGCCTTGTTGGAGGAAGTGTACCTTTGGGGGTGGACTTGAAGGTTTCAGAAGCAAGCCAGGCTCAGGGTCTCTCTCTTCCTACTACCTATAGATCCAGAACTTTCAGCTACCTTTCCAGCCCCATGTCTGTCTGTATGCCTTCATGCTTCCCACCATAACAATAATAGACTAAATCTCTAAACTGCAAGCCAGCCCCAATTTAATGTTTGTTGTCCTCATAAGAGTTGCTGGTGGTCGGATTGGGGGAGGGGGAGGGAAAGAGGAGGCGGAGGTGGGGAAGAGACAGAAATCTTTAATAAATTAAAAAAAAAAAAAAAGAGTTGCTGGTGGTCATGATGTCTCTTCACAGCAGTAGAAACCCTAAGATAGCGGCCCATAACTACCTGTAACTCCTATAAGTTCTGAGCAATCTCATGTCCCCTTCTCTTACCAGGTACACACATACATAGAGACAAACACTCATATACATAAAATTAAAAAAAAATTTATAAAGAGTATCACCATTTGCAAACTAATTAGAATAAAACAAAACAAATTATATTCTTACTAGCACAGAGAATGAAAAGCAGATTATGGATAAAGTTCCATTTAATCTCCAACTTGACTGGTCCAACATAAGTCAAAATACAAAATTATCAAATTGTACCATGTAAAAAATATTTCCAAGTATAAATATAACTGGGTTCTTTAAAACCATTTTTTTTTTTCGTATGGTAGTAGAAATTGAGTCTAGGGCCTCATGCCTGCTTATCAATGGGCTACATTATCTCCAGGCCTCTTACTTTGAGACAAAGTCTCATCAAGTTTCCCAACCTGGTCTTGAATTTATAATCCTCCTGTCATAGACTCTCAAATAGCTGAGTGGAATTATAGGTCTGTGCCTCCAGGCCAAGCTAAAAATGTTTTTCTTCAATTGGGACTGTATGCTAACAGGTGAATTAAACTGTCGCATAATGGTCATATTCAAATGATGGAACAAACATCCAATGATTCAGAACACACAAATTGTTTCCCTATTTTCTTTTTTAAAGTGTACTGAGATGGGGGGGGGGTCCTCACTACATAACCTCAGCTGGCCTAGGACTCATTATGTACACCAGGCTGACTTCAACTAAGGTGTCTGCCTACCTCTGCCTTGTGAGTACTGAGGTTAAAGGCATGTATCACTATGCCCATCCCACACCACTCTACATTTTTAAGCAAGTATTTCAGGACAAGTGTTAGGTAGTAGTCTGTCTGTGACACAAGCTACATTTTTGAGAGCAAGACAGAGAGAGAGAGAGAGAGAGTGTGTGTGTGTGTGTATATGTGTGTGTGCAGGCCATTCACTCTTATTAAATGAAATGACTGTTTTTCAGTATTTGGGTACCTGATTTCTAAGAATAAGGAGGGGATCGCTATAGACCAGATACTCTAACTCAGTGGTTCTCAACCTCAGGATCATGATTCCCTTTGGGGTCACATACTCGATATCTACATTATGAGTCATAACAGCAAAATTACAGTTATGAAGTAGCAATGAAATAAATAATTTTATGGTTGGGGATCTCCACAGCATGAGGAACTAACTGTATTAAAGGGTCATAGCAGGTTGAGAACCACTGCTCTAACTGCTAAAAATATTCTTAGCAGGGGAAAGAAATACATACTTTTTTAAAGAGAGGGAAGCCAGACTGGAGAGATGGCTCAAAAAGTTAAGAGCATCTACTGTTCTTGCAGAGGACCTGAGTTCCCAGCACTGTGCTCACATGGACAACTCCCAACATACATTCACATAATTAAAAATAAAATAATTTTAAAAGTGAGGGTGACAGGGCTGGAGAGATGACTCAGAGGTTAAGAGTACTGGCTGCTCTTCCAGAGGTCCTGAGTTCAATTCCCAGCAACCACATGGTGGCTCACATCACCTGTAATGAGGTCTGGTGCCCTCTTCTGGTGTGCAGGCATACATGCAGTAAAACACTGTATACATAATAAATAAATAAATCTTTAAAAAAAAAAAGTGAGGGTGAAATCTAGCAAAGGGTCCCTGAAGGAATTTGCAAACACACATCTTATCACACAACAGAGTGTACAAATTACCTTTCAGGGTTTCCAGCAAACTTTTGGCTACAAACCAGCATATGGCTTCAAAGAAAGGGAATTTGAAAAGATCTGGTGTTTTTAGTCTTTTCTCCATCTCATAACACCTAGATTAATAAAATTTGAAGAACAGTTAATATTAATATTAGCATTTCGAAGTTAAATAAATGTCCTCAACTGAAAATAAACAGGCCATGATAAATATGTTTCCTTAACAACACTACCTTTTGATAACACTGAACTGTGATCTTATGCAAGTTCTGGTCCTGACCTTAATAAATTTACTAGTCTACTTAAGAATTACATTGGGTACTGTAAAAGAACACTTCTTGGGATTTGTATCCTAATTTTAACAAAAAAGGATCATATGAGGGTTCCACTAATAAAATAGTAGATTTAAAGATCAGTTCCATATGTTGAACAACACTACCAACACCCATGAATGTTCTCTTTAGGCTCTACAGAGCATTCCAGATCAATACTTGACACCAGTCAAGGTATAAAGAGAGGGACCACAGTTTGCACAATATTGGTCTTCTGTCAGAGTCCTAACAACACATGTAGAAGAGGCCATCTCTTTTCCAGAAATAGCTAAGGCACAAAAAGATTAAAACTTATATTTGGCAGGCACACAACCTCCCATAGCCCCATGCTCTGTAAGAATCACCACCTCCTTTTCTATTATTATTATTATTTTGAATTTTTCAAGACAGGGTTTCTCCGTAGCTTTTGGTTTCTGTCCTGGAACTAGCTCTTGTAGGCTGGCCTCGAACTCACAGAGATCCGCCTGACCACCTCCTTTTCTAACTGCAAGGACGAAGCATTCAGGCATGCACACGCAGAGTTACAAAACTCACCACATTTGGGGGAATACCAATGATACTCGGCCTCCCAAAAGGCATTTCCCTTTTCTCAGTCCTCATGCAGGGTCCATCAGGAAGCAGACCTGTGATGTGACTGACCCTAATCCTTTCTAGGTACAGTAAAGGAACAAAGCTGGCAAAGGCCAGATATCATCAAAAGGGGAAGAACTGCCCTACAACAAAATTCAAAAGCATTCTGATAGCAATCCTGACTCAAGGATTTTTCCAGCCCCAAAGGTTATACCTGAATCTAATTAATTTAACTCATAATCACGTTTATAGACTAAAAAAAGGCATAAACATTTTATAAAAATTTGGTATGCAGGAGGTATCATCAGATTGAACAAGTTATCTATTTTACTTTAGATTTGAAAAGATCCTCCAAATAATCTTTAAAAAATATTTTTTGTTAAAAAAGTTCCCATTCCTAGCCAGGTAGTAGTAGCACACACCTTGAATCCCAGCTCTCAGGAGGCAAAGGCAGGCGGATCTCTGAGTTTGAGGTTAGCCTGGTCTACAGAATGAGTTCCAGGACCAGCCAGAGCTGTTACACAGAGAAACTCTGTTTCCCAAAAAACAAACAAACAAATACCCAATCCTAATCATTCATTCCTCAAGGCCTATCTTCACAGGATCTCAAAAAAAATGTAGTTTTTTTATAGGAAACAAGCAAAAATGCAAAAATGTTACAATTAAGAACAAAAGATCCTTTCAATATTAGTGACACACAAACCTGAGCTGCATGCCAATGTTGAGATTGTGTAGAAAGTTACCCCCAAAAGCCATACAATCCTGAGAAGTGAGCACAGCATGAATCCACCCTGAAACACACAAATCAATGATGGTTCAGTTTCTAAACTAAACAGATGTTATTCTACCTGTGACGTAAGTAACTTATATACCAATATCAATTTACTTCATACACCAGCACTAAAGAAGTTGATGCTTATTACAACTGATTGACTCATCCACTTAAGTATTTATTTAAAAGTGTATCATATGCCAAAGCTTTTTGATGAGCCTGAGGGGGTAAAGTGAGGGTTTGGGATAGTGACCACCAATACTTCTTTTGTTTTATTTTGTTTTAAAATAAACACCTTTACAATGAAAAATTTTATTCTGAGATCAGTCAAATCTGGTTTGAATTAGGAAAAAACGTTTTCCATTAATGAATATAAGATTGGGTGAAGCCGGGTAGTGGTGGTGCACACCTTTAATCCCAGCACTCTGGAGGGAGAGCCAGGCGGAGTTCGAGGTCATCCTGGTCTACAAAGTGAGTTCCAGGACAACTAAGGCTGTTACACAGAGAAACCCTATGGGGGGAGGGGGGAGATTGATTGAGGAATCTGCTTCCCTGGTGTCACCATGAAGGAAGTCCCCTGGAAGGAATACGGGAATACTCAGGGAAAGATTGGGAACACAATGTGACACCCTGCTCCAGCAGAAGAAAAGGCAGATCACCCACATTTAAATGGGTGGAAATTGGGCCTATGAACATTAAATGCTGCTGATTAAATGTTTTATTTCCATTACAGTGTTTGCAAAACGAGAGACAGTTCTAACAGAGGATGTCTAACTTTTTAAATGTTAGCAGACTGAATGAAAAGCCATAAAAATATAAATTCTTCTGGGCATTCATATAGGTAACAAAGCATGTTCAATAAAAACCAGGACTAGAAACTAAAACTCCATTATTTAAACAATGTACTTATACATGGTTTTATAACCATTTCCATTTAGTGTACTACTGTGCACATTAAAGAAAACTAGAGCAAAGTTTGTTTAGAAAGTTGCTAATCATCTTGGGGAAAATCCCATTGCAGTCCTCAACCTAGCACCATCAGCAAGCAACCTGTTAGAGATGCAAATTCTCATGCCCATCCTGTATCTACTGAATGAGAGCCTGAAGAGAAAGGCCCAGGAGCCTGTAGTTTACCAAGCCCTCCTGGTCATCCCCATGCTCCATGAAGCTGGACAGGCCCCAAATTACACCAATGCTGATGAATTTCAGCTGTCCCTGGCTCACACGTACTGATCCGCAGACTCATGACTCTTAACACTGCTGTGAATACATGCACATAGAAAAACCGCATTTCTTCATTACACACTAACTTAACTTTATAAAAAGTTTAATCTATGAATTTTAATTTGATTTTTAAAAGGACACAACAGAAATATTATACTAAATAGCAATAGAAGAGTTAAAGGCAGCCTTTCAAAAGTCAGACATAAATCTTAATACTTCTAGATAATGATTCATTAATTTACTCAAGCTTAATTATTCTACATCAGAGGCAAAGCAGAAAAGTAGAACGTGTAATAACAGCTCTGTAAATTCTATAACCATCAGGTCACCCAAGCCCAGAGAGGATAGCCTGCATATTCATTTACACTGCCAACCAATGTATTAATACTTATGCTTGAGATATACAGTACAGAGAAGTTTGGTAGTCCTCAAAGTAGTAAGTATCGTTAAGTAATGCAACACAGCAATTCTATTTGGTACATACTCCAAAGAAATCAAATGAAAACATGCCTCTACATAAAAGTTTGTACAACTGTTCAAAACAGCACTATTCATAAAATCACAAAGTGGAAAGGACCCAAATGTCCATCAACTAATGAATGGGTAAGCAAACTATTGTATATCCTGCAAAGGAGCATTGTTAGGTGAGAAAGATTCAGCACTCATGTGTGCTGTGGTGTAGATGAGTCAAGTGAATGTGGAATGTAAAAGAAATTACTCACAGCTGGGGATGATACACATGCCTATAATCTCATCACTTAGGAGGCAAGTTTTAGCTACACAGTGACTTACATGCCAGCCTGGGCTATGAGATCCTGCCTTTATCAAAAACCCAAACGAACAAACAGAAGGAAAGAGAGAAAAATACAGAGGGAAGTGGCTAGACACAAAAGGAAACATATTAAGTGTCAAAATAGGCAAATGCATAGAAAGCATATTAGTCGCTGCCAATGGGTCAAGGAAGTGGGATGGCAGTGTCTGCTAAAAGGTATGGCGTTTCTTTTGGACATAATGGAATGATTCTCCACTTAGATGGCAGTGATGGTTGTGTGATCATACTAATCTATTAAAAATCATGAACTTGTACCATTTAATAGGACGGTGATCAAGTCCTCTAAGGAACAATTGAGTCCTTAGTCCTTCTTAGGTAAGGCCCTCAAGGCTGTTTTATTTAACACATATGTTAAAGTCAAAGTTGCTTCTAATTACAAGTTGACTCCAAGAGACTCACTATCAACTAACCTAGACCAGCAGGTTCTTCAGTGACAGGGTCTTAAATTGGAGGTGGCCAGGAAATGAGAAGGTAAAGAAAACAGAAAAGGTGAGGTTAGGAGATCTTGTACAAGATATGTCTTATGCTAGGCAAGCTTATTAAAAAGTACAGCAAGTCACCAGAAACTATCATACAGCAGAAAAAAAGTCAGTGGAAAGGTAATCAAACAATATTGCAAAAGGGTATCTCAAGAGCTTTATAGACAGAACACACGACAGTCTTTTAAGGTGGCAAGAATTGGGTTCTCAGGATCTGAACCAGCTACCCAAAAGTCTCAGTCCCAGGCTACTACTGGCTCTGTCAAGCATGTTCCTGGTTTTAGAGAAGGGACTGTTCTCCATACATTAGGGCCTCAGGGAAAGCCTCCCAAGACCCTAGCCCCAGGCAATTACTGGCTCTGTCAAGCATGTTCCTGGTTTTATTTTAAATGTTTATTTACTTAGCCTGCATGCCTGCACACACACCAGCAGAGGGCACCAGAATCTCATTATAGATGGTTATGAGCTACCATGTGGTTGCTGGGAACTGGACTCAGGACCTCTGGAAGAGCAGCCAGTGCTCTTAACCTCTGAGCCATCTCTCCAGCCCCTATTTTTTATTTATTTATGTATTTATGTGTTTATTTATGTATTTATTTATTTATTTTTATTTATTTTTTTTTTGAAACAGGGTTTCTCTGTAGCTTTGGTGCCTATCCTGGAACTAGCTCTGTAGACCAGGCTGGCCTCGAACTCACAGAGATCTGCCTGCCTCTGCCTCCGGGAGTGCTGGGATTAAAGGCTTGCGCCACCACTACCCAGCATGTTCCTGGTTTTAGTCAAGGAACTGTGTTCATTTTCCATCCATCAAGGCCTCAGGGAAAGCCTTGATCAGCCCAGCCTTCAACAATCAGCCATGAAGTAGGGATGAGATAAAACCTTACCTGTAGGAACAAATAAGGTATGTCCCTGTTTTACCACACATTTGTAGCATTTATCTACTTTATCTCCAAAGAACACCTCACTCTGGGTCACAGATGAGCTCCACGATTCGTAGAGTGCCAAATTTTCATTAGTTGGCTTTATCAAATAAAAAATCTTCTCACCCTAGAAGGAAGTAACCATACTACTTTGAAAAAGAAAACCCATTCTCAGCATGGCCTACATTGGTTCAATTTCCCAATAAAAGCATCTAAACAAAACTTATGAGATTTTGTTTAGGTTGAAAAATGTCACATATTTGATCAATCCTCTAATTAGCAAGTTCACAGACACTAAAACTTCTATCTCCAACCGACAAAGTCAATAAAAGTCCTATCAAAAAAAGTACTGCAAGAGAGAAGATAAAGAAGCACAAACAGAAGTAAATTATGTTAGCAGGCTCTCTGGGTCATAGCATAATCATCTCTCAAACTTCATGTTTAGAACCATAAAGATCTTATGGGTAACTGAGAGGTAGGTATTTATTGAATTAAAAACTTGTAAATAAACTTCCTTTAGTGAACTTTTGGCATCTTCAGAGAACAAGACCATATCTCAAGGACAGCATCAACTCTAGTCCTGAGAACTGCATTGGCGCAGGAATCTAAATCAGAACAGGTTCTTGGCCAAGCAACATGTAATTCAATGGTGACGGAATATTTTTTTTTAATATTCTTAAGTTGTGTTATGTCTCCAGTGTAGAAGTTATTAGCTACATGTAATATAACTAGTATGAATGAACTCAATTTTTATTTAGACTAAATTTTAATTATTTAAATCTAGCCACATAAGGCTAATGTTTATTAGGCAATGCAGTTCTAGATAAAGTAGAACAAATAAAAACTCTAAGTTTATTTTATAGAAATTTGTGATTTATACAACTTGTCTTCTCATTTTCATCTTAAGGCCAGAAGCAATTATCACTATAATTTTGCTCCTTCTTAGTCATTTGGTTCAGAAATTAATGTGAATTAACTAAGAAGAGGAAAACAAAAAGAGACAAAAGGCTAACAGAAAGCAACCTAAAATATAGAAGTAAAGAAGGAATCTAAAATTAAACCTGAAATTAAAAAAAAAGAAAAAAAAAAAAGAAAGCACCAAGGCATAAAATGTTTAAGCAGCAGAAAAATATTTAAATGTTTACAAATGTTACACAGAACAAATGAATGTCCTACCAGAAAAATAAGGCATGCTTTCATTAATAAGAAAGTAAGAAAGACCCTATTCTTACCCAGAGGACATGGTACCAGACAGAAGTCCCACCAAAGTCAATGTGGAAATCTGTATAGCTATCTTGAACTCCCATTAAGCAGTATTTCTGGACAAAGGGCTTAGGGAAGACTGAATCATCTGGCCAGTAATTTTCCACCCAGGAAAGTTTTCTGGCTATATCAGGGACCTCCACCAATTCAGACATCCTTAAAAAAGAAAAAAATATATATATACATATATATGTATATGTATACATACATACCAATGTAATACAAATTAAAGACTTCTTAAAACTGTTCTTCCCATGCCAACCCAAACAAAGCAATTAAATGGATTAACAATACTTACACATTCAAAATACATTTTATGTCATTGTTATCACTATTACTATTATTATTATCATTGAGACATGGTCTCACTGTAACTCACACTGCTTCCAATGGATAGCTATAAAAGTCACAATTGTTTATTAAATAAACATCATCATCAAACTACACTTAGCTAAAATTGAGACTGCTAAGGCAAACTGTCCAGAGATACTCACTTTGTATCTGAAAATTCAAGGCTGATCACATTTAACACTTTTGGTCTGTTAGGATTCATGAAGTATTTAACATAATTGTGAAGTGTCATTTTGCTGTCTGCCTGCCTTGCCACATCAATGACATCTATTACTTTGTCACCACCTGCAGAGAAAAATTACAGTCTTATTGTTAACCTTTAAAGTTGCATAAGTAGATACTCTAAACAAAAATACTAAAATTCATATTTGTTTATTTTGATAACTAAGCCAACTATAAAACTGCATAGAAGGGGGGCTGGAGAGATGGCTCAGTGGTTAAGAGCATTGCCTGCTCTTCCAAAGGTCCTGAGTTCAATTCCCGGCAACCACATGATGGTTCACAACCATCTGGAATGAGTCTGGTGCCCTCTTCTGGCCTGCAGACATACACACAGACAGAATATTGTATGCATAATAAATATTTTTTAAAAACTGCATAGAATTAACATCAATTGTAAAAACATACAATTTACTAATAAGCCTTTTAGTGTTAATGATTTCTTGTGTGTAGCTCATAATAAAAAAAATACATTAAATTGGGATATGAAAATTGTTCACTGTTTCCTGGGTTTCAATTTCTTTATACTGGGAATAGTAAAAACCCAGAGACTGATACTGAGGTTCAAGCTGAAGATCAGATAAGCAAACCAGCCAGCCACTGACTCTTACCTCTACCTCAGACTGAAATGGGCGATCCTGCCTACAGGAATCCTCAGACCTGTCTCCTCCTGTCTTATATTCCTCTCTAGTGCTAGGACTAAAGGCAGGTACCACCTGTAAAACCACAAGGTAAAGCTTGCAGACCTCTGCAGCACCACCCCCTTTACAATGGATTAACAGAATGAGTTAGGATTCAAAACATGGCAACAGCTACCAATCTGAAATAGAAAATTTTAAGTGTTCCACTCTTATGCCAATGTAACGTCATATAGGCTAAATAATATTGCCACGATTTCTTTATCTTTATATAAAACATAATATTTCTACTACTGTTATTTTAACTGAAGAGCTTTGCAGTACTAAAAGTTAGTAGATAAAGCAGTTTGAACAACTTTTTCTGTAACTGTTACACTATTTACTTTAAAGGCAATTAGGTTTAAGTTAAATCTAAGTCTTATTCCCTAGTTTATCATATTTAAATTTAGATGAGTGTTTAAGTCAGAGCATTTAACTGGACTTTTCTGAATGCAATAATTAATAAAAATGAATAAAGAGACAAGTTCTTTAATATGACATGCCAAGGTAATAATGTATAGTAGTGGACACATAATTTTGAGACAAGGTAGATTTGGGTTCTGATTCTCAAATAACACCTATCTTTTGTTAGCAAATGGCAAATACATATTGCTAGTTTTATCTATAAACTTTATAATGAGAATAAATGAAAGGAATGAAAATGACAATCTGGCAATCGGTAATTTTTGCCTTAATTTTTACTTTCTTAGGTCTCAAAATCACACCAGTCCAGACATCATTAAATGGCAATACTGGCCAAGTCATTAACATAAATACATGTTTGAACTGAATCTTCTCTTTACAGTTCCTCCTCTAAGAGACAGGAGGTCAAGAAGCAGAATCCAGAAGACTAGGCTCAGACTGATCCCTCATTCTGCAGATGCTAGAACCTATCCAGTTTCTCATGTCTTCTCAGAATCTGTGGCAGCCCTTCAGTAATGACTTTACTGTAATGACAAATATCAAATTTAACAACTAAGAGACTGGTAGGATAAGCTGATAAAATAAGAATAGATAAAGAATATTCATTCTTGGGCTGGAGAGATGGCTCAGTGGTTAAGAGCATTGCCTGCTCTTCCAAAGGTCCTGAGTTCAATTCCCAGCAACCACATGGTGGCTCACAACCATCTGCAAAGAGGTCTGGCGCCCTCTTCTGGCCTTCAGGCATACACACAGAATATTGTATACATAATAAATAAATATTTTTTTTTTAAAAAAAAAAGAATATTCCTTCTTTTCTGACCATTGTTGGTCTGTGCATTCTACAAAAGCACTACTGAATTTCACTTTTCCTGACCTTTATGAAGCATCCAGCACAAATAATTGATATATTCCATTCTATATCAATACTTTTGGGACACTATCATTTATAGTATTTCCATGTTTTTACAAGAATTTAAAGGAACCAATTTCGTACCTACATAACGTTCCACATCCATCACTGAAAAATCAGGTGAAGGGAGCCTGAGTCCAAGGTCCTCTAATCTAGGGACCATAATAGGAACATCAAATCCATGTTTCTCCAGGTATCTTTGTGTCAGCTGACTGCCATGCATCTTTACAATGATTTCATCGGCACTAAGAAAAACGTAAGAGTAAAATGTCATTTTTAATCATAAACTGTTTATAAAAGTCCTGTGGTAATGAGGCAACATGGAGAAAGAATGTGTATTTGTATCAGTGGTTCTCAACCTAATTCTCCTCTTTAAATAACTTTAGAACCCCCAAAGTAAAATTCATATTTAAATAATAAAATAATAGATCATATGGGAATGTAAAATATTGCATGCAGTACAATAGTTATGGAGTGAGGCAAATTATGTATTCATATGAAAAGGTACCTATAATATAGATTATAAAAGCAAATTTATATAATAATACCATTCATAACAAACACAATCACATTTTTTTTCTTTTTTGCTTTTTTGAGACAGGGTTTCTCTATGTAACAGCCCTGGCCTCCCTGGAACTTACTTTGTAGACCAGGCCTGCCTCTGCCTCCCAAGTGCTGGGATTAAAGGTGTGTGCCACCACCACCCAGTTTAAAAAACAAAACAAACACCACCACCACCCAGTTTAAAAAACAAAACAAAACAAACAAACAAACAAAAAAAAACCTCTCTCTTTTTGTTTATTTTTTGCTTTTCAAGACAGGGTTCACAATCACATTTTTAAAGAATTAGACATATATACATTTATAAACATCAATGTTTTGATGTAGAAAAGCTCAAAAGACATTCAGCCTTACAGAGGGAATTATGAAAACCTACTCAATTTATTTTATATACTATGGAAATGCCATCAACTATATTTAATTCAATACTTATTATTATTTTACTATAGTTTAAATAATAAAAAGCTTACGTAATTAAAAATAGCCCTTTAGCTGGGTGATATTGACACTTGTCTTTAATCCTAGCACGTGGGAGACAAGCAGATCTCTGTAAGTTTGAGGCCAGCCTGGTCTACAAAGTGAGTTCCAGGACAAGACTCAAAAAAACCCTGTCTCTGAAAGAAAAAAATAATAATAATAATAAATAACCTTGACATTTGTGATCACTCTAATGTATTCTCTCCTGTGTTTACACTGGCAGAAAAGTGTATAAATTACTAATGATTTGAGGGTTGCAAATCTTGAGAAGTGAAAGCCATTATCTCCTCTCCCTGAAAAATGTATACCCACAGACATTAATTTGCATAGATTTTTTTTTTTTTGAGAACATAAACCACCTCTGAGACCTGTAAATAGGCCCAGACTAAAAATGTAGGGCTAGGCCCCAAATAAATCAAGCATTGTTGAGTAAAAAGGAAAACAAACTTTCTCTTACAACTTGGAAACTGGTAAACGACAGCTTGAGAACAAGAATCTAATTCAGCAAACATCACATAGAAACTGTTTCCTGTGCTTTCTATTCTCAGCCAACCTGAGGGAGGCAAATGTGGATGGTTTTTCATCCTGTTTCTGTTTAAGGACTAAAAGGTAGTGAACAGAGCAGAGAAATCTAAAGACAGGGAAAATTTCAGGGCTTTTACTTCAGTGTCTGAAAGTAATTCCATAATAGGCTGAACGTGATACTGTGATTTAAATTTAAATTGTGCTTCCTCTCTTTAACAAGCTGAGATAAGATCTTGTGTAAAGCCTATTAAGCATTATCTCTTTAAATAGATGTCAGGCAGTGAGTAGGAAATGACCTGAATTAGCATGATTAAATGTTTTATAATGCTTTTGATTCTCTCTTAGCCTAGACAACTCAAATATACTTGATTATTTTTCAGAATCAAAAATCTCAGTTCTGATGCACCAGAAGCTAAGCAATGGCCCTGCATGCTTCTGGTGGACCCAGGAAACAGGCAGTGATGGAAGAAACAGTGATTTGAGAAAAAGAGGTGCAAAATAGGGAAAGTAAGAAGAAAGGAAGAGAGAACACAACTGCTACATTATCAGAAGGAGTCAGAAATGAGAACTGCTTCAAATGAGTATATTTCAAATTCTGGGGATGAATTATATGGTGACCCAGCATGCATATACAAAACATAAGTACTGATAGTTTTACTTCTTTTGTAGAAAAAAGTGAAAAGCCAGATGACACCAATAGCATGGTGTCACCTAAATTTGAAAAGACCACTTTAGGTAATCCCACTTCATTAGCCAATGCTGTTAAATCCTGTTTGAACCAGAACAAGGTTCCATACCTTGGGAAGACTCGAGAACGCAGTTCTTTAACAAAGGCCCTAGTTCCGGCTTGCACAGGTTTGGAGCCATCATCCACTTCCGTGTAGTCATGCCTGTGCCAGTTCCTCCTCTTTTTCACTGAATTTGTAGAAAGTCAGGAAAAGAAAACATTTTTTTTTTGGTAACTGGTAATGCTATATGGACTATCTAATTGCTATAGTTGCCTAATAAGAAGTAACAGCTATAGGTATAAGGAAATGCTTGCGTTTTTAATGCATTCCCAGATCACAAATGAAAATTTTACAAAAGCTAATGCTGTAATTATAAATAACTAACTGTGGGTTTTTAAAGGCCTGATCATTTCATTCAAAATAATTTAAAAATTAAATAAAAGAATTAAAAGCATCAAATGAAGTCTTTATTTACTCACATTTAAACATTTCCAATTATGTAAAATCAGTTTATTAAAACACTGAGTCAGTCATACTACAATTAACCACATCATCCAAATTATCTCTCAGGATAAGGCATTTTATCACACACCAAAAAATCCATCCAAAACCAAACCATCACTCTCTTTTATGTTAGGATTCAGTCTCCAAATACGCACATTTATACTGACACAAAGAACAGAGATCAGTTCACCAAGAAGGAATTAAAGCAAGATCAGTGCTGTGTGTGATAAAACAAAAAACTTCAAGGTTAGTTCAGATACTAAATTCCTATGGTTCTAAAGCTAGAGGGTAGAGGAGATTATCTTAATTAGTCCTAACAATGAAAAATCAATGAAAATATTTAATTCTTAGTTCATCCATCAACTTCCTCTGCAACCTTGGGAAGATCATTTGACACCTCTGGATCCAGATTCCTCAAAGTGAGAATGAAGGAGATGGATTAGTATAATTTTGAAAGTATACCTAACAGACCCTTAACAAAGGGTAAGATGGTCAAAGGAGAAAATGGATACCACTCTCTTATGTGTCATCATATATGTAGCTCATCTGTGTGATAGCAATGTAAGATTTTACTGTGTTTGTGTGCATGTTCCAGGAAGACTCTGACCATGTAGCACAGCCTAACCTGGAGCTCATAATCCTCCTGTTTCTGTTTAGATTATAAATTTCAGTTTCAAAAGAATCCTTTGGAGAGATGGCTCAGAGGTTAAGAGCACTGGCCGCTCTTCTGGAGGAGGCGGGTTCAAGTCCCAGCACCCACATGGCAGTTCACAACTGTCTGTAACTCCAGTTGCAGAGGATACAATACTATCATACAGACAGACATACATGCAAAACACCAATGTACACAAAATAAATAATAAATAAATAAAATAAATCTAAAACGGTTTCTGTTTAGATTATAAGTTTCGGTTTCAAAAGAATCCTTTTTAAAATCTAAAATTCTCAACATTCTAACTCTTTGGTACTGATGTCAGCAACTTACTTAGAAATGCATTTTTTTGAATGGTAAAGCTGACTGGCAGTGACATAATTATACAGAGAAATGAGGAGTAAAGTGAGTGGTGGAAGATAATAATAGTATGTGAAAACTTATAGTTACTTCCTGTAAAATTACTTTAACTTTTCCTATATGTTTGGACATTTCCTCTTTTGTTGTTGTTGTTGTTTCTCTGTAGCTTTTAAGCCCTTCCTGGAACTAGCTCTTGTAGACCAGGATGGCCTCCAACTCACAGAAATCTGCCTGCCTCTGCCTCCTCAGTGCTGGGATTAAAGGCGTGCGCCACTACCATCCATGGACATTTTCAAAACAAAATGTTATAGAAAAAAACAACTGTGATTTCAAGATGTTTTATTATTTTTGAGGCAAGGTTTCACATAACCCAGGCTACATGACCTTAAATTTTGATAATCCAGATACTACTTCCTGGAGTGCTGGGATTATAGGCATAGCAAACACATAACTATACCCAGTTTTATGTAGTGCTGGGAATCAAACTCTGGACATCATGTATGCTCTACCAAGTGAGTTATGTCTTAGCCCAATTTCAAGTTATTTTAAGATCATAACTGATATTCTTGGGTCCCTCGCGGGCCTTCAGGGCCTCGGTTCCCTTCGCTGGCATTCAATTCGGCTTGTCTCCTGTGTTAAGCCTCAGCTCACCCGCGCCTGGAGGCCCGGGGTCTCCAGTTCTCTCTCTTTTTCTTTCTTTCCTTACTTTTCTTCCTTCCTTCTTTTCGTCGTAACTGCTGAATCCCTCCTGCCCAGGAGTCGCTCTCCCGTCGGAGATTCAGCCAGGTTATAACACCCCCCCCATGGAATCGGACGCCTTTCCATAGGGCCAGCGGATGTTCGTGCCATCTGCATCTCGCCTTAACGGGGAGCCGTTCTCGTTGTAGGCTTGAGGTGCCACGGTTTTTGCGGGTGTTTGCACGGCCTTGACCACGGGAGCCAATCCATCCACACCTATCACTCTGGCCTCATCTTTTAATGCCTCACACTTATCAGTTTTTATCCAAAATGGCCCCATTAAACTATACATGGCCGTTTTTCGGTTCCAGCCTTTTGCCCCTCCTGTCTGCGGCTTTTGTTGTGGCTTGGCAGGCTTTCCAACTGAGCAGACTACACATGGCGGTCGCCATCTTGGCTGGAGGCCAGATGGGTCAGGTGACCTTTTCGCCACCATCTTGGCTGAGAGCCAGGTCATGTGACCACACTCTCCCGGTTTTACCCTGCCTTCTCACCAGGTTTTCACCAAACTCCTTATGCTAACTCTGTTAAATGTGTTTTGAGCAATGGTCAAATGCCTTTGATAGGGCCCATCAGAGGCATCCACGTTGCCCAATTCCTGTTCACTCTCTATGTACAATAATTGTTTACTACATCTCATTTCAGACTACATGAGTCTTGTATTTTAAACTGGTATGTACCTTTAAGTCTCTTAAGCTGTTCTTTACCATTGTCAGTTTTGCCGCTAACCTTATATTTCAAGCAGTTTTTCCCTCTATCTTTTTACAAATGTAAATCTTACCTGTTAAGAGCCAATTTGGTCAAGCTCAGACCCAACTTTCCAAACAAATTCTATACTATAGTTATACCTGATAAACAGCCCTCAACTGCTCAGAGATCTGGGGAATGTGATATTTAAGTGTTTAATTATTAAAATAACTTTTAACAACGACAAAAGAGACAGGTTGGCTCCTAGCAGCAGCTTTCTGCTCCCTCCAAAGAAGACAGTCACGCGCAGAACAACGTCCTTCTGCATCTCGCTTCGACTGCAGAGCGCTGACCATTGGGAAAACCTGCCTTTCATCTAAACTAAAGATCTCTAGACGTGGACGGAATCACCGGAATCGACAGCCTAGCTGCTCAGGTCAAGGTAGGCCTGTCTTCCTACAGATTTCTTAGCCCACAGGATCTTCTGGAGCCTGGCAGGCCCTGCGCTAAACAGCAAAGCTCAAGTGCAACCTTCAGCGACCATGGAGGACCCAAAAAAGAGTAGCTCTGGGTGCCAACCAAGTAAGTTCTCTGTCATTTTTTAATCAGTTACTCAAGTAAAATCTTATCCTTCTCAAAGATCTCTGACAGTCTGACAGCTGAGAGGTTTCGCCAGGTTGAGGTTTTACAAGGTGACCTCACCAAATTTCAAACCAAATTTATCTCTTATGCTACAGTCATTATATGTCTAAAACTTCTGTTTTCACAAACCCAAGGAGTTCTCATGAGTTCCAGGGAGCCAAATCAAGAAATCCATCTTAAACAGGTCAGATACCCCCTCAATTCCCTGGTCCTAAAATTTTTTCCTTTTAACCTTAATTTGACTTTGTTCTTTGTTCTGCCAATAACTTAGGGACTCCAGACATTCCCATGCCACAGACATCGGTCAGAAGCAAAGAGACCAGCTATGCCAGGATGTTCCCAGCACCCCAGCCTTCTCTCGCACCCCTCCCCAAGACGACGCCCACAATCAGCCGGAAGCAGTCTTGAGAATTCGCCGCCCCAATTCCTTCAAACTGAAGTGTCTAATTTGCTTTTTATCAAAAGCAAGATGTGGGAATGATATTCTTGGGTCCCTGCCCTAGCCACGCCCACTCCCATAACCTCTGACCCGCCCATCGCCATCTTGGGACCTCTCTCTCTCTTTCTGCTTCCTTGGCGTGCACACGCGTTTTCTCTGTCTCTCTCTTCTTTTATCGCTCCTCTCTCCTTTTATCTCTTTTCTCTGTCTTTCTTTCTCCCCCTTCCTTAATAAATACTTATGGCTATTTCCTGTGTTTACGTGTCTGTTACCTGCCGCCACCGTGGGCCAAGGAAGCATGCCCTCCTGTAGTCGCCCTCATGGCGGGCTCCCTCCGCCAGCCCGCCCGGGGACCGTTTGTAGCCTCTCTCTCATCGTTTTTTAAGAATAACAATAACACTGGGTCTCTTTAGAAAACTTGTGAATTACATTTGAATCTTCCTAAGAAATTCCATTAATGTATCCCTTGTGTATTATTTTTTTCTCATTTGAAACCATTCATACAGTAGCTAGAGAGATGGCACAGCCAATAAGAACACTTGTTGCTCTTGCAGAACACTAGAATCAAGTTCCTACCATCTAAATCAGGTGGATCTCCAATGACCTCTTCTGGCCCCCTAAGGTATCCACACAGGTGCAAACACATATATAGAAACACAAACACATAAAAATAAAAACAAACCTTTAAAACCATTCCTATAGTTCAAGGACATCCTAGTGTAGGTTTTCCTCTATTATATAGATATAACTTATTTCCATCTGGTATCATATGTTTTTATATTATTTTCTTGTTTTATGGGCATTTTCTCCGTATTAAGTAATCAGAAGCAATTTAAAAAGCAGACAACAATTTTAAGGTGTAGATGTGTCATGATATAATTATTGTGATTCTTAAGCACAGTGGTGGTTTGAATGAGAATGGTTCCCAGAGAAAATATCTTTGAATACTTGGTTCCTATTTAGACTGTTTGGGAAGAATTCAAAAGTGTGGTCTTGTTGAAAGAGCTGTGCCACTGGGAGGCAAGCTTCGAAATTCCACAAGACTGTAATTCCCAGTGCACATGTTCCCTCTGCCTCATGGCTGTCCATCCCAATGTGAGCTCTCAGCTGTTCCTTTACTCCACCATCATGGACTCTAACCCTTTTAAACTGTAAGGCAAACTAAATACTTTCTTCCTAAGCCGCCTTAGACATGCTGTTTCATTGCATTTGCAGGAAAGTAACTAAGACAAGGGCTTCGTTTGTTCTCAGTCTTTCTCCATATGACACTATAACAACCATGAACATAAACCTGTTTCTGTGATTAACTCAAGACACATTTGCAGAAATGCTAGAAGACAGTGTGCTGATTTGACTAAGAATGGCCTCCAGAGGATCATATATCTGAATACTTGGTCCCCAGTTGGTGGCTGTTTGGGCTGGATTAGGAGACGTGGTTTTCTTGGAGGAGGGATGACAATGGTTTCAAGCCTCCCACCATTCCCAGTGCACTATCTCTGCTTCCTGCTTAGAAATATAGACTGAGTTCAGCTGCCTTTCCAGCCACCTGCTGCCATGACTTCATTCCGCCATAGTAAATGCTAACTCTTGGAACCATAAACCTGATTAAACTCCTTCTTTTGTAAGCTTCCTTGGTCGTGGAATTTTATCACAGCACAGAAAAACTTATACAAACAGCACTATTTTAAAGATATGTGTTATATATACTGCAAATACATACCGCCTCAAGAAAAGTGGGAGTAATTCACGTTTCTATCATACAGATAGCCTAGCTCAAGGCTCTGTGTTAATAGGCATTATCATTTAAAAAGCAAAACAACAACAAAAAAGCTGTCTATTTGCGAAATGAACTATGATGTTGTTTCCCCCCCTCTCCCCTGCCCCCAGACAGGGTCTCTCTACATCGTACTGGCTTTCCTGGAACTTACTACAGAGACCAGGCTAGTCTTGAACTCACAGATATCAACCTGCCTCTGCCTCCCAAGTGCTGGGATTAAAGACATGTGCCACCAGACCCAGTCAGATGTTCCATTTATTTATTTAAATTTTTGCAGAGCACATTAATCAGTATAGTCTCTGATGTGATAGCTATGGGTCCAAACTACAGCTCTGATGAATAACTACATAATATTTAATTAGATATTTTCTCTTATATCTCATATAACATTGTTGCACATATTGAAGGGGATAATATAGGTCAAGTATTTACTCACTATAGAATCTAGTATATAATAACCTACCAAAATACTATAGCTTCCTCTAATGTGCTGATCTAAAGATTAAGAGAAACATGCAACTGTCCTATTTGACCAAAAAGTTTGAAACATAAAATCATCCACTACAACAGCTGACTGAACTTTTCTTTTTTTTTTTTAAAGATTTATTTATTTATTATATATACAATGTTCTGCCTGAATATACACCTACAGGCCAGAGAGGACACCAGATCTCATTACAGATGGTTGTAAGCCACTATGTGGTTCCTGGGAATTGGACTTAGGAGCTCTGGAAGAGCAGCCAGTGCTCTTAACAGCTGAGCCATCTCTCCAGCCCAGCCCCCTTTTTAATTTTTCTTAATAGAAAGCCAGTGAAGGGATAGTTTAAGTAGTGGTCACAGGGGAGAAAATGTCTGCTTTGGTTGCATGTGCCTGAGGAACACACAGAACATATATTCAAATGTTGAGCAGTTGTCTGCTTTTTAAAATAGGCTCTTAATTCCCAACCACACAGTATAGTATAATGAACCTTATTAAGTGGGAATTGTAATATCTCGATTATATCTACATTAAAGACATCTGGGATATTCTGATAAGAACAGAAAACCCTGTGTTATCAAGAAACACTTAATAGCAAAGGGAAAGGAATCAAAAGGGATTACCCAATTGAAGTGGATGTTGAAGTATGAGGGAAGGTGAGCCTTAAGTCAAGACAAAACAGATTATTGCATCTTGGGCATCTCCCCTCTGAGTAGTCAGAGTTGGATGCTTGCCCAGAAGATAGCCAATCCCTGGCATGAAGTTCTTCAAAGAGAAGACGGACTTGAAGGGTCAAGTAGTAGGCAAGTTTCTCTCTGAAGCATCATTATTCAAAGTGTAGGTTACAATCCATTACAGTCTGTGTAATCAGTTTAGCAAGTGTGTTAAGATTTTTAAAAGATGACATCATATGGAAAAAATAGAATGTATCCCCCCTTCAAGTAGTACTTCCTCTTAGTAACTCAGTATTTCATACAAATAAAATTTAAATCATTTCATTTGGGGAGTAAATATTTTGCACCACAACTGATATAAAATTTAGTTGTTTCAACTGAAATAATAATACTGTACTATTTACTGCTTCCGTATTCTTGGCCAAAACTTACTTAACTTATATACAACATAAACCAAGCAAGATTCATGTAACAATTTTACCAGGTGTCTTAATTTTAAGTTTTATACTATATAGTATGAAAACAGGTAACTATATTTGACATAAACTATTCTTATGCAATACTACAGCTTAAATTCCTGTCTCTTATAAATTATAAGAATTATTAATATTTCTAATAAATGATCAGTCTTATTGTTACTAAGTCTTTTTGCATGTTATTTTCATATAACAAAGTTTCTACTTAGAAGAGTACAAGGGGGCAAAACTCCATATTCAAAACAGAGAGGCTATATATTACCTTCATACCACCCACAGTTTACCAAATTACCCTCAGCCAAAAGTCCTTTCTTTTTTTTTTTTAAGTGAATTTATTTACTTTATGCTCATTGGTATTTTTCCTTAATGTATGTCTGTGTGAAGGTGTCAGATCCACTGGAACTGGAGCTACAGAGCTGTGAGCTGCCATGTGAGTGCTGGGAATTAAACCCTGGGCCTTCAGAAGAACATACAGGGCTCTTAACCACTAGACCATTGGTGCAGGAGAATTGTCTGTATTATGTCAATATGTTTTTGTGGTGCAGGAGAATTGTCTATATTCTGTCAATCATGTTTTGAATAAACTCTGATTGGCCAGGTAGGAAGTATAGGTGGGTCAACCAGAAAGGAAGTAGAGGCAGAGCGATGAGAATAGAAGAATTCTGGGAAGCAGGAAGCTTCCTCCCTAGTCCTTCCCAGAATACTGAAGAAGCAGGATGTGATCTGCCCCACTGAAAAAGGTACTGAGCCATGTGACTAACATAGATAAGGATAATGGGTTAATATAAGTTACAAGAGCTAATAAGAAGCCTGAGCTAATGGGCCAGTTTATAATCTTATGGAGACCTCTGTGTGATTTTCTTTGGGGCTTGCTGGCTGTGGGGTACCAGGCGGGACAGAAATCCCAAAAAGCTGGCCCTCATGTTACAGGCCATCTCCCTAGCCCCCCAAAGGTTCCTTCTTGTTTTGTTTTGTATGTTTTTTAGACAGGTCGCACTATGTAACCCTAGCTGGTCTGTTATGTAAACTAGGCAGTCCTTGTCTGCCTCTACCTCCTGAGTACTGGAAAAGGAAGCTGGAAGGACAGGCTTTGATTATTTGGGTGCTGGAGCTTTTGTCTTCAATGGCTGAGCTATCTATCCAGCCCTTTCTAGTTTAAAAATAAAGTCTATGGTTTCCCTTTAATTTTATGAACACAAAAATTATAGTTTGCCGTCAAAATTTTTTTAATTAAATAGCTATATTCCAAAGCCATTTAAATATGACATCTTAATTTAGTTTTTGGAAGTATCTGTAAAAGACCGAATATCTGTAAAAGATGAATGTTGTTTTGTTTCTAATGCTGGTCTACTCCAGACTAGTGAAAGAAAAGGATTCCAGCCTTCACCTTGTCCTCTCTGAAAAGGACTGCCATCAGAGACTTGCTCTGACCTTATCCTCATCTCTATCTTCCCATGGATATCAGGGGTGGGGAAAAAGAAGTTTTAAGCAGATATTCTTTGACGACCAAATTCATAAATGCATGCAATATTTTACCTATCAATACCCTGATTTTTTTCCTAAATATACAATGTGCATCTGCCCATGAGAGTCTAATCTTAACTCTGCATACTGCTTCAATACAACATGATTTTATCAGTCGCAATAGGTTTACAGAATCAGGCAAGCTGTTCTTTGCCATGGTTTGTAAATTGCAAGGTTTTTGTTTTTGAGAGATGTACTTAAAATTTGAGGGCTCTCCATGAACAATTAAAAACGTATTTTCTCTTCCTTATTCCTGTGACATATTTAATAATTCAAACAAAGGCTTATTATACCTGGAATCCCAGCACTCAGGAGGCAGAGGCAGGGGGATCTGTGAGTTCAAGGCCAGCCCAGTCTACAGAGTGAGTTTCAAGACAGCTACACAGGATACATAGAGAAACCCTGTCTCGAGAAACAAAACAAAACCAACTAAAAGAAAGAATTTGGGGCCAGTGTGGGCTATCTAACCAGACTGCCTCAAATTGTTAATTACTATTTTCAGACAAAAAAGTATTTCAGTGAAATCTTTCCTACAGTTCTTGGAAGCATTGTGATATTTACTAGAGTATCATAAAAATACCATCATATACATGCTAAGTTTCAAACATTTAATTTTTACTTAAGCATCTAGTACTTACTCAAGGAAGAACCATGCAGAAGTGCACAGTTGGGGCAGTGATATAAGTCAATGTCAACAGCATGATGTTCTTCTACACCAACACAGCTAAGATAAAGACAAAAACAAAACATGAATGGAAACACTTTACTTAATTATAAAGAAATGTTTGGACTTGAAGTGAAAAATGTACAATAACTCAAATAGCAAATTTAAAACACACCCAAGAATAAATTTTATTATCCTCTCCCTCCATACATTTGCTAATAATTGTGGGTAAGAATATATCCAAATGAACATGAAGTTATTCACTTCCAACAGCAGTGGAAACACCAAAAATAATGTAATTATAAGCATGAAACCCTCAAGCACTATGAAAATGTCATCTGTTCTGAAATTATTGTCAATAAGATAAGTCAAAGGTAAGTCATAATGAAATTCTGGACATTATTTTCATCTTTTATGTACTACATAGAGTAATTTGTGGGTTGTAGAATTTGCAAACAGAAATGTATATCCTTAAGTGAATGTGTTTGAAAAAGGAAGACGCATTATTGAGCAAAGCATATACAACTCAAGATGTTACCCAGAATATCAAAACAAACCCTTAGTAAACAAGTACCATCAAAATTTTAGTTTCAGTCTTCACAGAACTAGAAAAGGCAATCCTAAAAACATGTGAAAATATAAAAATAATTCTAAACTGAAAAGCAATGCTGGAAATATCAAAATGCCTACTACAGCTTACACTACCTAGCCACGGTGACAGAAACAGCGTGATAGCCCCAGAAAAACAAGTGGTGCTAGGCAAACAATGGAAACTTGGTGCCTCTCTCTCTTCCAGAGTAAGAATCACTTCAAAACAGACAAAGATCTAAGTAAAGACTTCAAAATTTGAAACTGTTGGAGGGAAAAATATGCAAAGCACTGGAACTAGGCACAAGCAAGGACTTCCTGAAAAAGGCTTCTAATAGCACAGAAAGTAATCCCTAGATCTGGCAAATGTTTCTGCATGGAAGTGAAAAGGAAACAAGGCTCAGCAATTAAGACCACTGGATGCTCTTCCAGAACACCTGCGTTTGATTCCCAACAGAAATAAATTTTTTTCTAAAGATAAATAAATCTTTTTTTGTTTTGTTTTATTTTTCGAGACAGGGTCTCTCTGTAGCTTCTGAGCCTGTCCTGGAACTAGCTCACAGAGATCTGCCTGCCTCTGCCTTCTGAGTGCCTAGATTAAAGGTGTGCACCACCACCGCCCAGTTCATAAATAAATCTTTAAAAAATTCTTCTGAAAATCACTAATAAAATTCAATTTAATCCCAATCAATGTGGAATCTCACAAGATGATTCTAAAACTGATGTCAAAATTTTAAAAAGCCAAGAATATACAAGATAGTCAGATATTCTTAGAAAAAAAGTTCTACTACATATGAAAATTTATTTTAAAGGCCACTCAGAACACATGTCAGTGCTCCCAAAATGCAGAGCCATATTTTACATAGGACACTTATGCATAACATAGGAGGGTCACTAAAGACTTTTCAGTAGAAAAGTTCTACTGAGATACATTTCATTTAGTCATATGAAAAAAAGAAAAAATCTTACAATTGTTGATGCAATGTAAAAATGTATTAGTAATTACCAGGCACAGCAGTACACACCTTTAATCCCTGGACTTGGGAAACAAAGGCAGGTGAATTTCTGTGAGTTTAAGGTCAGCCTGGTAGATGTAATAAGACCCTGTCTCAATAAAAGAGAAGGGGATTTAAATGAGATTATAAACCTAAGTACAAACAAAAAGAAAACGCACAAAAATGTATACAGCATAATATCGAAAATATGACTTTGTGGTAGAAAGCTTATCTTAAAGCACAGACGCACCCACAAGGGGAGAAACAGCCATGTTAAAGTAATTTCTGTGCATTAAACTACAAATTATGATAAAGGACAAAATAAGTCAAGAGTAAGGACATTTCAATGTAGATACTCAAAGAAATTATACCATACCCAAAATATAATGAACTCCTCTATAAATCACAAAGAAGCAATATTATTTCCATAATATTCTACTATACCAGCTAAAAAATACCAAGTGTAAAGATATTAAATGTTGAAGAATATTTAAGAATACTTAAATAAATTACTAGCAGAAGTGTAATTAAATACAATTTTAGAGAACAAAACACATGCAATGTACACCAGAATACCTTACCTATATGCAAATGGATAATCTATTTATAACAGCATATCAAAAAATATAGTATATTCTCATAATAGAATTCCATACAGAAATATTCAATGAAGAACTACAGTCCTACACAATGAACAAATAAATTCCACAAATTAGAAGGTTAGAGAGATGGCTCAGCACTTAATAAGATAATGTGTATTATTAAGATAATAACTTAATGTGTATTGCTCTTACAGAGGACCCTAATTCAGCTCACAGCACCCATGGATAGGTCACAAGTGCCTGTAACTCCAACTCCAGAGAATCTAATGTCCTTTTCCAGCCTCAATGGGCACTGCATAAACCCACATTCAGACACACATAATTTTTTTGTAATTCTATAAATTAACCCATTAAGTTTAAAAAGAGAAAAACAAATAGAAAAAGACACAGGCATCATGGCACACACCTGCAATCCCAGCATTAAGAGGATCACCAGCTCAAGGACAAATTGGGTTATGTAGTGAAACTGTTTTAAGAAAAAGAAAAATTAAGATATTAAGAAAGAAAGAAAGAAAGAAAGAAAGAAAGAAAGAAAGAAAGAAAGAAAGAAAGGCGGCTGGGCATGGTGGTACACACCTTTAATCCCAGCAGTCCAGAGGCAGAGCTAAGTGGGTCTCAGAGCTCAAGGCCAGTGTGGAAAACAGAACAAATTCCAGGAGAGCCAAAGCTGTGAGGGCCCAGGCTGAAGGCCTGTTCCACCTTGACTGAAGGTCAAAATGAGGCAACAAACTAGAAACCCTGACCTAGGGTGTGGTCACTTGGTATTTTGGAAGTTGAGAGGGCCAGAGAGGTAGATCCACTCCACCCTGACCTCAGGTCAGAGAATCCAAGCCCATTCCTGCTCCTTCATTTTAAAACAAGAAATGTGACATAGGAGTGGCTGCCTACAGGATATTTTGTCTAGGGTGTATTCACCGCATATCCTGCCCAAAACATCAAATGCTTTACTCAGGAAATAATGGCTTGATGTCTCAGGTATTGAAGCAAGTAACTGTTCTGGCTGTCCTTTGTGAAATGTTAAGGTAGTCTTTTGCCCCACCCCCACCCCCACTACCTTGTACTGGGATATAAAAACACATGAAAATTAAATGTCAGCAAATTCAGTATTCGTTGAGTTGCCCTCGCAGTACTATTCTATGTCTCTGTGTTTCTTTCATATCTCTGTTTTCTCCTACCTAAAGTTTCTAATTCACACGCCACTACCCTGGAACATATGAACACGTAGTAGCTGGATCACGACAGAAGTCATCCCTAATGTTTAACTAACAACATAAAGCTACACAAAAAAACCCTGTCTTGCAGGGAGGGAAAAATGGGGGAAGCTGAAGAGCTGGCTCTGCAGTTAAAAGCACTTGTTCTTTGAGAAGATCCAGGTTCAGTTCCCAGCACCCAAATAATTGCTCAGTCCCAAGAGATCCAATGTCTTCTTCTGACCTCTATGGGCAGCTGGCATGTATGTGGTATGCATGAACACACGCAGGTAAATCCTAGAGCTTAAATTCAATTGTGAGAGCAGAGCATAATGGTACACATCTCTACTCCCAACACTTAAGAGGCAGAAGGATTGTCAAAAGTTCTAGGCTAGCCTGGTCTCTACAGCAAGTTCCACTATCTTACCTGTCTTACCCACATACACAGAGAGAGAGAGAGAGAGAGAGAGAGAGAGAGAGAGAGAGAGAGAGAGAGAGAGGGAGGGGGGGGGGGAGAGGGGGAGGGGGGGAGGGGGGGGGGGGGGGGGGGGGGGGGGGGGGGGGGGGGGGGGGGGGAGGGGAGGAGGCTGGTGGGCATAAAAGATCACCATAAATAAATGATATGTATGTGAGTTGTCTCTGCATTCAATGCAAGAGCTCAAAGCCAGATTACCTGGATTCTGAAAATGAGGTTCATTAGGTATAGATCCTCTCTCCCTTTCTCCCATCCCCTGCAACCGTTTTTTTCTTTTCTTTTTTTTTTTCAACACAGGGTTTCTCTGTGTAACGGCCCTGACTCACACAACACTCCAGGAAAAAGAGGCAGCAGGAATATTCCAACTAGTTAAAGACATTTAAGGAAAAGCATGGCTATTAACTCTCAAAGACCCATGAGTCTCTAATTCTCCAGCTTCTAATTCTCACCAGCACCTAACCTCATCTGTCTGCTTTACTCAAATGCCAAGTGAGCCAGTGTGGCAATGCACTAACACTAGCATTAACACAGCTGAAGGGAGGATCAAGATCATCCTCAATACACAGCGAGTGCAAGGTCTCAAAAAAAGCACAAAATAAATTAATATATATTAAAACATAAAATAAAATATAATGCCAGTGATGCCTTCTACTTTTGGCCAATTCTCATCACCTAACACACCTAAAATGATTTAGAAACTTCAACACTTAGCAAATTCGGTAAATCAAATAGTCAATTTGGTGTTGGAGAAACAGCTGGGGTTAATAGCACTAACTGCTCTTGCTGAGGACCCAGGTTTGGCCCCCAGCATCTACACGGAGGCTTACAACTATCTGTAACTTCAGTTCTAGGGAATCTGACACCCTTTTCCTCTGTGGGCACCCACACATGTAAACAGTACACTTTCATACAGGCAGGCAAAAACTAATACATCTAAGATAAATGAGAATATCTTTAAAATAGTAAATTTGGTAAGTGAATAAATCGGGAAAGGCACATTTAAATTAATCATACAAAATATAACCTTAAAATTAAAATGTAATGTTTCTTAACCAACACACTTTTCCATCAAGCCTGTCTACCTACTCCACCCTCCTCACAGCTCAGTGAGAGAAGCCTACCTCTCTAAGAGACGGTAAGAGAGAGACAGCAGGACGCCTGTGACTGCTCTGGAAGCAAAGTTTTAAGGCTGTTTTTTAATCTGGCACAA